TCATAGGTGCGTATAAATTGTTATGTGTAATAGCATAGAATCTATGATATTATATGATCATATATAATACTCATATCCTACCGAAAACAAACCATAACATAAAACATTAAACGCGATGTGCATAACACATATTACGTGTCTATGGGAGACAGAAAAATATCGTCATATTATATAAGTGGATAATGTTCTTCGTTTATACATTTATATACGAAAGAAACGACTTTATTAGGTTTTAACTATGTTTATCATCTAAAAAAGGTTGAGTACATTTTGTTTTTCATGACTTACGCTGGATACAAGTTTTGAAGCACTGTTACATTTATAAAATATTAGCACCGCCAACAGAATAACAGTATAATAGAAAAATAGTAACATTTTGATCTTCCCCAAATCGATTCACATTGAGTACTATGAGTTATCTACACCGAATATACATCAATTGAACATGCTATCTCAGGGAAGACAGGCACCATTGAGAGAAGACAGACTAACGAAGTCTCCGCTTTTGAATTTGAGTTTTGTGCATTTTAAACATGCACATTGCGGCGAATTTCTTTATACAGTAGGTATATCAAATATTTACTCAAATAGTAAAACCAACAACACTTCGATTAGCTACAATCCATTGAACCGAATAATTGGCTATTAAAAACCCGTGATACCTATGCTTAAAATTATTTATACGTCATTGATTTAATCCCAGTAAACTGATTTAGTATATTACTGGGAGTCGATAGTTTTGTTAATTCTTTTCCTTAAAAACGATTACTACTGGGTTGCACCCAATAATATTATTATTAATAATTATTATTTTGTATACGTATAAATAACTCCCACTATTTAATTTTAATTCAATATTTATGCTCTTGTACGTTAATGTCCTTTAGTGAAATTTTCCCGTTTGCTTTAGTTGATAAAATACAATTTCATAATATTTTTTTATTAATAAGCCTTGTATTATTTGATCGAGTGGCGCGACTCTATTAGGTTGCTTTAAGTTTTAACTATGGACTAGCAAAACTGCTAGGATCTAGATCTTTATCGAGGGAGCTTAAGATACAGCTATATACGACATTACTGCGTCCAGTTATAACTTACGGAGCGGAAACGTAGCCACTACGAAAAGAAGATGAAAGAAAGTTGATAGTATGGGAGAGAAAAGTTCTAAGGAAGATTTCCCTTCCAAAAGCCGAATATATTGGAGACAGTAAGGAGTAAACGACTAAAGTGGGCTGGGCGTGCTTGGCGTAGTCAGAATCCCTTGTTACGTATAGTATTAGAAAAAGATCTAGTAGGGAAGAGACCACTGGGAAGACCTCGTATGAGATGGGAAGATCTGGTTAAAAAAGATGTAAGTGCCTTAGGTGGAGGATCAGATTGGAAGGTCCGAGCATCCGACAGAGATGGTTGGAGGGAGGGGTGTTTGACGGGATGGTCCTAGCGTCCGTTTACCCGAAGAAGAAGAAGAAGTTTTAACTGTCATCAAGTATCAACGAGAGTTTTTGAATGAAATCGTAGTCGGTAAGCATAAGGGGTCAATGTCACAAACAAAACTAAAAAATCGGCGATACAAAAGAAATAGAAAAAGGTTGAATAACTTTAATGACTTAATCAATATTATAAATATTACCTCTACTCTATAAACTCTATTTTTGATTGAATCCCAACATTACTAAGTACAAATACATTTCAAATGACCTAAATACATATTGGTTTTGTGATCAAAGAAAGTTTCGAAAGTAAAGCCCTTTTTTGATTTTAAACATAATATTTAGCTCAGCCAATAATATATGTATATTTTTTTAGAGAGAATTTTTTTTTGCAAAAATTATTATTCTGATAATATACGAAATTAACTGTATCATTGACTATGAATATAAGTGTTTACACTCAATGATATTATCGAAGGATTTTTCAATCAGTATAAAAGACGAAATACATAATATAAGTTACCTAACTCTAAATTAAATTATTTATTATTACAAATTAACTAATTTGATCCTTAAGAGATGTTGCTTAAACCATGATTGGTATCGCCAAAAGATGTCTTACCTATTTTTGTGAAAATTCATTAAAGAAAAGACTTCAATTAAAAAAAAATATATTCTTATCTCATGTTCTTAATTGATCAATTAAAAATGATGATAGTTGTAATAATAATTATACATTATGATAGCAACACAGATGTTTAAACGTTAATAAGCTAATATAACCGCAGTAATATAATTTAGTATTATTAAATTGATCCAAATATTTTATGGTGATCGATACATGTATTGCAAATTTTAGAAACGCTTAACCATTTTTAAACTGAATATACCGTTAAATAAACATCTTAAAATTTGGTATTGTCAACATTATGTTTAGGTATGTTAGTATGTATTTGTATACAACATAATGGGTTTTAATTAATACTAAAGTTAATTAAGTGTAATCAGAGTTTATAAAGTAAAACAATACTACTATGACTAATTAAAATATGGTTTTATCTCTGAAACATTAACTTCTATATTTATTCTTATGGTTATTAAAATTTAGTTATATTTATTAATTAATTATTACTGTTCAGTGAAAAGGTTAATTTTACAGACAATGTTTTGTTTCGAACAGATTTTTTTATTTTTCTCTTTCGATTATAAAACTAATGTAATGTATTACATTACAGTACATGAAAGTTGAAACAAATAAGAAATGTAAGAAATTAATAACACTTCTGCGGATATTTCTCTGGCATTTAAGTGGATCGTTAAAACTAGTTGCAATTATAATTTAGGAATAAAAATACAATTCTAATATCGGATTAAAATAAAAAAAAATCATAATTTATTAAGTGAAAAGAGACAGAAAATACTAAATAAAAATTAACATGATATAAAAGTAATATTAAGTATTAGCTAAATATTGCCTATACATAAATGATGGTACAACTTTTGCACTACAATAAATAAAAAATAAAGGTTGGAATTTTAAAGGTAAACCAATAAAAAAATGTGGAATTGATGTACCCATTACAGTTGTATAAAGAATAAAATATGAAAATTAGTGAAATACTTATACGTCTCATTTCACTTTTGACAAAGAGACAATGCGACAAGTTTCAAAACCCTTATTTATTATTTTGGTTCCGTAATTCACAATAGTTATTATTTTTTTCTATTTAAGGTTGTGAAAATTATGATAATCGTGGTAATTTTATTATATTGAATTATTTTTAAACTTTACTTAAATACGTCGAGAACAATAAAAACCATAACTAGTTTTATTACAAATGAACTATAGAGACTAATTACTATTAAATAAATAGGAAATGAAACCCTAATACAATTCTACAATAACTGCAAGTACCGTCTAGTCTAGACTATTGATGAACGGTTATTCAATTAATGTACTATACGATTATTTTAACAAAAACAACTCTTTTTAAATATACTTTTTACAACTTATTGTTAGGATAAATACAGTTATTATTTGTATTCCAATAATTTTTTCAATATAAACGTTTTTCATCATTGTAACAACGTTTGTCATTTAGAAGTAAAAAATAAGAGGACTATGTGCTTATTGTGTAATGTGTTCGAATTAGTATTATTTTTTTAAATAATGGTCAAATGATCAAAAATAGCAATATGATTTTTAAATCTGTAAAATACCATTTTAGAACTACTTGCAAAATAATATTGGAGCATATAAATACAAATTCGATTTGTATATATTATATATATTAACCTATTCTGTCAAGAGATAATAATGTGCTGTTAGAGAAAGTAAGAGTGGAACAAAATATTATAGCACAGATTTCACGGGTTCAACGATCTGAATCCACGCAAACGCATAACTACTCACGTGGTCTTAAATGATTACATTTATATAAAACAGTTGTTAAAATATTTCAATCGTTTTTCCTAAAAGGTTAAAATAATGTTCCTATCAAAAACGATTGAGAGGAAGCTTTTTCAAATAAATGATTTCTTTTAAAAAACAATTTAGAATTTGTTTAACGTATATTAAATATTAATTTGCATTGTATAATGGGGTATAGTATGGACATTATTTATAATCAACGGTATTGAGTATGAACGCAAGATATCCTTAATATTATATTAGTTTAAAGAGAGATAATTTTTTTGCATTAAAAAAAATTGAATACCATAAATATTTTAATTTAATTTGTTTACTGCCTAGTGCTTTTATCATATATGTACTTTTAAGCGGAATAAAGCGGTCTAAATGTTTTAGACGAAAAAGCCTGACAACATTTTGACCTCATGATCTGTTTTCAATTTTGTAAATAGATACCAGTTTATTGGCTACTTCACTAGGTTATGTTGAAACGGATTTTTTGGTATTTTGGTGTACAAAAATTGCGTTTTAATATTAAACAATTTTTTAATTTAATTTATGTAGTTACAAAAAAACCTTAGTTTTAAATGAAACCCGGTTAAGAACCTAGGAAAACAGGCCAACAAATTCTTATTTTTATACAAAATTAAAAATTATACCTGCGAATATTTTCCAATTTTGTCACAGCGAAAGAATGTTTACTATCAAAATGGCTTTTTCTCATAGAAACAATTGCGTACGTAAAATATAATATTTTAAAGCTTATACAAATTAACCTCAAAATAATTTATCATGGTCGAAATAAATTAATTTTTTTCTTAGAAATATTGCCTGTGTAAAATTCTCCAAATCCCAGCTTTCAATCCTCCAACACATAAACTTTTATACTTAATAACAAAAAAATGTGTATTAATAAATCTGTTGTCTAGGAGCTGATTAATGCGCTAATTTCCCTCCGATGGGAATTAAGTTTTTTTTTTATCTTAAAAAATTCTACAAATCTTTATATTTGTGTGGGTACATTTTTTAAATTTTAAATCTTGAAACGATTATTTTATATTTATTCATAAAATTTGATAATTAACTCAATTTGTCGAAAATTACTTAAATTGCGTTTATACGTGATAAAGGTAGTATTAATTAAACATTTAAATACTCACTGTTATTTGAATTCCTGTTGTTTGCCGTCTGACTTTCGTAGAGAAACAAATTGCATAGATCAGTAGGCGGCATAGATGGATCTTCGACATTTTGTATGGTCATTTTCTAGGCAAAAAAAAAAAATTACAACAGGAAAAACAACGATAGTTGTTTTTCTACCTTATGTTTTTAATATAAAATTGAACGAAACGTTTTAATTGCGATTTCATTCACGATTGAATTTCAGTAGAAAGTCATTTGGCATAACAGACTTTTATTTTAAACACGCGAAATTTGATTTTTTTATGAAATACTTGGGAAACCCCGTCACTGGAAAGATTTATTTAGATACTAGCCTTTGACTAAGTTAAACGTGTTAATTTATACGCGTTATTTGATATTATTATTTTAATTAACAACAGTAATAATTATATTATATTATTTAAATGGCAAGAGACTGATGTACGCACTAACGCGTGCTGTGGTTGTTACAAATTGACAAGGTGACTACAGTCTACAGACGTCTGACTGGTAACTTGGGGAACGATACGATTGAAAACGGAGAGCGGAATGGCGAATTTGTAAAACGTGCAGCGCGCGCGAACTCTTCGGCGGCCACCGTCACCACGCGCGTGACGGCCCAGTGGGGAAAACAATAACAATAATAGCATTGATTAAAGAGCTAAACATGGATGGCCCAAATGTGTGGGATTTGGGAACTCGTCGTATAGCTACACAGTTTACACATAGATGTCTCGCACGCCAACGTCGTTATCGATTTGTCAAATGCCATGTAATTAGTAGCCGGTTAGCGGTGCGCCCGTTGGCACAGATTAGATAAAATGTTATCTTATCTGTTATCAGGTTAAGAGCTACAGCTGCTGATTGCTGAAGCCTGCACACCACAAACTAAGAACGTTATAATATCTTATATTAATTATTATTATTCTTCTATCTTAGTGCGTGCTGCACAGTGCACACTACTCCAACAGGCAGTCGAATTAGGCGGCGAACGATATCTTATTTATTGTATTGTATTATTTAGGAGTTTTGTCGAGCTGATAACGTTAATTGGTAACAAAAATTATGAGTTAACGACCACTTAGTTTGAATTGATTGGAAGCTTTTGATTTTGCTATAATATTAGACAACTGTCATTTACCATGAATTCGCCGGAAAATGACGATTATTGGAATGAAAAACTATCGGAAGGATTCAGTTTTGAAGATGAAGTGAGTATTTATTTTTATGAGCATTTTTTAACAATGTCAGTATACGCCGTGCAGTCGCCAGTTTTTCGTTTGACTAGGCAGAAGTAATTGCAATAACAGTTAAAATAAACAACTTTTAATTAATTAATTAAACTTATTGTTAAATATCTTCTTCTTCTAGTCTCCGGCTTTGAAGACCAGACTGATAAAGCTAATTCCACCTCTCTCTATCTCTTGCCTCTAATCTATACCTGGATCTCTCCTTACTTTCCAATCAGATCTTCCTATCTTGCACGTGGGCGCCCTAATGGTCTTTTTCCTAAAGGATCGTTATATTGTTCGAACATTATCAAAGAACTGTCTTTCCTCCATAAGTATCCTGCCCATTGTAGTTCAACATATGGCTTATGATATGTTTGTTCAAGTTCTTTATTTTTTCTGATCCTCCACTGACCTGTATTTAAATTAAAAACGGATACAACGATTTGTCTTAAAATCTTTTTGTTGAAGATTAGCGACTTATGTTCATCAGTTACTTCAAATCCAAGCCTCACAGCCATACAATACAATCGGTCTGATTATAGTATGGTACAATTGTACCTTTAAATTCTCTGATAGTGTCCTTGATCATAATCACTTTGTTAAACCGAAAAAACACTAGCTGCTAGGTTGCACTCCCTCATTAATTTCTGTTACCATTTCATTTTTATGTGTAATGACTAATGAGTGAGCCCAGGTTTCAAATTTGTTAATCCTTTTAAAGTTATATCCTTAGTGCATATTTTGATTTTCTGAAATATGATCTCTGCAATATCATAAAAAATGTTTTCTCTTTATTAAATTGTAAACCAATTCTCTTTGCTGTAGCCCTGAGTTTCTTCGCTCCATTGTTTAGGCTTTCTCATCTTCTTCTAACAACACTAGATCATCCGCATAAACGAGACTACTAATTTTTGGTTATAATAAAATAACTAATTAATTATTAGGTATAAAGTCTGAAAAAATGTCTTTAAAAATATAACTTATCTTTTAAGCAATAAAAAAAAAATAGAAGTAATTTGCCTACTGGTAATATCACAGAAATACAGAGCTCACTGAGCAATTGTTGTTCCAATAGTTATTTATTTATAGTTAATTGTATTTTTTTTTCAGGTTAAAGAATCAAATTATAAGAAAATAAATCCTGAATGTGAAGGTAGGCTCTAAACGCTATTTTTAGTTACTTTTATGAAATAATGTTTTAAATATAGGAAATTTTAAATAGTTTGTTTTTTAGAATCCTATTTTTTATTATAAATTTCTATTTAAAAAATTGTGTTTTTATAGGTTTTCAAATTGGTTTATCAAAAACTAAATTAGAAAATGTGATTTCATTGAATAATATTTTACCAAAAGAAGTACTAGATAAAAGTAAGTTTTAGTTTGTCATGTGAGATAATATACCTTTTACATACAAAGTAGGGCTGTAATTACCCGAAGTTTGGTATTAAACCCAAAAAAAATGTACAAGAACTTAAAACCTGATATTTTTAAACTACTGGTAATCAATGGTGTGGCGAAAAGGGTAATTGAGAGGCCTCTGACTGTTTCAAGGGATGGTGAGTGGGCGGGTAATGAGAATAGCTGATGGGTAATAATTTAGTTTCATAATTATGAATGTAGGGATATAACACACAAACAAATATGTATATTGTTATTGATAAAAGAGGTATTTGCCATTTGGGCATTGGAAATATATACTTGCTTCTAAAAATATTTGAGTTCGCCACGCCGCTGCTGGTAATATGACAGTTCTTTTGCAAAGTTAAGAAAGTATAGTTTTGGTATTCCTCAATTATTTTTTTAGCATTGGAAGATACTATCAATTTTTTGTTTTAATTCTGAAAAAAATATAGTAAATACTTAAACAATGTGTAATACAATTTAAAATTCCCGTTGTTTAGTCTTTGAGTCGAAAAAAACGCAACATATGGCAAGGAAACCAAAAACATCTCAGGTAATTTTCTTATTAGTATTATGTGCAAATTTATACCAATCTCTCTAATGAATACATTTTTTTTTTTTATACATTTATATAATTTCTCGATATTTACAATTTATTATGTATTTTACAGGAAAAAGAATTAGACATCAAATCTACAATAGAAAAAATTCTAATGTCTTATTTTTACTCATTAGAACCATATCATAGCCTAGAAGATAAAAAAATGTTATTGAAAGAGTCTTTAGATACTGAAGATGGTAACACTATATTAACTGTATGACATATTTACCACAATATTATTATTTGTAGTTATTATTTATTTGAAATGGCAAATCATTTTAGGTTGTTATATTTTTATCGAATACTCTTAAAAAAAGTATTTTCCAACGTATTTTACGAGAAAATCCTGTTGCTGCCACTCATTATGTTCATTATTTATACTCTAGACAATCTATAGAAGAATTAGTTGACACATTAGAGTAAGTAATTGTTTTCATTTTTATTTCCTAACAGGGTCTCATTTATACGTACATTTTTACTAATTAAAATTTAACTTTTTTAAATATTATGATTATAAATACATCATTATCCCAATATATCATATTAATTATTATAAATAACACTGTACTTATATAACTCATAATAAAGCATAGGTAAAGTACAATTAATCAAACATTTAATAATTACAACTGCTAAAAAAAAACATAATGTAAAATAATTCAAAATTAAAACCTTAATTTTAAAGTAATCATAATTCTTAAGAAAATAATTTGCATACTATAATAACATTTCTTGGTTGCTGGCCATTATTCTAGCTGGGTGGGCAACCGTCTAGTTAAAGAAATGGCCACACGTTTAGTGAGGAAAGCCACGAGAAACTTCACCATATCCATTCCCCAGGATGCAATTCTTGTAGATAAAGAGTTGCAGTGATGAGGGGAAGCCTTTAGATAGAACAAATTATATATATAAATATATTAATTAAATTAACAATTGACTCTTTTAACTTGTCTTTTGGGGTAAAAGTTTATATTGCGGACACAATTATGTGGCCAGGGGGCTGGAAAGTGCAGTCCATTAGTAATTACCAACACGTATCTGACAAGGGTCTCCCTAAAATATAGGGCCCGGATCCCTTGGCCCATAGTAAATATGAGTTTGTTTCCTAATACTATATTTACATTATGACACCATTTCAGAATGTTGGGAAGAACAAAAGATGCCATGGTAAGTTGGTAGTTGCCTCTTTTATGAATTAATTATTATTTTTTTGTTTGATTTTAAATGTTTTAGATGATGCAATTTAATTTTGCTTGTCGAAACCCACAAAATTGCCTTCAGCGATTTAATGTCTGTTTCAATTTAGCAGATGATCCATATGATAAACAAACAATATCACAATATATTAAATTAATTGGTAATTAACTTTTTAAAATTATAGAAATACATGATTATTTTTATTTTTTGTATGACTTGATATTTTTATAACAGAGAAAAGTGACCCAAAGAATGCTCATTTGACATCGGTTGTTAGTTTAGTAGCTCAGAATTGTAAAGAGAAACAAGACATTAATTCGTGTCGTTTATTGGCCAGTGAATTTAATCTTAGTGCAAAACAGTTGGAAGCTTCTTTACTGATTACTTTTTGTCAACTCCAAAATTGGATTCAAATAGATGATATTTTTATAAACAAAGTAGTATAATTAATTGTGAAATCTAACATATATTTTTTAATATCATTGATTACAATCATTTTAGAACTGGCTAGGAAAAAATAACTTAGCAATATCATTACCTATTGGGAAAACTGTTAAATTATTGCATAATAATGGGGCACCGTCTTCATCATTAACCCGATATTTAAAGATGATTAAAGACTCGGAAGAACGGTTAGAGTTAGCCAAAAAGTTCCACTGTCATCATATAATAATTGATGTATGTAATGCATGAAATCAAATTTATGATAACTATTGATAAAATATAGATAGACAACAATTTTACCTATATTTCTAGATTCCACATTGTTAAAGTTATTATGAAATTAAAAAAAAACATTTAAGAAGAAGACCAAAGAAAAGATGGAATAGAGAATGATATGAGGATAGCTGGGGTGATTGAATGGGATGTAGAAGATTGAGCTGTATGAAGATATAGGAATAGGGTGCATATATATATAATAATATTTATGGGTGCGTTGTCTATCTATAATATATTTCTTAATCTATTTTACATTTAATTGTAATCGTTATTAATGGTTTTTTTTTTTTAAACCTAGGATTTTGCTTCTAAAAAAGATCGTAGAGGTTTATTAGTGTATAGAACTATTTTGCAGAAACAGACTGAAAGTTATTTTTATGCTGATACGATTTTAAAAAGTCCCGTAAGTTTTATTTATTTCAAATCAGAAGCAAAATAAGATATGTTGATGTACAATATTATAATATCTTGATATTGATGGCATAGTGCACAGGTATTGTGAGTGCATTTTTTAAGAATTGGTGTTATGTGTAGGCAGTAGACACCTACTATTATTTTTTTAAAGAATTACACATATTGTAAACATAAAACTTCAAATTTTTGTTCCGAAAGCTCATGCCAAGTTCATAGGCGCAATTTCAATTTTTAATTAGGGGGGGCTAGAATTTTTTTAAAATTATATATATATATATAAGTAAATATATTTTTGTATTTTTAAAATTGTATGCATAACCCAGTTTTTTTGGTGGGGCTATGTCTAGCATTGGGGGGGGGGGTGGCTAAACCCACCCTAGCCCCTCCGTATTTGCGCCTATGGCCAAGTTCATTAAGTACATGGAGTGATAAAGTGTTATACATTTTAAAACATTTTCGTAAAATTATTCAAAAATAATACAAATGTGTATTAAGCCATTAATAGCTATGTAGAATACATTTTACTGTGTTTTATAGAAAATTACTTATTTAAAATCAAAAATAAGAACATTTCAGAAACAATGTCGTATCCAATTTTGAAAATAATAATGTTAAAAAAGTTAGTTTTAAAAAAATGTAATTTTAAATGTTAAACATAAGGTTTATAAAAAATAGGATATGACATTGTCTTCAAAATCTTGCCATCTTTCATTTTGTTTAGGTATTCTTGCTCTAAAATCATCTCGGAGTGAGTAAAACACATTCTGCTTAGGTATGTTTTAACGCTAGAGAATTGGGTGTATAAGATTCTCTTAGTTGTTTTTTAAATGATTCGTCTTGTATGTTTTAAAAAATTACCAATTATAGCTTGTTTTACTAGTTAAGCTTTCATTCTTTTGTGTTTTCAATTAAATTTTCTATTAATTAACCATATTCACAATTACTGTTCTATCCTAATTAATTATTAAATTTGCATTTCAGATTATCAAGTGGAAAAATTGATGTTATGTCAATAAAGAAATTAGTGAAAACGTTAGAAGAAATTAAGACTGAATACAAAATGTTATTAAATATTCAGAAATTGTATTTAAAAATGAAATATAAAATTATTTTTTTATTTTCTGTAATTTATGTTGTAACATTTTGTTTATACAAATTGTATTTTTTAAACTTTTGATGTAATTGATAAATTTATAGTAAAAATTCCCTTGATCATAGGAGGTAATCATTGGCCATTGGCTAATGTTTTTAATTGTTCACCATGACACTGCATTCTCTAAATTATATCATTGTGCACCAAAAGTATACTTTATTAGACTTATAATTAAGTAAGCAAACGTAAGCTACTATATTCATCTTTCTGCTTCTTATCGCACCGGATTTTACAATACCTGTCCATCTGCCTTGTCTTATCGCCAACGAGCTGCGTCTTTCATTGTTTTGCCACTCAAATATTACAGATTCGCATAATATTATATTAAGCGATATACTCGCATATACAGAGTGTGCCCAGTGCAGTGGTCTGAGTCATACTTTTTTATACTCCCATCTATCATGCAAAAGTAGGATACTCCAATAAAACCTGTAAATGTCGCATCCGGCCACAGCAAAAAAGCTGTTTCTATTTCAAATGAAGATCTGATGGCCGCTCTAAAGACTTTCAAAGGGGAAATTTTATCCTCCCATAAGTCTCTATCAGACCTCCAGGCATCCCAATATAACGACCTAAAAGCCGACATCTCTCACGTGTCACTTCAAATGTCTGAATTGAAAGCTGAGAACTCTACCCTTCGTGCGGAAATTGACGTTCTCAAAGGAAAAGTCGCATCTTTGGAAGGTTGCAATTCGGTCGAACAATCGCAATCCATTATTAATCTAGTTCTTCAAGAAACATTCGAGCGTGAAAGATGTCAGACGAATTTGATTACCTTTGGGGTCCCTGAGTCTTCTTCTTTGGATATTTCCTTGCGAATAGAGCATGATAAAAAAACATTCTGCAATATACTCTCATCCCTTGGTAATGCTGTCCCTTCAAACTTCAAACTAGTCCGAATTGGAAAGTCAAGTACTTCTTCTTTCCGTCCACTAAAAGTTATATTCGATTCCAAAGAGGTGGCAGCTCACCTATTATCCACTTTCAATGCAGCTAAACGCTCTGGTACTGTATTCATGGAAAATTTTCGTATGACTAGTGACAAAACACTTTTACAACGAAAACTACTTCGTTCATGCCATGCCGAACTCGAGCAGAGAACCAAAGGCGGAGAAACCGACCTACGAATTGTTTTTGAAAATGGATTACCTGTAGTAGGAGTCACCAATCCAAAAAACGGAGGAGCTCGTCGTCACCATTCAAGCAAACATCCTTAGCTGATTCTACCAATTTCGCTCCGCTAACCGGTTTTTACCATAACTGTCGTGGCCTAAATACTAAATTAACTAATTTTAAATGTAACGCATCACCAGTGAATTATAATTTTTCCAATGATAGCTGTACATTTTGTTCCCATTCAAATTCAACTTTTACTCTATTCTTGTCTGATTTTAATAATTTTAAAAGAAAAATGGCTAACGAGCCAAATAATCTTTATACTAATAGTTTAAAATCACCTGTTTTGTATAACCAGCTAAATATTTATTATCAAATTATTCGTGGCCTTCGCACGAAAATGTTTAATTTACATACTAATTTTGTAACTTTGTCTTATGACGTATACATCTTAACTGAAACCTGGCTTTCTAGGGATATTACTGATGCTGAGTTGGGACTAGAAGGCTTCGTTATTTTTAGAACTGATAGAAATGCTTCTACTAGCAATTGCCTGCGCGGGGGTGGGTCATTAATTGCTGTGAAATAAAATCTATGTCCCATTTTAGTTGTTTCAAATTATGATAGTGTCGAACAAATATTTGTGCGTATTACTCTACATGGTGGTGTTTCTGTTTTTTTAGCGGGAGTTTATCTACCTCCAACTACGGATCTTATTGGCTATGGTTGCCATACAGACTCGATAGATCAGGTTTGGCGAGATAATAATTTCGATATTGGCATTGTTTGTGGCGATTTTAACCTTCCTAACGTAAAGTGGACAAGTAGTATTTCCGGGCCGGAGTACAGTGGCTCTATTACTGATAAAGTTCGCTCAATTGGTGATCAGTATGCTTTACTCGACTTTCATCAAATGAATAATACAGCCAACAGTCACGATTATTTTCTTGATCTTGTCTTCTCTAATAATGAGAGTGTTACAGTTGATCAGTCTCTCGATCAACTTGTACCATGTGATCCCTATCACCCAGCGCTATCCATATCGTACAAATATAATTCAGGTGTTTTAGCGCTTAATGATCAACATAATTATCGTGACTTTAAGAATGCGAGCTATGAAGAAATTATCAATAATTTAGGACATATTAATTGGAATAATAATTTAGACATGTTATCATCTGAACAAGCTGCTAATTTTCTACAAAATACTCTCCTAGATGCTATTCATAAGTGGGTTCCCTTGCGTACCTTTCGTACTTCAACTTTTCCTCCGTGGATGTCAAAAAGTCTAAAGTATCTTTTGGCCAAAAAGAAACGCGCCCATAAAGCTTACAAAACCCTAGGCGGTCCTAATCGCTACCATACATTTTCTTTATTGCGCGCTCGTTGCAAGGCTGAGTCAAAACGTTTGTACAGAGATTATATGCATACCTTACAGAACAAATTGCGTACTAATCCACGTTCGTTTTGGTCTTTTGTTAGTAGCCGCCAGAAAGGTCACGCCATTCCTGAAGAAGTACACTTAGATGCTGTCAAGGCTTCGGGCAATCAAATAGCTACTTTATTTGCCTCCTATTTTTCATCTGTATATAAAGCACCCACAATCGTCCCTAAAACCCTATTGGATGAGTTTACCCCAAGTCAATTTTCCTTCCTTCCGTCCTCTTTATCTATATCCATTGGCGAGGTAAACGCTGCTCTTAGCTCATTGGCTACTACTCTCGGTTCAGGGCCTGATGGAATTGCTGCTCAATTCTTATATCGTTGTCGCGATATTCTTTGTTTACCTGTCTGTTTGATTTATAATAAGTCGCTTTCTGAGGGTGTTTTTCCATCAGTTTGGAAAGTTAGTCGAATCACACCGATTTTAAAATCGGGTGATCCGACTAACATTAGAAACTATCGGCCCATTTCTGGGTTGCCCTTTTTAGGTAAAATATTTGAATTGATTGTGCTAAAAAACATTGACCGACCTCTTTTGTCAACTATTTCAATTGATCAACACGGGTTTATCCCGGGTCGCTCAACAACTACTAGCGCAGTCGATTTCACCTCCTTCGTTCACGAGGCGTTTGAATTAAAGTAACAGGTTGACGTCATCTATACTGATTTTAATAAAGCATTTGACTCTATCGACCATCGTTCTTTGATATATGTTCTGGATCGTCTTGGAGTTGGTGAACCACTTCTTTCATGGTTGAGATCTTACCTTATGGAGCGCAGACTGTTCGTAAATCTTTTTGGAAATGCATCAGATTATTTTCAAGCGCTGTCCGGAGTTCCTCAGGGTAGTCATCTTGGTCCCATTCTGTTTAATATCTTCATAAACACCGTTTATTCCTTTGTTTCCCCATGCCGTGTTCTACTTTTTGCTGATGACGCCAAAATGTTTTATGCAATTTCATCGCAGGAAGACTGCCTTGTACTACAAGCCGTTTTGGATAAATTTTCAATCTGGTGTAATTTGTTAGGTCTATCACTGAATACTAATAAGTGTAAAGTCATGTCCTATTATCGTACGCGTGCGATGTTGACATTTAACTATAGTCTAAATGCGATGCCTCTCGAGCGAGTTTACCAAGTAAAGGATCTCGGATTTTTGTATGTCCCTACTCTAGACTTTCGGCCCCATATTGATTTCGCTATCAGTAGAGCATTACGAGCTCTTGGGATTATTAGGAGACATTCGTCTGATTTCAATTCTACCGAATGTCTGTCTGCCCTATATAATTCCCTAGTTCGGTCTAACCTAGAGTACGGTGCAGTTATTTGGGCGCCATATACTGCAGGTGACAGACAGAGAATGAACCGTGTACAGAATAGGTTTTTAAGTTTTGTTGGGTATCGCTTAAAAATCTTACACCCACCTCATGATTACAGTCCCATTAATAATGTTCTTGGACTGCAACCACTATAGCAGCGGCGCAAGAACCTCTGCTCTCGGTTTATTTCGGGTTTGTTAGACGGCCGAGTTGACGCCCCTCGCTTATTGGAACAACTTAGTATTCGGGTCCCGACTAACACCAGACTTAAAAAGTTCTTTTATCTTCCTACCACCAGATCCAATTTCACTAAAAATGCACCTCTCATTCGTATGATGGGAATTTTTAACGATTTATGATTTATATTATTTGTGTTAAGGCCACACCTCTCAAAATTACCTTTTTATTATGTATATTTTTTGTTGTTTTGTTTTGTTTCGTTTTCTTTTGGTTGATTTGTGTATTTTAAATATCACTACATATATATATATATTATTGTCTAATTTATAAAAAGCCGTTAGGCGTAAATTACTATAAATTACTGTAAATTAAATTACTATAATTAAAACATTTAATTTACATCGTCAAGTCTAAAAAAAGACACTAAACGATTATATTTTCAACTTAAAAATATGGCATACCATAAAATAACAAAAATATAGTACTATTTGATTGTACTAACGAACCAGACGTCCGATTAGTTTCAAGTATATTTTGAGGTCCCCTTTAGATATAAAACTACAGATACGGTTGTGATCAGAATCAGATTACTCCAGACCTACGTTATTACTGTACTTCTGTATTTGTGTTATATTTAGAAGATTATGTTATCATTATTCATTCTATTACATGATCTAGAAAAAACTTGAGCAACTTATGGTTATACGTAATAAAATAATATTTAAAACATAAAATAATACACTCTCCGCGTATACGTAATTCACCAACAATGTTGTCATCTTCAGTGCGAACGACAGACGACAGTCTGTACTATTACATGATGTATAATTAATAATTCTAGTTGAATGAATTTATTCAACTTTCACGTGGGTCAATGAAACCTTAATACGGCACACGATACGGGATCTGTTTATGTTACTACAATAACCGTTTTACTATGGCTTCAACGCTCTATTTTTTTTTCTACTTGCAAAGTTTAAACATGAAAATCCGTTTTGGTAGATAGGTTATTGTTACATATTCATCCTGAACGATAACGTTTGCTTCTTTGGCAATATATATTTTATGGATATAAAAAATGATAAGTTTGACTTTTCCGTTTCCGATGAGCGTCGTGAAAGTGATGTTACAACTACATCTTCCTACAAAAGGACTGTTTTCGGTCGACAAAAAACCAGTAAATACAAATAATATTAATTATATTTTAATTTTTTTTTTCTAATATATTTTTGACGTAATGGTATAGTATCGGAGGCTTCGATCTACAACCCCATTAATCCAGAACTTCGAAATAGGCGAAGGAGTAAGTTTTGTACATCTGCAATATTACAATTTATAATAGGTACTATTGTCAGTAAATCACAACAATGCGCAATAACTTTTGATTTTTTTATTGTTTAATCATAGAATTTAGTCTGGCGGATAAGACTCTAGACTGCATTACTCAATGTTTTTGGCAATGTTCATCTTGCTACCAGTGCAATGACAAACATACTTGAATAAAATATTGGTATATACCAGCGATAAAACTCCTTAAGGTTTAAAAAAGAAATTTAATTATTCAAGTACCCAAATATTAAAATATGTATTCAAATTCTATAGAAAATCAGCCCTGTTGTTTATCTTAAAATGTTTTTATTTATTGCCTTATTTGAAATTTGATTTGAGATTATTATTTTAAACATAAAATAGTTTTTAAGTATTTCAAAAATTACAATCAAGCATCTTGATTTATGATTTATATTTCATATATTGATGTACCTATGTTTAAATAAAATATCTATATATACAAACATGTACACTTACAAGTATAATATATCTACTTATATATACATTGTATTTTATTGGAAATATAGATTAGAATTAAAATTAATTATTTTAGTAAATAGCGACCATAAGCAAAATTTGAGGGTGCTCTGCATTTAGATATTGCAGATAATGTTTGATTTACAGTTGCTTCTAGCACTGGAGTATCTTTTACGATAGCAATAATTGCTAAATCGTCTGCGAACACTACCAACTTGTCAACTTCTGGGATAGTGATCCTGAGAAGATTATTGTAAAATACGTTCCACAGTGCCGGCCCCAATACTGAGCCTTGGGGAACACCACTAGTTATACTCCGTTGTTGGCTGCCATTTCTGACCAGGAGAGACCAGTCTTCCATGTATGACCGAAGTATTCTCACAAGGTACTCGGGCGCTTTGCTTTCACAAAGCGCAGGGTCGATGTGGTGCCACGGGACAGAGATAAATGCGTTTTTAACATCCAGTGCTACTAATAAGCATAGTAGCTTTGGGCGCGTTACAACGCTAGCAGCAGTGTGAGCCATGTCAAGTACCTTTTGAATAGCATCTTCGGTGGATCGACCCCTTCTGAAACCGTATTGATTTTCGGCCGTATCGTTTTATGTGTATTTACAATCTAGATTAGAAGGTCTCTGCACCAAGATCGTTTCAGGCGTCGAGTAGGATTATTTGAAGAGTCCGAGTGCCGAGCTAGGTGACGAGATTTTTAGGGTGGTTGAGTAGCTTACTGTGGTAATTGGTATCTGTTTGTAGTACAAGGAGGCAACTTCTTTAACAGATTTTATTCTTAAGAGGGCGTCGCACCGCTCATTTTTAAGGAGTAAAGTATAGGCAATTTTTTACAAAATCTTAATTTAAAGGTTAGACTGTGGTATGTAATTATTATTAACTCTATTTTGGTAGTTCATTAATTTTTTGGACTATCACAGCATCCTTGAAAGCGATTTAAAAATGTTTTTTCATCTCTACATGTTTACGCAGACTGAAAATAACTTGCTTAATTTTGGTTTTAGAGTGAAAGCACCCATTATAAAATTAAAAGAGAACAATATTCCGGAGGGCAAGACGGTGCTTTTTTTTCATTATTCCATGTATAACGCTCAATACATAGTTTAGAAATAACGACTATTTTAACACTTTTAAATGACTAACTTTTCAAAAAATGAATTTTTTTAAAAAACGTACCGTCTTGCCCTCCGGAATATTGTTCTCTTTTAATTTTATAATGGGTGCTTTTACTCTAAAACCAAAATTAAGCGAGTTATTTTCAGTCTGCTTAAACATGTAGAGATGAAAAAACATTTTTAAATCGCTTTCAAGGATGCTGTGATAGTCCAAAAAATTAATGAACTACCAAAATAGAGTTAATAATAATTACATACCACAGTCTAACCTTTAAATTAAGATTTTGTAAAAAATTGCCTATACTTTACTCCTTAAAAATGAGCGGTGCGACGCCCTCTTAAGAATAAAATCTGTTAAAGAAGTTGCCTCCTTGTACTACAAACAGATACCACACATAGGCGGACTTAGGGGTGGGCTAAAGGGGCATTAGCCCCCCCGAACCTAATTGGTTTTTTTATTTTAGTAAAATTCTTATTTAATTTTCTATTACCTAAAAAAGTATAAAAACCATTTTTTTTAATATATATTTTAATACTTAGTTTTTTTTAGACTAGTTGGATAACGTTTGATTGTGGTTTATGTGTCATTTTACACAAGACAACTTCTAATGTTTTATTATCTTGGCGGCTGACCGCCAACCGTCTAGTGGCAAGACCTATTGGGAGGGTGGGGTGAAGGGTTGTTATTATCATTGTAGACTACTTTTCCACAGCTAAGTATAAACAAATACAAAATATAAACATTGTATATTTATCTATATATAAAGCGAACTTATCGCAGATAATGTGCCAAATTTCACGTTTCTACCTATACGGGAAGTGTTTTATGATTTTGATGATGAGTGAATGAGTGAATCAGTAACAAAAATGTAAACTTTGAAATTCTCCCCTTTTAAAAAGGGCTCAAATTTGTACAGTATCCTAAGTTATTCAAGCTTATGTATGTTTCAAAAGCTTATACTAAGAGGAAATAGAGATATATGGGTTAGAATTCAACTCCTCTTTAAATTCCACCCCTAAGAGGGTAAAAAGGGAACACGTAAACTCGAAACAACACAAACTCTTCGTTAGATAGGACCAATTTCAAAAAAAATAAACATATTGCATAACCCCTGGCGAAGCCGGTCAACACAGCTAATTAATAAAAAATTAATACTTTTTTCAGAAAGCTGAGATTATTTTACATTAGAAACTGATTTTTAATCATTTATATTGATGACCGAAGATACTATAAAAAAGAAGTGTCAAGAAACATATGACGACCATGCAGTGTAATTTTCAAAAACACCCTCGGGGGTCGCTCCAAACGTTCGTTCGTATTTGACGTTTTCACCCATATAAATTATAATTATAGTTGGCTTCTTCTTGAAATAAGAATTAATTTGTGTTATAATATCTTCTGTTATGCCGTTATTTGGCTCAATCATAGTAGGAAAGAGTAAAGTAAAATCGGGTAAGCCGGTCAAACCTTCCCTCTCCTATCCAAGTTTCAGATATCAAAATCCCTCGATTCGAATCTTTTTTAAAAATAATTTCGTCACCTTAGATTTTAAATATTTAATTTTTTTGTACTTTAAATGGGTTTCTTTACTTTATCCGACACAAGTAGAGTTTGACAATATTTCTTGTTCCAATTACATGTATTGTTCTTTATTTTCATATAAATTAATACCATACACGATTCAACAGTTTTATACCTACTATAAGAGGGCATGCAAAAATAATTGCAAAGATCAACGGTATTTAAAAAAAATAAATTAAGTACTTATCAGTATTCAATACGTATAATACAAAAATGTACGAGTTAAATATGCTGATATATTAATTATAACAAATAAATTCATCACCTAAGTCTTGAATCGTAGAATAAAAGATGGAAAAGATAAGATCTGTGCTTTATCTTTAAATTAACAAATTTTTATTATTAACTGCCCTGAATTGTTTGTAGTATGATACTTTCAAGTTCCAAGTCTTAGAACCTGACAGTTAAATACTGTTTATGTGCTTTTCAAGAGTTCAAACTATTGTCTAAATGCCCCTAAATTAGATTAATGCTTGTAAATAATTTTAATTTTGACTTGTATGCTAATAATTTAATGGATTCTTACAATAGATGTATCTAAATAGTTGATTAGAGAAATTCTTGTATGATATTTAATTTTAAGATATATTTAAAATATAAATTTTGTATACTTATTGTTGTATAATACTACTATAGTACTTAGTCTTATATTAACACTAGACTTAATTTCAAAATGTTAATTGGACGCTGCCCATAAAAAATACAATAAAATAAATTCCAGAAAAAATAACTTAAAAATAATTCAATCATATTATAATACCTATTTTGTTATTATTATTATACAATTTTTATAAAATTATTACCAAGTTCTTAAAACATATAATTGATAAATATATATGATAACTATTTAATTGACTTTAAAAAAACTAGTTAATGATGTTTGTTTTTTGCCTTGAACCGATGAATTATTTTTAGCCATCAATTTTGAATGTGATTTTTTTTTATTTATTTTACTCGTAACATCTGCAGGTTCACTCGTTTTCATATTTTTCAAGGTTGATTCGTTATTCACATTGATGGACTCAGTTAATGCATCATCTGGTATTTCATTTTCTACAATTTTTACTTCTTTGTTAGTACCTTGAAAATAACCAAACGAAATATATAACAAATTATATTAAGTTCATTATTTTATTTAGTTAGTAAACAATTACATTTTTTTAGATAATTAAAAATGTCCTAATTTTAATTCATAGTTGTGATAAAAAGTAATATTATTATGATCGTTCACATAATGGATATTTTTACTTACATACAAAACCATCATCATCAATATAAGTGCTTGTTGTTACTTGTTTTTCTTTTTTAAGATTTTCTCTTATTGTTGGGCGTGGTGGTGTAGGTAAGACAAAATCAACTTCTTCGTGTTCTTCTGTATATTTAGATCTTTTATTATCTAAAAATTATTAAATGACCGATTACAAAACAAAATTAAGAAAGAAAAAAAATATATTATATCAATTAGTATGTCTAGATAAGTGACAATTCAAATTTTTTAAGGTATGATAAGCAACTTTTTGCTTTCCAATCAACTACAAATATTTCTTGTTTTTTCAACAGTTTATAGAGTTATAACAGTTTATAGAGTTTATTATAATATTTAAGGCAAAAAATTAGGATTTATTTATTAAACTATTACTCTAAATAGTGGTTTTTTTTACTTTATTATTTAATATTAAACTAATTGACATAAATATATGTTAGGTATTTATAAGTTTAAATCAAATAAAACATTTTTGATAGTGTTTAACAAACAAACTTATAAATATAGTATGTATAGAATCATGATTCAAGTCAGGCTCTAAGTCCAAAAACTGCCCTCAAAAATGTTATAATACAAATTCTATTCAGTTAACTATAACATGGGATTTTTGTTTATAAATCAACTAACAAATAAAATTAAAATATACTAAGTAGCATGATAAAACTAGTCCCAATGTTTTTATGCAACAATCATAAGTCATAACCCTACTAGGCACTGTCCGTATATGACAACACAAAAGTAAAATTTACATATTTAATTCTATATAATAAATCTTAGTTAACAATTTTTTTAACTCTAAACAATATAAAATACAAACCTTCTTCTTCACTGTTTATTTCTTCTTCATCTGAACTATTAAATGTTTGTATACGCTTCCTATGTTTTTTTAAGCTTTCATTATTTGCTTTTCTTTTCTTAGTTTTATCTTTTTTAATGACTTTTTTTTTAATATCAGTTGACTGTGACACTGTTTCATTATCGTACGACATATTACATACATCTTTTTTGTTTTGCTCTTTTTCCATTGATAATACATCCTTATTTTCACATTCTGGACTTTTCAATTTAATAAAAAAGTCTGATGTTGAAGAGTTAGTCTGAAATAAAATAATTAAAAAGTATAATGGGTAAAGATGTCTTGGATTGAAATATTAATTTGATAATTGTCAGGTATAACTAAATATAACTATGTAAATAATGTAACTAGTAATGTGTTAGTTTATTAAATAATTAAGATTATGTTCTTTAGTATTTTCCTAATAGTACTAATTTACATAACATAAGGCTTAAATCAATTTTTCATTTCAAAGTTTGCTAAATAATCAGATTTAAATTTTACCTTTTTACATTCCACCATCTTCTTATTGATTGGTTCAACTTCAGTTTTTTGTGTGGTATTTGTTTTAAAGAAATCATTTTTATTTTTTTGAGGCTATAAAGTACAATTTAACTTATTATTTTTAAATTTAAAAACAGCCTAAAAACTACACAAAAATTGTTTACTTTTTTTATTGTTTTTTTAGATTCACTGGTAGAAAATATTTCTTTTAAATTTTCTTCTTCTTTGCATTCATTTTCTTGTTTTGTTTCTTTATTTTGTGTTTCATCTATTTCCATTGGTGTTCCTTTAACTGAATCGTAAGCAATTACCTTTTTGGTATTTTTCATTCGAATACTTGAACAAATATTAGTAAAGTTCTCATCAATTTGTTCAGCTAAGTATAAATCATTGCTGAGATCCGTAAACCGACCAATAGGCTGAATACTATAAATTTGTTCAAAAAGTATATTTTTAAAACGGCGTCTGATAGTTTCAACATGATTGTCATAACTGAGTACAATACAAAATTCATTTTTTTCTTTTAATGAACCACCAATAACTACAGTTACTGAGTATTTCTTGCTATCTGATATTTTGCAAATATAATCTTTTAATAGCCTAGAAAATAAACAATTTAATAAATTACTGTTAGTTTAAGTGAAACACAGACATAAATCTGAAGTTAGGCTAATCAAAATGTATAAAAATAATAAGAATAAATTAACATACTGTTAAGCTGCCAAAAAAATGTGAAGCATAGCACATTAATTAGAATAAATCTACACAGGGTTGGCCTAGCTAGGGTCATGAACATAACCGGGGCCCCCAGCTATGTTGAAGCCTTTAAAGCCTCGTAGGCCCTAACCGGGCATTCAACCTATTAACGCCCGTAACTATTTTTTTTCCTAATTTTTGAGTCTCAAAGGGACCACCGGGCGTTAATAGGTTAACACAATATGTACGATTTGCTAAGGTGAAACAACTGTAAAATTATGTAAAATGTAGATACAATTTTTTTATAGGGGCCGTTTAGAGATTTAGTGTCCGAGGTCTATGCGCCAGGCTGACCCTGTATCTACAAAAGCATATAAATACTTCTTATAAAAATCCTTATAACTGGAAAACAAAGTTTTATTAAATGTTTGTACATCAAAGAAATTAATCACTATAAAAAAAATATTACATTTTTATTTTATTTGTATAAATAAACTTACTGTTTTGCTTTATTTGGATGAATATTCAACATTTTTGTCAGAGTTTTGTAAGTAACCTAAAAAAAATACAATCATATAGTTACTTCTGGTATCTTTAATAGTTAAAAAAATAAACCAATAATTAATACGTAATTAATGAAATATTTAAATGACTCTCTACCACAAAATTATGTACATTATAATAGTGTATGTGCATTTTTTTTTTATTAATGTAACTATCATCATTGCACACCGAAGACTGATAGTAATATTGTTATTGGAAGACAAGTATACTGTTGTAAATATCATTTTTTGGATTCACTTTATTTAGGGGTGACCAAAAATCAGGTAACTCAAGGAGAATTATGCATATTAATACTGGTTTCCACTACATACTCAAATTCCATCCATCCTAATAAGAATTGTTAAATATTTATCTACAGAAACAGAAAGAACACAATGAACCACACACATATCTCTGAAGATCAAAGACGCATGACTTCCAAAATATTAAGAGAATAGTCCATTTTTACATATAGGAGTATTCTTAAGTTTAGTAAACAATGTAAGTGATACATTTTTCAAATATTTATTTTCACTTTACAGCGAAGCTGAGAAGGAATTATTTTATTACTAAGTAATTAAACTACTTTTAATAGATTGATCCAACACTACATGTACACTTATAAGGTATAACTTATAAGCTTGTGGTGGGAAGGCGTAAAAAAACACACATATATATTATATACATTTTTTTTAAATCTAAATTAGGTCTTTTTAATTAATACCACTACTGATAGAAACAAATATATAGCTTACTATTTGTTGTTTATCTTCGAGTATTTCATCAATTAATTTTGTTTCCATTATTCTAATTTTTAGTTAATGATTAAATGTACACAAATAAAATATATAATATAATGCAAGTGATATTAAAAAAAATCGTATATTAAGCATAAAACATTTTAGGCGAACATCGAAATCAAAATGTGAATTGCAAGTCCAAAACAATGAGTTTATCTTATGTTTTTCAATGCGTTATGATCATAATATAATTGTAAATATATGTAAGCATATTAAGGTCCATACACTATGGGTATGACAAACTAAAGTCTATAACTAACTAAATACATAATCTTTACATTTTTTATCTTTAGTTATAGAATAATCACTCATTATCATGATAAATGATAATAGTACAAAAACAAAACATTTTTTTGCCGCCAAAAAATTATGATTATCCCATTTAACCACGATGTAGAGAAGATAAGTTGAAACCACTCAACTTCTTATCAGTAAAAATCTGGGTTCGAATGCTTCAGGCATTTTGGTAGTTCAGCTTCGCTGTACAGGTGGCGCCACCATTTGCCCGGAGGCCGATGTTTTCTATGCGGCTTATGGACGATAAACGTTTTATTTTTTATTTTTATGTTAATTATTCTTTATTTGGAGTTTTTATTATTTTTATTGTCTTATTTATTAATAGTAATTATTTTGTTAACTTTTTAATTGCTAAAACTGTGTTTTACCCCTATATATACTAATAGTATATTACTTAAACGTGATTTTGGAGGGAAATAACCGATTATAATTTATATAAAAAAAAGTTGATAATAAAACATGTGCGCAAGGAGATTACGAATTATTTTTATGTATAAAGCCATAAATTAAATATGGTGTAACGATATATTATACAGCTTTCTTATCAACGTTCATATTTCAATTTCAAGGGAGCTGTGTTGAAATTAATAAGCGTATCCTCAAATTTTGTAAATAATATTATGGAACCCTATGTAAGTTTTAACCATTGATTACTAATACATAATTAATCAATTTTTCAACCAATTTTTTAATAGTGTTATCACAGTAAAATTCAACCGTATGGTAAAATCACAGATTATATGAAAATTATTTTTCCTTCATCATTTGCCTATTTAGATAATATATTATGATATTGTAATTGAAATGATTGGTATACTATTCTACTTTAAGTGTGAATTGTTGGTTGTAGGTAATTTTTTAAATATTTTTTCTAGAATCATTGAAGTATACAATAGAAAATCAAATGTAAAATACATAATACAATGGCAGATTCTAAAAAAACTCAGATTAAAAACGATTTAGCAAAATTAGAATCTTGCTCTGATCTGGAAAGAAGCATCCAATTAGCCAAGCAAGCTAATGAACTGTGTGATCCAACACTGCCATTCTTACATAGTATGCAATATACAGAAGGAGATCTAGACCTATCATTTTATTTCTCAAAGTCTTATAATCTCAAAAACATACACAAAGAGGAGATATTTTCTTTATTTAAAGCAAACATGTACGAATCTTACAAAAACTGTCCCTGGGGATGGAGGGAGAAAAAAAAACGTTCCGAAATGTTTCATCAAAATGCTAGGTAAGAACAAAATAGTATTATAATAAAAATGTTGCCTTTATAGTTAATTGAAATTGATCAAAACTGTAACAATATGAAACCATATTGTTTCGATGAAATTCGTATGGATTTTTTTTTTAGAATTTATTGACCTAGAATGGTCCCATTTTAATTCTGTAAAAATATTTGAGTTTATCAGCATCTAATATTAATAATAATAATCTTTAGTGTAAGGTTCAGAAATTCCATACAATAACATTTTTTACATATATGAATTTTAAAATAGATGATGCTACCTTTAAAGCTTGTATGTGAGTGTAGCAAGTTCATTAACAATAGCAAGGTCGGCCTGGCACTCAAAGGGCCCCGGGTTCTAAATCTCTTAAGGGGGCCCCATAACAATTTCCTCAAAAATAGACTCTAATTTAAAAACCAAAAATGAACAACATTATACAAAGGTGATTTCCCCTGAAATTAATATATCACTTTGCCCTTCCCCCAAGTCACGACCAATTTGGAAAACAAAATATATTTATTGATGGTTAACTACCAACTATAATTTTTTTAAATATTTGTTAGGTACATACATGTTTTTTTAACAACTTTAAGTTGAAAATAGTAATTTTTATGAATTAGCTAAACATTTCATGGATTAAACGAAAAATAATTAATTTTTTATTAAAAGGTGTCAAGACTGAATATAATAATCAATTTCCGTTTGTGCCATTTTTATAACATAAAAAATACAAAATTTTGAAGAAAAAAAATTCAAACAGTCAAAATTCACGAATTTATTGCACTTAAAAAAAAAAAAATAAACAATGTTTTTGATTACAACTTCAAAAGTAAGTCTGACTTCACTATCGTCATCAGCATTAAAAAGCACACATTTTGAAAAACGTGTATAATATGTTTCAATCAAGCTTTCTAATGTTTCTAACATAATTTGTCAATTTTATCTACATACAGACAATGCTTTCATTTCAAGGGATATCATAGATTGAACTTTTGGTTCCCATTGTTTGTTTCCCATACATCTGTGAGCCCCGGCCACGTTCGCGGCCCTGGCCAGGCCGACTGTGAACAATAGTGCAGTTCATTAAAAAAAACTAAAAGAAAGAAAAGTAACAATTTTACTAACATAAAACTATTTATACTTAATAGGTACAATGATTTAAGTCAAGATTATTTAATAAGTTATTAAAGAAGTACTTATTTCTTAATGAGTCAAGATTAATACTTAACAGTTTACATAATTTAATTCCAAAATGTACTATCATCCTACTATTCTCTGTTCACCGAAAGAATGTGTCCATCAGCCAACCAAATCTCTCATATATTCCTGCGCATCCCACCCAAAAAACATGCTGACGTGCCCACTGAATGCTCACATTGAAACCTACCAGCAGCCGTATGGTGGGGGAAATTTAGCCTGGAGACAATACCGTTATGTCATTTGGATGCGCTACGTGGGATGCATTCTCTCGGTAAACGGAATATACCAAAAGATTAAGAAAACATCTCTTCTAAGTTATTGTGGGAATATATTTTTTATATTTCAAGTGACATTGTGTTTAAATCCCATTTTAATTTCTCAAATTTTAAGTATTTACTTCATTGTCATTTTTAAGTAAATGAAACAGTTATTCAAAAATCTGGAAAAATGATTAAAATCAAATATTATTACAGAATTAAAACCCGATCATTCTAAGTACACATAATTTTGTCTGGTTTTGTGTAGGAATAAAATGGCTTTTATTCTTGGACAAATATTGTATAGGTTAAAAATATATCCTGGAGTTTATACAAATTAACCTGAAAATTAATTGACATAGCCAAAATTTATTAAAAACCACATAAATACAAAATATTGCTTATATAATACCACATAAAAATTCCCCGCTTTCAATCCCCTTATTTAAATGGTAATAAATTACAATATTTTTTTATAAATATTGCCGTTATGATTTTTGTAGTATTCAATAAAAATAATTTTGTATTATAGGTATATTCTAGTTCGTCAAACAAGCAGCAAGAAAGTACTTGTAGCTTTTGTGCACTTTCGTTTTGATATTGAAGACTTAACAGAAGTGTTGTATCTTTATGAAATTCAACTAAAACAAGAAGTTCGTAGTAAAGGTCTTGGACGATATTTAATGAACTTTTTAGAAACAATGGCAATCTACTATAACATGAAACGTGTTGTATTAACTGTTTTAAAAAATGACAATAAAGTCATTAATTTTTATTTATCACAAAATTATAAAATTGAATCGTATTCTCCCAAAAATTCTTTTTATTATATTTTAAGTAAACTACTTATAAAGAATGTATAACTAAAATAATAAGATATATTAATATAACTCAATTCACATTATTTTAGATTTATAATTAATTAAAATGTATTAAATTAAATATTCGGTAATATTAAGGTAACATTTTTTTTGTATTATTATTCCTATTCTAAGTTCAGTTAAAATATAGATAATTTGATGGTAGTTGTTTTGAAAAAAAGAAGGTAAACAAATCACAACAAACGTCTTAGGAACTTAAGTCTATAAACAACAATAGTTTTAATAAAAAAATATAAAGTGTTTTAAATAGATAAAATGTATACTAATCAAATAATACTAATAATTAAAAAAAAGAAATTTGAATGATATATACATAATAAAAAAATAATACTTGTGAATACTGTTAATAATGTTAAGCTTAAAAGTAAAATAATGTTTAAACATGTGTCATGTTAAAACATTTGTTATGCTATATAACACCAAGAAAACAAAATTAATAACTTAGAGGCTGTTACTTCTTTAAAGCTTTGTATGTTTTACGTTTTCAGTCCAATAATTTTGAATTGTCATGGCTTCTAAACTGTTTAGGAATGAATCGTTGTCCAAACTGTACATTTCATCTGAATTTTCCTAAAATAAATGAATTCTAAACTATTATCTTAGAAGTTATATTTGATGTAAATTAATTAAAAAGTGAAATCTTAAGATAAATTTACTCCAAATATTCTTTAATCTTTACTATAGACCTATATATTCTCAGTTTATTATTATTATTTTTTTGTAGTTCTATTAAAGGACAACTTACTTGCATCCATATATTGACTCCAAAGAAGAATATTTTACTTTTATTTCTAAATTAAATTCCTCAATGACTTTACACCTATTGGCTATTACTAATGAAGAGGGAAATTATTTTATTGATTAACTTTCCTATTTTCAAGTGTAAAAAAGCAAAAATCAAATTGCAATAATTCACAAGAAATTTCCTTTTTTTTTTCCGAATTTTTTTTAACTACACTGTGTACTATACTCTATTTAGTTTAAGATTAAACCGCTCAGCTGACTGAAACTTGCCAAAACTGCGTATTCTGCCTCTAGATAACCTGTGCCTAGGCTTAGACAGTTGTCGTCGGTGATTAACGACCAATTACAGAACGTATAGCAATCGCCAATAGGGTCCAACTATCCAATCTCGGTTTGTATATGCAAAAGTGGTTTAATCTTAACCTGAATAGAGTATAGTAATTTTTGTAATTATGTATTCTATAACAAAAAATAAACATGTAATGAATTGGTTAGCATTATGTATTACTATACAAGTTACAATATGCATTTAACATTTTTAAAATCAAACAGTGTAATAGGGGAAAAGTCATCATCACGTGAACTTAACAGGCCTATAGGCCAAACGTTGCCATCATTACATGGTTATTAGACCATTTTTTTTTTTAGTCGAATTTGCTATTCAGGTCAGCTTATCCGTCTGTTGCCAGAGAGGGGACGGATGTTCGCTCCTTTCAGACAATTGCTTGCCCTTGACCAAGTGTCGGACCAGCGACAATGAGCTTTAACACACTGCCGCCTTAGCCACTCCTCCTCTTTATATAGAGAAAAAATAGCAAAACATAATCATACAGTAAATAGCAAAGGCTACTCAGGATACCGAACAAATCCTGGTAAGCCCTTTACTTGGTAGGCTTTTTCTATATTTATATAGTATGCAGCGTTCGTCTCTCAACAAAACACATATACAAAAGCCAACCAATTTTATTAGTTACAGTAATTATGAATTTATATTTAACATAATGTTCATAAAAATGTATACTGGTAAAACCAGAAAAAAAAATTTGCACAATAATTATTCCTACTCTATACAACATTTAATTATTTCTCTCATGCGATGGAAATGTTCACAAAAAAAAATGATACTATTGTTACATTAGTATTTTGTTAACTACAGAAAAAAACTAGTAGTACTTAAGAAGAAGTGGTTCAAGGCAATTTTTAACAAATGTTCCGAAAAGAAGGAAATGTAATTTATTATAAAAAAAATTGTATTCTTTTTTATTATTATTCTATTGTGTAATCAGATTTGACATTATTAATTGGACTAACATTATTATATTTTTTAATTATTCACTTATTAAATTGTGGATAATATATTATATTATACTTGGAATTTTATACCGTTTACTATTATAACCTATTAAGCTTACATAAAGCACTAATTATCTTGAATGTTAAAATGTTAAGACGCCTTATTAAAAATGAATTATTTTATACTCACTTTAAACATATCATCTAAGTAACCAATGGAATCTGCATTGCTACAGTGATCTAATGCTTGTGGAGTGTTCCATCTACTTCTCTTGTACATTATGTATCCTAAAATAACTTTACAAAAATTGTATTTTAGGACAATAGACGGAATTAGTTACTATAGAACTCGGTTGCTTATACCAAATGATATAATAGCCACACAGCCAACAATCGATGCACCTGATATTAGAACAATTTGAGTGGTCATGTAGTTTGATAATTCAGGCAATGATGTAATATTTGCAATTGTGTCGTTCAATTTTATACTTATATCTATAAATAAAAAACACATTAAATAAACTTGATAGAAATGCAGTTTACATTATTTAAGTCCATCCTATTTAACCTGTATCATTTTGCAATTTGTATGGTTCTTTAATAGCAAAATTGGCGTTAATGGAAGAGTTATCTTCTAACAACACAATCTCAGATTTGTTAGGTAAATGCACTTGATTAATGCTTTCAAAATCATCTTGTGTAATCTTCACACCATCAAATGGTGTACTGCGAGTGATCCTAAATAATTTGTAGGACGAAATTACACTACTAGATATACCAAATGGTATAATACCTAAAAAATAATAGCATGTATAACTAGACAACCTTGTTTAACTATTTAGAAATATGATTATAAAATTGCTTTACATTTTAAGTAACTAGCCAAACATATGTAACAAATAAAGTGCATTATGTTAATAAAGAACACCAAAACATTTTACAACTAATATATTAATGTATTAAGTGACATTTTGTCAAAGCTAATACTTATGATAAATACTTGACTCTAAATACCAGTCAGCTAATATTTTTTTTTTTTCATAAGTCTTAAGGAAATTGATAGCTTGTAAAATTGAATAATTTACATTTTACTATTTTAGTATTCAACGAGTATGAAACTGAAGTATTGATAAATGAGTAATGATTACTAAATGTAAATTTTCTTATTTATAATTTGTATGATAACAGATGGCCAATTCTTCAAATGGTATAATCTTTGATAACAATTATTATAGATAGCCCGCCGAGACGAATTTAAGTTCTGGACGTCGACACGGGATTGGCGCTAGTAGTATCAATATCATTGAAAACGATACTACTAGCGCCCGTCCCGTGTCGACGTCCAGAACTTAAATTTGTCTCGGTGGGCTATCTATAATATTTATAATCAATGGTATAATGTGCTTATAACCATGGCTTATGTAGCCATGGTTATAACCTAGAAAAAAAAAGACCACGAAGGGCGGAGTCATTCCGCAATCCAAATTAGTCGATTCGTGGTTGATGGTTATGACTTATGTTTTGTTTAATATTGTTAAGAGCCAAGAGGATCCAAAAACCTAGATTGTATGAGTCTGGACTCTGGGTACTGACTAGTGACCAATACCAAGTACTAAATACAAACGCTAATTACTACATCGTACACTTTACAGTAGTTTTTTTATACATTTTAATCATAACATTATTTGTTAAAAATATGGAAAAACTTATAAAATTAAAAACTTTAAATTGTCATATCACTTGTAAAATATGCAGAGGATATTTAGTAGATGCTACGACGGTCACTGAATGTTTACATACTTGTACGTATAGCCGTGTATGACATTATCTATTTATTTAGGATAACATTATTTGTACAATTTCACTGAATTGTATTACTTTGTAGTTTGCAAAAGTTGTCTTGTAAAACACTTGGAAGAAAATAACAGTTGTCCTACTTGTCAAATTGTTATACATCAATCGCATCCTTTACAATACATTAGTTTTGATCGGACAATGCAAGATATTGTTTTTAAATTAGTACCTGGACTTCAATTAGGTATTTAAAAGTTCTTAATTACTTGAAATTGTCTTTTCAATAACAAATTTAATTTCTAGATGAAATTAAAAGAGAGCGAGAATTTTATCGAATTAGAGGTTTACCTTATCCAAAAGAGGTTCCAGCTGGTACTGAAATTGATGATGAAAAAGTGGCACAAGATCAAGCAGCAGTAGATTCAGATTTTCACAGAACTGATGAACAAGTAAATAATTATAGACCTAAAATATTAGATTACTGAATTTAAATTTTTTCTTATTAGAAATGGTCTAATTATTTTTCTTCTTTGCCTTCATCCCAACTATTTGGGATCGGGCACCCTTATCCTAAACTTCTACTTAACACTATACCTCCCACATCATCCTTGCACACCAGCAGTTCTTATATCATTCTCAATCGCAACTAACGACATCTTTTTTGGCCAAGTTCCTGTTTTTCTCTTAAGTTTATTTTCATTACCATTCTTAATGCTTCCGGTTGCTCTCTCCTTATAACATACCCAAACCATCTCAGTTTACTTTCTCTCATTTTGTTTGATACGGAAGCACACTACCTCTTATGGATTCGTTCCTTATTCTATCTTTCCTCACATCACTCATCACATTCACCTTATTATTCTCTTCTTCACTACACTCATTATCAGTTCTATTTTCTGGTCTTCTACCTAACACTACAAACCATACAACATAGTCGATCTCACCACACTCTTGTAGAACTTACCTTTAAGTCTCATTGGAATTCTCTTGTCACATAAAACAACTGAGGATTCTTTCCACTTGATTCAACTGCACCTGATCCTACGTGTCACAGCTTCATCAAAGCCACTATTATTTTGTACAAAAGTTCCTAAGTACCCAACCTCGTCTACTATGTCACCGCTTATTGCCAAAAATTGTTTTTATTATTTTTTATTTATGGATTTGAATTTGTATGTCTACTGTATAGGTATACATACTTCTTATGTAATAAATGCGACTAACGATCTGTTTTTTTGTTATGTTTGCAACAAAACTGGCAATAAGCAAACCCTCTCCCCCCCCCCCCAAAAAAAACTATTGGGTTATTTATTTTCATTATGAGTAGTATTTATTTTAACTTGCACATTTGTAAAGCCAATATTTGCTAAGATAGCAAATACTTTTTTAGTTCCATCTGGTCTGGGGTTAATAATCTAATTTTGGTAGTAGTTGGTCTGAATTACAAAATCATATTTTACGAGTTGCTCTGGTCCAGTTCCATTTGTTGAGGACCATTTTTCTATTCCTTTATTTTTAAAAAATATAAATATAAATTACTTTTTAAAATGTATGATTTATTCCATTTTTTAGGTTAATATTGGACTAGAGTGTGTTGCATCTCATTTAAAATCATTGAAAAAGAAGTTCTTAAGAGTTTCATCACAAGCAACAATTACACATCTAAAGAAATTTATTGCAGTTAAAGTACTAGATGGAACAGATAAATATCGAGATGTAAGTTCAAAATTGTATTTCTAACTGAAATAGTTTTTGACTGAATTGTGTTTTATGATTATAGATTGATATACTGTGCAATAATGAATTATTGGGAAAAGACCATACACTTAAATTTGTGTATGTAACGAGATGGAGATTTCGAGAACCACCATTAAAACTTCAGTACAGGCCAAAAATAGATTTATAAAAAAGTTTTTTTGATAAAGGTTCTTTTATTTGTGTTTGTATGTGTTAATAATTTATTAATATATTTTTTGTATATACGTATTTTATTGATCAATGATAAATATATAAAAATTATTAATACAATTTTAAGTATTTAAATTGTATATATACAAATGCTAATAAAAATTAAAATTACAAATTATGTATACAAAAAATATCTATAAAAGGGTGTTCCAGCATGAAAGGTAAGTAATAGGTGATTAAACATCTGGGGGACCCCAAATAAGCCCCCCGTTTTCATTTTATCTATTGAAGATTTCGACAGTTAAGTAAAAAAATAATGACTTTAAAAAAAAAAAAAATTATACCCTGTTATTCAGTGCAAAAAGCTCACCTTAAAAGAGGGGTCACATAATTTTCAGTCCCTTTCGGCTCCTAACTCAAAAAATGATTAGAGGCCAGAAATAAATGACAAGTGATAAAAGATAAATGCTAAGACATAATTGATAAGAGATAAATTGAGAGATTAAAGATAAATAATTAGAAACGAGATCAGAAATAAATAATAAAATATTAGTGATAAGAGATAAAAGATTACAGACTAGAGGTCATAGACTTATAATATTATAAGTCTGTGCTAGAGGTAAGAAAAAAATGATAAGAGAAGAGTTAGGGGCTGAACCCGGACCCCCCCAAAATTTCCTCGAAAAATATTTGTATTACCTTTCTTTTATGTCTTTGTTCCATTTTTATTTAAAGTATTCCTGAAAATGATGTAAAAAAAAAAAAAATATTTTGATGTAAGTTTTCTTTTAACTTTAAAGCCTAAAGTAAAAATAAAAACGTGATATTATCGTTATCGTCTGATTAGGCTTATGGACACACCAATGAATTTTAGTTTTTTCGAATTTCGTTGGTGTACCTTATTGAAAGACGTCAATAAGGAGGAATACATTACTTATACCAAATCAAGCACTAGAAAATTGTCTAGAACTAACAAACCAGACATATAAAAAAATGTTATTTCAATTATTTTATTTTGAATTAAAATAGTAAGAATTTTACTGAGCAGAGAAACTTAGTACAATTATTTCGTCTGTAGTTAATTCCGGACCCTTACTGCTGCATATAATTTAATTATTATTAATATTTAAAATAAATTACTACATGTTTTGCTTACCGGTTACTTCGTATTAGGGATTGTATACTCGTTTCCAAACCACCTATGAGGTAGAGTATTTGGCTCGTTTTTTTTAATGTGGTATCTCCATTTACGATGATGCTCAAATTGTATTTACTGTACAACCACCAGAAATGTGTGGTGGGGGCGTTTCAAGCAATTGTGGACTTACGATCCACAAAAACATAATATGATACATAAAAAAAAATAAAGCTCATTACACAAAAATAATAGTTGAATCGTATTAGTAGATGGCGTTATTATCATCCAAACCATCATCCTCATCAAATAAATATCCTTCCCCGTTATCAAAATAATTTGTATTGTAGTTAGTTCCATCATTTAACTCATCGTCGACATCACTTTCCAACTCATCATCGATATCTTTTAGTTCTCCTTCTTTTTCATCTTCCTCTTTCTTTTTTGGTTCTTCGCTATCTTCGACATTAATGTCTTCCTCTTCCTCGAGTTCTTTAACAACACTTTCATTAAACAATTGTGAAGTGGAAGGGCCGTTTTCAGTTTTTACCTTCTTTTTACTGGCTGGGTTGAGGAAATCGTTTATTTTGGTTTTCGTGGTAGTTACAATTTGTTTTAACGACAAATAAACATGGTTGGCTACTTCGGCTTTTAATTTATCCATCCACTGCTTGTCTGTTAACGGTTTTTCATTTGGTGAAATTTTCTTTTTTTTTGGTAGCAAGGACGGAGGAAAATAACTATGTGTTTCTACACTCTTGAGGTACGACCAAGGACTAGTAAACTCATCTTTAAGTATAAACGATGGAGCACTATGAAAATGCTTGGCTAATTGTTGTTCGAATGAAATTAAATCTTCGTCTTCACGGTTTTCTTCAATTTCGGTAACATTAGCTCGTAGCGGAGGAAAGAGTTCAAGTGCTTTGAAATCGAGTGAATCGTCTGGTTCAGTTCTTTCAGTTCGATGGATACGTGAGGTGCTTAAAATTCGATATAGGGGGGGGGGGGTACTGTTGAGGACAATTTTTTTCTTTTATATAATACGTATTATTATATTGTATGTATTGTTATAAAAGGATAGTCATCGATCGACCAAAAACGTCTTTTGTGGAATAGAAATTAGAATAAATAATACATTTAATTAGACTACATATACGAATATTGTGGTTTTTAAAATAATATATAATCAATTGTCCTGTATAAAATTAAATTACATGTAATATATTTTTATTTAGCAATAAAAATGACAGTAACGTATAATAATATGTAAAAAACCCTATTAGTTCCATATAAAAATCGGCCTCCGGACGAATGGTAGCGCTATCTACGTGACAACATTTTACTACCAAAATTCCGTAATTTTTTGACCCACTGATTTAGTTGGAGTGGCGTCACCTTATCTTCCCTACATCTTCCCTTCATCGTGGTCCTATCCATATTTTTATTATCAAGGATTGGAAGGGGTTGCTACAGTTACCACGAATGTTGCATGCCACGACTTGTAGTTACTCCGACATTGCTTTATCAGTCATTTGCCACGAATATAATCTACTTCGAATATACAATTGCTACGATTAGACGGTTAGTCCGAATTTAACATACTCCGACATCGTAAAGTAATTAAATGAATCATACAACAGTTTACTCGATATTGTGATACCATGAAAGTATTTTACTTCGACTATACATGATAAGAATACTTGACCACCGGGCACCGACTATTCCGTGAATTCTATGATTGTATAATGAAAATATATTATATATTATTGTCAGTATTTGTATGTCTTAGATTTGGAACTCGTTTGGTGTACAAACAGGGAAATTACAAATTACTAATTAAATATAGTTGTCGCTAGTACTGTATTGTGGGCCGAATGAGTTAATTTCTATAATGGGCCGAACACTGTCCATTCCGCAACTAAATCCAACTCTACACAAAAGTTTTTGACTAACTACTGATAAATTTAAAGACAGAATCGGGTTATTGTACATAATGAATTTAATGTATTAAATTCATTAATTACGTTTTATAGTGTATTCTTTATTATCAATTGCACATTTTAATTTACAGTATATCTTTCTTTTAATTATTGGTTAAAAACCTTTGGCAAGGGCAACAAAGGGCATTGTAAGGGTTATATTTAATTAGTTGACATACATAATTGAATACAGTAGGCTATACATTTGAAATAGAAAAGTTATACAAAAAAGATAGAAGAATTTTATAAACAATTTTTTTTATGAATAATAAGTATAAATCTGATTGTAATATATAATTTAGAATGTAGGTGATTGATTCAAATTAAGTCCCAAGGGTTTCAGATAGATTTTTGAATATATATATTGTTGTTAATCCGTTGTGACTGGTATTATAAACAATTTTGAGGTTTTGTATGACACTGAGAGACGAGAGTCACTTAAAATGGACAATAACTTACAATATAAAAGTTGGTTTTTAATTACGATTAATATGTGAAAACACTCAAATTGGTATTATAAAAAAGTAATAATATTGAATAGTTTGGTTCCTAAACCAGTGTTTAAATTTTAAATCAACGGTATAGAGTATAGATTATACCTTTTTTTAATGACATTATTAAGTGGTAAATTAAAAACATTTATATTATGCTGTTAAATTTCTTGACTTTTGGATATCTGCTTTTGTTTATCAAAAGTGATACAAACCATGAAATTATTTCTTGTTACTTTTCATCTTCTACATCAATGTTGTGTATCAAATATTTGTTCAACACCCCTCTAAACATTTTTTGTAGAATCGTCTCTGATATAATTCAATTTGTATTTTGTATTTGTATTGACTTTTGGCTTCAGTGATTGTACAAATAAGTAAATATTAACTAGGCACTATATCGCAACATAATGGATTAAGGGATACCAGAAAGGACCATGGCCCGCTCACCCAGGGCTCACAACATCATGGGATCTTTCAAGATCGAAAAAAGACAATTAACATAATTAACAACATTAAAATGTAGCTTTATCCCATTTAGTGATTAGATAGTGTAATTATTTTTTAAATATTCTGTCGAGGTTAGAGCAAACAAATTTTAAGCATAATATATATATTTGAGATTTTTAAAATCATTCATAAATAATTATTACATTTTTAGTACTTAGGAAATATCATTAACGGCCGTTTATAGTAGTTTGGGTAAAATTTAAGTACAGTTTAGCCTATAATTTTAATACTGGTTAGGAATAAAAATATTTGGTTTTTTTTTTTGTCAAAACAGATAATTTTAATAATATTATTAATTTCTGAAAATAAAATGATTTTATTAGTCGTTTGCGTGTTACAATGTACGTGGCGGTGGCAATCACGTTGTATATGATTATGTATTTACTATTTATAATAATAATTCTATCAAAATTAAAATGAGAAATCTTACAGAATCTAAAATATATAGATTATAGAGAATTTGTATAGGTTATTATATCTACATATAATCTAATTTCTAAAACAAAAATTGTTATAAACAAAACTGAATCACGGACGTACAATTAAAATATTATTAAATTGTTAATATTTTTTAATTTATTATTATAATATTCATTATTGAAAATAATAAGTATCAGTAAAATGTTATCATTTCTACAATCATTTATTTTGTAAATAACAAATTATTATAAAGAATATGCGTGTCCATGGAGATGCATTTTAATTTTATATTATGTTGTCTTTTGTAAAACTTACAAAATGTTACTTGGTATTGTTTTTTTTAACGCTCATACCAATTTTAATGGTGAGCCCCCCCCCCCCTAACAACCTAACGGGAGCCCCACTCCTCCATAAATCCGGCCCTGTGTTAAAATGTTAACAATACAAAATGCATAAATCACATTAAACCTACTAAAATTTTGTTAGGTCAGTCCTTGAATATGCTTTTATTTTGAATTATAACATAGTCTCCTTAGCAATCTGTAAAATCGATCCAGAAACTATTCCTATATTTTTTACTTTTTAAAGTTTTAAGAAAATAAAGCCAATTGTTGAATCGTCTATAAAATACTATGTTGACAGAATTTAAATGATATATTTTTAAATATATCATATAAATAAATAACTATATCATAAATTATATAAATATAAGACTGTTCTGAAAAATGATGATTGGATTCATTTATTGTACTAAATATTAGTTTACGATTTTATACGCAATTTTACGTTTCTACACAACGACAAATTTATCTCGGTCCAGTAAACCGAATTATAACTCGTGTAATTCAATTCAAAATGTTGGCTTATTGAGTGCTCTCAATAAGCACTTTTAACTTAGCTTATTTATTATTTACATTTTTTATTTATAGTCTTCTATTAACTCTACAAGTTTTTTATACTTATTTTATTTTTCTCTACAATTTTAGTTGTAATTGGTAAATCATTTGTCAAGTTTATTGCATATTGTTGTAAATATTTAAATAAATTATTGTAAAACTTGTTGTAAACAAATTGTAAATTGCCTCATTAGCGTAAATTTATTACTATTATAAATACATTATTGTTAAGGACAATTTTATCATTCGGTGGTTAAAATGTCGTTTATGTAATCTCGGTTTAAGATTAATCGGAGATTAAAAAAATTCTGAATTTATCAGTCAAATTTAATCCTAGCTTAAGTAAAGTGGGTTTTACAAACAGAAGGTTTATTTATTAATAATTATTAATTAAAGTATGTTACAACGTTAAAATAAAAATGTTGTTAACTTTATATTGGTAAATATCATCTGCTAGCGGTGCTTAATTAGACATACTTCCCAATGTTGGATTTTAATTTTTAATATATGTATGCATTTTTCGACAAATTTTCTAGGTTTTTTAGGAAGTCAATTTGCAATTTTCTCTTTTGAAGATCTCCAAAATTATTTTTTTGAAAATTCAATGATAATTTATTCCCGAATTGCATTTGAATTTATTTTAGGCATAACATTTTAAATAAAAAATTGAAAATATTGGTTTATAATATAATCTAAAAAATAAACTTCTGCGTCACTATTATGGTCGCTACTACTGCTACTAATCTAATTATTTCAGTCATCTAGAATTAAATATGCATACAATTTATATCAAACGTGTAGGTAATACAATATTTATAATTTAAGCATCCGTTTTGAATTGAATTGGTAGTTACATTGAAATAACTACCTACAATGTAACTGTTAATTCTATGTTTTGTTACATGCAATCATAAAGTATACCTCATCACTATAATTCGATAAAAGGTTTTAAGTGTGTAAAAGCAAGCAAATAACTAATAATAATATAGGAATATTATATTATAAAACAATAGATAGTAGATATTTCAGTAAAATTAAATATTACTTGATAATATTGATACTAATCTCAATTCTCAGTTTAAAGTTTTTAACTAACTATAATATGCTAACTAACTGTGATTAATATTCAGCTAAAATTTAACCGAAAGAGTCAAATAGATAAAGTCAATTTTTTAGTTTAACAACGATTAACATTAAATAAAGTTTAAATTATTTTAACAAGCAGTTGATAAAATTACCTTAAGTATACTATATTTGTATCGATAAAGTAACAGAGTGAATAAGTATTACAATTTTACAGTTTATCAATTTATTATTTATAGTTTTATATAAATTAGTTGTTGGGTCATGTCAGTGTAAATGGAATTTAAGGTCCATAAAATGTTTATCAATGTAAATGTCCTTTAAAATAGCGAAATCATAACATTAAGATATTTTGATAAGTCATGTCGATGTAACTGGAATTCGAGGTAAATGTAATTCGAAGCAATAATTAAAAATGGAACTTCGATGTAACTGTAAATCGTGGCATAAAAAAAATTAACGAAAACTTATTTTCGTTGTAAATGTACTCGTGTCAATTGTCGTCGATGCAATTGTCATTCGTAACAAAAATGTCGGAGTAACATAACATCGTAGCACGCAACATTCGTGGTAACTGTGTTACCCCGATTGGAAGTGACCCCTACTGCTTTTATCGATTCTGTGGTTCATAAATGATAAAGTGATAGTAATATTATTTTATGATAACATAACATTTTGTAATATTGGTAATAATTGTTAAATGGTAAATGTTATGTGATGGAAGATGGTTAATTGATCTTTAATCATTTAGTCATGATATACTGATTTTTTTTAATAGTAGAAATTTAATGTATACGTTTTGTTTACGTTTGTGTTATTAAGCTATTACATTTTTAAAGGGTTTAAAATAACGATAGTACTATGAACATTTCCAAGTGTCCATTTTGAAAAAAGCAACATTTTATTGGATAAAATTGATTGTTGGTTCTATAATGTAAAGGTAAATATAGAAATTTATGTATTAAAAAGTTAGCCGTGAAATTTATTTTCCTTGTGTATTATTTGTTTGGTAGTTTTTATATTATTCAACTAACAATAATACATATTATAGATTAAATCTAAAATATGTATTATCTATTAGATTTATACATTTTAGATGGTATTAAATTAGGTGTTAGTAATAACTAATTGTTACTGGTTGTATTTACTTAGTAACCTTTGAAGTTGAATTTTAATTTAATAATCTAATTTTTAAGTGTCACAGGAAAATCTCATCACTTATTTTCTATAAAATTTTTATAGTTCTTTTATTTGATTACCGTCCAAAATCCCGACAGACCATTTTCCCGACAGACCAATTACTCGACAGCACTTTTCCTGACAATAATTCTCCCGACAACAATTTTCCTTTCAAAATACTATAGCGAAATCTATGTGGAAGGTAAACTAGCCAAGGGAAGACTGGTTGCTGTTTAGGGCGGTTGGTGAAAGCAACGCTAAAGAAAAAGTGGCAAACAACCCAGTCTTAAATTAGAAAAATTGTTTTGTAGTACGAAGACTATAAGGACGAGGGCGAAAACTCTTGAGTTCCTTGGCATCTTGGCGCACACAATAGTCCTATAACCAAACTTAATAAATCATTTAACCAAAAAATGGATTTTTTGTCAGGGTAATAGCTTGTCGGGTAATTGGTTTGTCGGAATTTTAGATTCGGGGAAATTGCCGCGAACTCTTATTTTATTATAAACTAAAAATTATGGTTGTATACTTAACAGCAATCTGATTTTTTACTAAATTAATCATTTAATTTTCAATCCGGGGTAATATAGGAGTCATTATTTGGAGGTTGTAGTATAAGCATATAGCAAATATGAGTATAGTGTTAGAATATAGTCATTCATTTAATTTTATAATGATGTTTAAATATTTATACATAGCTAGTTTAAACATTTATGGGATGGTGAGTAAATTGTTGTTCTATTATTTTAATAAAATTGTGTTTTACTGTTAATAATGTTATAGATTTTCAAAAGTGAAAATGGAAGACATCGATGTAAATATATCAAAGATTCTTTCAGCATTTAACATGGAATCAGATGCTGAAATTGCTTCAAAGTTGCTTAACTTTGAACATTCAACATCTGATGATAATATAATGGAAATATTGAGTAGTGTTAATGGAATTGGATATGAAATTGATGAAAATGTATACTCGTTGCCAAGTATGTCAATGGATAAGCTAGTCGAACGAAAAATAAATATAATTAGAAGTCATCATGAGTTAGCGCAGAGATACTATGACAGTTTAACATTTTCAAAAATGTTACAAAAAAAACTATCATTGTTGAATCATTTATATGATTTACTTATTGTGAAATATTATTCGTCAAAAGTAATTTGAATTGAAATATTTTTATTAGTTAATTTTTCTAATAACAACTTAATTATTGAATAGGAAAACAAAAATGTGCAAATAGTAATTGCACCACAAAATTCAATTGATGAGACGGTTAAGCCTATTACCAAGTTAACTGGTTCACAAGTTCTTCTACAGATAGCAGTAAAAACAGGTCTTACTATGTTCTTTACTTTATTGAAGCAAAGTTGGGAAAACAAAAGCACTCATGGTAATACTATATTCTGGAAACTTAATAATATATAAAAAAAAGGTTATTTTTGTTGTCAGATATCAATATGGGTTTAGAAGTCCTTAGTACAGCATTAAGTGTAATGCGGCAATTAAGCCCTCTTTCCTTAGGCAGCAAAGCAGAACTGTCACAACTAGGTTTGGATTGCTTGGATAATGTCATGCATTTTGTAAAAGAATGTATCAATGCTGATTACATAACAAATATTCAAGGTATATATTTTGTTCATCAAAAACACTACACTGTTTTTTCTATTGACTATTAATAATCTTCTATTTTTACAGTTAAAGAAAAACTTGCTGAATTATCATTGTTACTAGCTTATCAACGTGAATCACTAATTTATTTGTTGGAATGGATTGATATGGCACTGAATATTACTGATGTATGTTTGCCATTTGAAAAACTTTATCATGTATTGGAAGAAATGTCATCAATATTAACGTTTGCTTTTGGATCGGAAGAAATTGAAAGTTATAGATCTAAAAATAATATACCCTTAAAAGATGTTGCTTTATTATTGATGAAAAAAGTAAATTACCATATTGAAATATATATTCTTATTTGTTTTACTATTATAAATAATGAAATTTTAATGTATTAGCTTGTAACTTTTGGTGAAACTTCAGTAGTTCGCACTCCCTTAAATCAAAATTGTGCTGAACTATCTCAACCAGTAAGTGAAGTATTCATGTGGGGAAGCAACTCATCAAATCAACATGCTGAAGGTGCAACAGAAGTTACAGATGTACCACGTCTTGTTAGATCACTGTCTGATGTACAACAAGTGGAAGCTGGACAGTATTGTACATTTATCATTGATACAAAAGGTTGTGTAAGCGCTTGCGGGAAAAACAGTTATGGCCGTTTGGGCTTAGGCAACTCGTCAAATCAACCAGTTCCCAAAAGGATTAATATTAATTGTAAAATAAAACAAGTATCTTCTTCAAAAGGATGTGACGGACATTCTTTAGCATTGAGTGGCACTGGTGAAGTTTATAGCTGGGGAGATGGTATATAATTTTACAATATAAAAATAAGCAAAAATGTATGTAAATTATATTTATTTAAAAAATTATAATCATATGTGTGTAGGTGACTATGGAAAACTAGGGCATGGAGATGTTGTAACTCACAAAGAACCTAAGTTAATTGAAGGGCCTTTTGTTGGTAAAGTTATAGAACTTGTTAGTGCAGGTTATAGACACAGTGCTGCAGTGACAAGTGATGGACAATTATACACTTGGGGTGAAGGCGATCATGGACGTTTGGGTAGTGTTATAAAAAAAAACAATAAATTATAAAAAATTAACATTAATTGGGAAAAAATTCATTTTTACTTTTAGGTCATGGTGATTGCAACCCGAGACTTGTACCAACTCTTGTTAAAAGTTTAAGTGATTTTCCTGTTGGTTATGTTGCTTGTGGATCTACTCATACATTGGCATGTTCGAGAGATGGCAATACTGTTTGGTCATTTGGTTCAGGTGATAATGGCAAACTAGGACATGGAAATACATTAAGACTTTATAAACCACAAAAAATTGAAGGATTACGACATTATAAAATAAAAAAAGTTGCTGCTGGCATACATTTTTCTGTTGCACTTACATGCACTGGTGAAGTAAGTAACTGGAATTTGAAGCATTCATATGTATTAACTAAATACTAAAAATGTGAGCATAGGTATTTACTTGGGGTCAAGGATCAAATCTTGGATGTGGTTCGGCTGATATAACACTATTTTCACCTGCAGTTGTTGAAGATCTCATGCAAACAATGATAATTGATATATCAGTTGGCGATTCTCACTGCTTGGCGCTAACAAGAAATTGTGAAGTAAGCCATCATAATATGTAACATAAAAATTATTAAATAAGGTGATTAATTTATAATTAGTTATTGAGTATTTTAATGGTACTCATTAGTTAAAAAAAAAAAAAATTATATATTAGCATTAAATAACTTAATAATTTATATAATTAAAGACATGTAAGTAAATTTTGCACATGCTATGCCTAAATTTGAATAAAAACAGATTTGTAAAAAAGAAAAATATAGGTAAATTAAATAATAATTTTTCAATGTTTTAACATAATTATTGTGTCAAAACATTTGTTATCACAACACAATTCATCATCAGTTACATGACAAAAGGATCTAAGTGACAAGGTGTGTATAATTCAGTCACTTAAAGAAGATACCCGGGCGGCAGACCGAAACTCATTGTCTGCCGCTCAAGTCGTATTTTAATGCACAGTAGGCGGTTCCGAACTACAAGTTTTATTAGTATATAATATTCGTCTATATACAATATTAGGGTTTATTCAGGTTATTGCTATTTAAAAAAAAAATAATAATAAAAGTCACAAAAAAACGTTTTTAGCTCTCCTGAAAATTACGAAACATATTGCTTAGACCCTTTTGCTATCTAACCAACAAAATTATGATATTATTAAACTGTAAAAATGTAATCATAGTTTAACATTTATTTTGAAAACAAAAATACAATACAGTACATGACTGAATGGAATAATGAATAAATGAATCTAATAAAAAATTAGAGTAATAACTAGGTTACATTTTCATAGGAGGTATTCTGATGCCAGAATGTACACGAAATTTTGGATTTACCCTAGGTTAATAACATAACTATGTGAAAATATATCAATAAAATTCATTAATTTAAATTGAAAATTTCTTTGCTGCAATAACATAATAATAAAATAACTCATGACAATTAGCTGTTTTAAAATCTATTCTTTGTTTAATATTGTTATCTGAAAGCGTAATTAATTCTAAATAGTGAGCTATGTCATCTCTACAGATAGTCTTAACCATTGAAATAGTTGCCGGTTTAGTTAATAAGTCTCTTTAATGTGATTTGCAATTTTCCAAGCAATGTCAAATGATGCTTTTGTAGTTTTTTTAATGAGAATGTTAGTGAGTTGGATGATCAATCTTTGTACGTTTTATTTTATTTTAGTGTTCCTTCCAAAAATATTATGGCTTATTAATCAATTTCGTATGATTAGAGTTAAGATGCCAATCAATATTTTCTTTCTTAGATCTGTTTAAAAAAATGTGCAGAAAGAACACATTCACGTCATAAACAAATTATAAGTTGTACCGACTATTTATATTTTCTTCCTCAATTTTTTTTTTCAAACTATTTTAGGATTTTTTTTTTTAATAATTGTAAAAAAAAAATCATACTGAAAAATAAATGTATATTATTTTTGAATAATTTGTTGCGACTCCAATTTGGGTCGAGAACGCTGCTGTATATAAATAAAGAGTTGAGAATTATTTATATAAACATTTTTTTTTATCTTTATAGTAATAACTTAGAATATTTTAAAACTAATACTTTTTCAAATTTTAATATTAAAATTATTATTTTATTCAAATTGAAGGTAAATAGTATTTTTATTTACTTTTTGTAAATTAAAGTTGGTACGTGACGGAGTGGGGTAAGGTGGCAGTGTATCAACGCACAGTCACCAAAATATTTTAAAACGAATGTTTTCAACAACAAAAACTACAAAATTGCAATTATTTTAAGAGAAATGAGTGTCTTACCCTTAATGAATCACTCTATTACTGCAAAAAAAGAAAAAATGGTTAAGATGAATGTGTATTTTTTTAGGTGTATGCATGGGGTTCTAATGGCAAAGGACAATGTGGACAAGGCCATTCCACAAGTCCTGTGAGTCGACCAAGTAAAGTCATTAATTTAGAAGGCAAACAAATTAATCAAATTTCAGCTGGCACATCACACAGCGTTGCTTGGACTACATTGCCACCAGACAGGTATAATATATTATACCATCATAATGCTTAAATAAAATATTAATAACCAATATGATTATAGTAATGTGTTGACTATCTAAAATTATTTTTCTCTCCTTATATTTTTTTAAGAACAGATTTTTTAATAATAAGTGTGTTAATTTGTAATTTACTTCAATAAAAAAAAACAAAGAATGTATTAAAATCTTTTTCCAAAAAAATAGTATTTGCTTTTATTCTTAATTTAGGTAACAATTTTTAATTCATATTATTTAAATTTGATATAGACAAACAAATGTTTGGCATAGTCCTTTTTGTATTGATCTGCACGAAAGTACATTCAAGTGGTTGAGACAATTTATTGAAAAATATTGTGAGCAAATTGAGAACCAACAGTCATCACAAAATGAGTTAGTATAAGTATATATGTATATATAAAATTTCTATTAATTGATTTCTGTAATTGTTATATTTTAGACTTAATGAAGAAATGCTAATTTTAAGTTTAAATATGCTCAATAATCATTTATACTTTGCTCGTGTGTCCGGTCATAAGTTTTCCAAACTTTTGGGTAATGAAACAAGCCAACTACGTACCCTTCTTCTAAAGTAAATATATGTTATGAAAATTTATTACTGTAATTAAATAGAATGTTTCTATTGTTTTAGGCTTGTGGATTTGCAAGTAAAGGAAATTGTAGAAAAAAGTTTAATGGATTGTTTGTCAACTGGTGCATCTCTTCTTTTACCTCCACTCTCAGGCCGGCTTAACATACTTAAGTCCCTTCTTGCACAAGACACAAAATTATCAAGAGGACAAGTAAATTAAAAAAAATAGATTAATTAGACAATATAAATTGTTAAATTTGTATACAAACAAATAACAAAAAACCAGTACAGTAGGGACGGAGCATATTGGGGCAGGAAAGGTCACTGGTCTATATGAATTATAACAACTGAAAGTAATAAAATCACTTTCAAGTAAACGCTTAGATGAAAATCTGTAATAGTTGAATTACAAATATCAATAAAGGTATTGTAGTGAGATAACGTGTTGTAAAATGTTTTTTTAATAAAAGGGTGAATACGATTAGAGTTGACATTCTGTCTATAATAATTTATTACTGTTGTTACCCATACGTCGTAATTAGCATTATAATGTAAAGATTCGCAATACTTGTTGACTGTTGTTTAACTCTTACATAGCAACCTGGAAATTACTACGGTGTAAGTGTAATTTCTTCTTCATAAAAAAAAGTTTGACTACAGGTTTATAAAAAAATTGTATATGTTATAACGAGGGGTCGAATGAAACAGTTAATTTTTACTTATACATGTTGATGTATAAAAGTTTTTTTATAACTTTGTTAAATAAAAGTTTTTTTCAAACAGTTATAGTTGAACTCATTTGTAAAAAAGTTTTTCAGCCGATTATGCAACCACAAAAGAGCATTTTCATGTCTGAATGAATTACCGAATAAATTTCGCTCCTATCTCTTACCCCTACCCTAATTCCCAACCCCCTATCTCATAACTCCTATATCTTACCCCCTACCCCCTATCTCATACCCTATCTCATATCTCTTACTCCTACCCCAAGCCTATTCCCACCCACAACCCCATTTCATCCCCATCCCATTCCCATTCCCACCCCAACTTTATTCCCACCCCCAACCCCATCTCCTTATGCTTTTTTTGTTACCAATTTGTTTGTAACACTTTTTTCGGATATGTGCCAGAGTTAAGACATGAAAATGTCAAAAAAAAAAAATTGTTTCTATTGTTTCTATTTATTGTTCCCTGGTTATAACCATTTTAAATCTTCCTTCAGAATAATTTTCAAACTTTAATTCCTAAAATCTCACCTAAAAATCGAAAAAAGTTCTACCCCTTGTAAGAAAAGGGCTAAACATAATCATAGTTTGGTTGGCAAAATTAATCGGTAGTACTATTTCTAAATTTCTTAAAATTTGGAATTTATTCAAGTATGTTTTTAAAAGTTATAGAGCCCCTTAATTTAAAAATAAAAAAAATATATATGATATGTTTATTTGAATTATAATTTATAAAATAATATAAATATTTGGTTTCAGAAATTGCTCTTAGATGTTACTGTATCAAGTTTAAATGATAATAGTCATGTCAGTTCATTATTTCGTGTTAAATCAACCGATTTATATGGAATTCATTATTCGTCCATTGAAGAAGTAATGAAGTTACTGTTGAAACATTTGACTGATAGTACTGTAAGTTTTAAATTAAACACGTGTATAAAAAAAAAGTAAGCATTATATTTTATTACTAATTACACTTTATTTACAGATTAACTTATTACGTTCAGATAATTATACTGCATTCAAAAAAGGCAATAAATTGGATACTATACTTTTTTCTTTGCACAAATTGCTGTTGTCACACTTATTAGTGTATAATTTAAAACCTTGTCATCATAGTGATGTATGTATTTTTTTTATTTTTGTATTAGTGATATATTTTTTTACTTAGCAAGTTTTTGCTTATACGAGCATAATTTATTGGACTCATTTTTTTAATTTGTATTTTCAAGCTGATTACTTTTATACAAAAATTAAGCATTACTCGCTATTTATTGTTACAATATTTTAAAGTTTGTGCATAATAGTGTGATACTCTGGTGACCTTTACTCTTATTCAACTGTCTACCAAAATAATGTTATTAAACCATAATGTTTATTACATACTTTAACTATATATTTATAATTATTTTTGGTCTAATACAAGCTAAAACAATCTAAATCTAGAGTGCATTCTATTATGCTCAAATTATAAATATCTAAAAACGAATTGCGAGTAGCACTGATTTGTTGCATTTTCGTAACTAGGTTTAAATAACTAGCAATAAAAATTAAAAAGAAGAGTGACCGGTAAAGTAGATATTGAGCCTTAATAGGCAAAAGGGCGTAAGCGACTCTTTTGGCTAAATTGACCTTTTGATATAAAAAATTCAGAAAAATCAGCTTTATCCACCATAAAAAGATGTAAGTGACTACTAGATTACAAATGGCTTATTTAAGCTTTATAAGTTTTGGGATAAACACCTGGAGTTATATTTGTTGTTAGCGTAAATGGTGTAAGCGACATATTTCAATAATATAATGAAAGTAATTTTTTTTATTTAAACTTATTTCAGATCAAAATATACAAAGTTCAAAATAAAAATAATTAACATCCATCAAGTACTACATTTTTTAAACGTGTTTTTGTGTGCCTCAACAATTACCAAAATGTCCCTTACGCCCTTTTGTCTATTAAGGATCAATTTATTCTTAAATTTTACTTAAACTTATGTAGAAATTTTACTATGGATTACGATTTTTTTCCATTTCATCCTTAGCTTACATACAATTGTGAAGCTAATATATCAACCTAAATTAGCAGTTAATTATTATATGAATGATGTCTTTGATAAATTTGTTTGTATTATTTATTACAGTTTTGTCTGAATTTAAATAGTTTGTTAGTAAGTCATTTGGAATTATATTTGGTGTTTGCTGAAAAACTATTTACAATGGCTGCCACTTTATATAAAGATGGAAGCTATCCATTCTATGATGGTAAATACTATATATTTATTTTACTTTGTACTTTATTATGTCACCATATTTGGCGCAGAGGTATAAGGCATAAAACTTGGTACCTGTGGAATTGAGTTAGATTTTTGGGGCTCTGTGTATTATACATCTAAATCCACTACACACAAGTTCTGCTCATTTTAAGGGGGGGGGGGAATGTAATAAATTTTAAATTAAAAAACATGTGTACAAAGCGCTGTGGGTATGGTGTCATGTGAATTTCCTCATACTAACAGAATAATAATATGTATATGTTTTATTTAAAAAAAAAAAATATATATATTTATGTATATTCAAGGCGGTCATTTTGACACCTAAAATAGAGGTTTTAAAAATAATTTTTCAAGAAACATCAATTTCGACCCGTTTAAAATGTCTGCAATTCTTATCATCAAATCAGAAACTTCAATCAGTTGTTTTGATTTAGTTTTGGGTGTTAAGAACCCCTTATTATTCTGTTATATTATAATATTATATACTGTATAGAGTATATTGAGTCGCCCGACTACAGTTGGCCAATTGGAATGTGCTGACCAAGGGTTTTAGCATGACACCTGACCAGCGGTCCCCCGTCGTCCAGTACCCTTCAGTCAGTTGCTGTATTGCTATTCACTTGTCTGTACTATTGTACCATTCGACGTCTTAATCTAATATTTTATACTAATTCATTTATATTATTCTATGTCGTATGTGTAATTAACATATTTGTGTCGTGCATATTAATTTAAATTGTAATACATTTATTCTATATCTTAAAAAAAGCAAGTGTTGCGTTCCCTTATTTATTTTGATAACCTTGGGTTCCTAGGCTCCGCATAACACAGGAATAGGCCGCGGTTCATTTCTATTTTTTTTTTAGAAAGGAATTTTTTTTTCTTCAAAATCTAAAAATAATATTTAATTTCAATTTTTATTATTATTTAAAAAAAAAAAAACCCCTAGTAAAGTTTAAACATATGAAAAATCTATTTTTATAATACAAATTCTATCATATTAAATAAAAATAAATGTTGATTGATTCCAACTAATAGTTCTTAATTAGGGCAAAATACTTAGGCTAGTAGTTCACCTTAAAATTATTATATTTAGTAGGGATTTCAATGTCATTTTTGTATATTCTATCGTAATTTATGTCAAAAACATAGCCAAATTTCAAGTCCCAGCAAAATTCATATGACTAATTCCTGTTCAGTACTTGGATCTAAATAGAACTACTTAATAGAATTACTCAAAATTTATTTTTACTTACAATTTTAGGGTTTGTTATAAAAATAGATTTTTACATTTTTGATGTTTCACTTCATTTGTATTTTGTTTAAATCATAAAATCAGCGAGATATTGTTTTTACCTTTTATATAGATTCCAATAAAATTATATCTTATAAAATTTTAATTTAAATCATCGATGATTGGTATTATGATTGGCGTTTCGAAGGCTTTGAGGATTGGTGTTTTTATTCTTCAGTTGAAGTTAATCATACTGATATTTTTAAAGATAATAAAAAAATTAATGCAGAGCTAAGTACAACAAATTAAAAAAGTTAGAATAAAGCTACCCTGTCTACACTGTGAAGGAATAATTTCTTTATTAGGAAATTTGAATATTAAGCTTTGAATACTTGTGCAGATAACTTAAATATATCTTCTTTAATTTAATTTTTTCCCTTCTCATTTTTTTTCCTTTTCATTCTACCAGTGGAGTTGGGCAGCCAAATCTGTTCTCTCCACAAATCACGTATCGCACATCAAATTAATATTATTTTTTGTTATTAGAGCGTAAAAAATAATTATAATTTTACTGTTTTGTTTTAGCTGTTTTAGCACCTTCTATAGTTGGAGAGACAATGATCAACACAATTAATTCTCTAATTTTTATCCAAAGTTGTCATATTCAACCAATTGTTGCTGCATTAATTAATACTGTTCAATCGTTACATACATTAAATACAAAAATGTGTCTTGAAGGCATGTATTTGAAATTTGATTGCAAAACAAATATTATAATATTCATATCTACTTAGTTACAGGAAAGACAAGCTACTATTCGGTTTGGTTTATTGAGTTAGAATCATCATTTTGTTTACTTATTGGTCGTTTGATAAGTCACTCGATAATTAGTTCTCCTTTATGCCCTTCTGAAATAAGCAATGAACAGTGGTTAAAAGATATATTGTTTTCTTCTGGCATTGAAAAATTAGATGACAATAGTATATTTGGTAATTTACATATTTTTATCAAGTAATAGTCATATTTTCATCAAATAAAATTGTTTTTTTTAAATATCAGATGATGTAGAAGAACATTTACAAAAAATCATAATAAATGGGTCATCATCAATAGATTGTGAACTTCGCTTTATACCACAGCCATACGTAGAATTGTTAAAATACATTTTAAATGAATGTGAACAAAATGAAGATGACTCAATAATATCTGTATGTAAAAATTTTAAGGATAAATACGATTGTTTCTTAAATGACCAAAAATATGGTATGATAATACGCTTAACATTGCCGTTATTTTATATTGCTCTGATTAAAATTGATGGAAGGCAACTTAAAGAGTAAGTTATAAATAATTTGAGGATTTATTCCAAAACAAGTAATTTTTTTTTTTTTCAGTTTTATACTAAATAAAAAACTTGTGTCATTTGTGAATGAAATGTGTGCGAAAATGTATTTTTCTCTTGTAAATAGTTCCGAAAAAACGGCAGTGTTCTCTGAACGTAGTAAGTGACAATTTAGATTAATAATACTTTTCTATTAAGTTGTATCATCAGAACTAAAACAACATAAAAATGTATTTTGTAATTGTCCCATTCCACGTCAATATGTATTTTTATAATGCCATATGTTATTCTTGTCTGTAATTGATTGTAATAAAAAATTCCATGGAAAAAATATTATAATTGTGTATTTTCACTAAAAATGTTTAACTAAGCTTTCTGTTTAGTTAGTTTCTATTTTTTATTGAAATTATTAATCATAGTTTTTCATTGTTTTTCTCCAAAAAAAAATATAATTTTACTAAAACAAAGTCTCTTTTTCTTTTCTCTGTCTCTTCATTACAAGAAACCATTATTAAAAATGAATTACGAACACAATATTTTTTTATGAGATGATGTATGAGTATCTAAATGTTTAAAAAAAATTCATAAATTATAATAATGTCCATTTATTTTTGCTCTTAATTTTAAAATATTTAATGTCACAAAACCTTCCAAAAGATGGCTGAAAAATTAAAAAAAATTAGGGGTATTTTTTAGGTCTAAACAAATCAAATGTCCATTGGTAATCAGAGTTCCACAGGGTCAGGCTCCATGAATTGACGTGGAATAACCCATTTATATACTTTGTTACTAAAAATGAATTTCCTTAGTAGTACTTAATTTTATTTTATTGTGTTTTTTAAGATAAATTTCCAATTTCAGTATTGGATGAACAACAGTGTTTAAATATTTCAAGTAAATGTTGTTTTTTATTGACTGCAGTCCGTGGAATGCACAGTGATCCTTCAATACCTAATAAACATCTTTTAAAAGAGTTAGTTTCATTTTATTAATTAATTATAAGTATTTGAAAGTTATTATTAAAAATATTTTTTTTCATTATTATTATTTTTAGTTTTTATTAAGTCACAACTAAATTAGTTATACATCCATTTTCTTTTTTTTTTAATGGAAATTAAAATTTTAGGAATTAAGTAGATTATTTCCATCTTCCCACTTATTTTGATTCACTACGACCACTATGTCAGAGTTAAAATGTTCACAATAATTTTTATCTGAGCTGACATGTTTTATAATTAAATATAATGAAGACATAGCTAAGTCAGTTAACATGGAAGTGCTTTTCTACAAAATTATTGTAAATATTACAAACATTACATATGTGACACATCTCTAGTTTTAGGAGTCAATATATTTTAAATAAAAAATCTTTTTCTAATTTTGTGGGTAGCTTTTAAGTTAAACCAATGTCCTTTGTAAAATTAAGTTAAAATTGTTTTGTTGTACGTATCCCTTTTTTTTTACAGCGATATATCTCCTGCCAATAAATCACTTTTGGAATCCGTGTTGAATTTTGTTTTGAATTCTAAATCAGCTACCAATCCATATACCTTAATACAAGCATCGGAAGTTGAAGAAATTAGAGCACATGTTTGTTTATTTTTTAGTTAATATTCATGTTTCTTCTAACTAAAATAGTTGATATTTAATTTTTACTTTAAAATATTTATCTTTATGTGATTAACAATTGTTTTCAGGATCGTTTAGCAGCTCTTAATAGAGTTACAAGAATGCTAAAAATTATTGATTTTATTCAAGATCCATCAGATGTCAATTCAATATCACATATGTCTAATGTAAGTAATAATATATTTAATAAACACAGTTAATATATCTAACTTTTTTATTATTAAATTAAATCAGGTTTTTGAAGCATTTACTTGTGGTTTACTTGGTCTGTACCACTCGCAATATGTTGATCATTATAATATTAGCCATTATTATTCAGCTATTAATACAGTACCTAAATCAATTAAGAAACACATTCAAAATGCTGTACTTAACATTTATAAACACTTCGAAATATATTTACATATGAGTGTACCAACTACCCATATATTTCGCTTACAAATATGTATACTATCATTACTCAATATGCATTTTACATCATCAGACTTTGAGTACTTATTATCCAATAACTTACCTCAAATGTTGGTAAATACTTGTGAATACCATATTCCGTTCATTTCAACTGACCATTATTCATTGGTTTTAATGAAAATGAGTAGCAATATTTTATATATATTAGCTGCATCTGGATGGTATGTTTTTTTTATAAATACATATTTTATTAGAGCAATTCGTTTTATTAATGTTTTTTTTAAAATTTATTTAGCAATGTAAATGTCAGCATTGAAAGTATAAAAACAGTTTTTATAAGCATACATAATTTGTTAGACACTTTAGTTAATGCAACAAAATGCACCATAATGGAACTTACTTTTCCTGAACTTTCAGGTAGCGGTATACTAAATGAAAGGTAAAATAAAAACCAATAATTTTGTAGACAAGAATTATAGTTTTTTTTTAATGTATGTATAATTTTTTTAGGGATATTCCACAAGAATCGTATCCAGTTCAAAATTATATTTGTGATTTACTATCCTTTGTTCTGCAATGTACTTCATTTTCACCGTTAGGTATCAGTTCTCAAGAATGGTGCGAAACACTTTTAAGTTTAGCCCAGTGCCCTAAAATTATGTTATTAGCTGACAATTTTAGATGCAAATTATTAATATTAAGATTATTACGTCAAATTTTGCCTAACATGAATTCAACTAGCAGTGACCGGAAAAAAGTATGTATTTTAATTGTGTTAATTTTGTATTAACTGGCTTTTATTAATTCACTAATAATTTATTTCTTATATCACACAAATAAAAAAATGTAATTATTCTCCTTAATAAGTTTAAAATTCTATATCATAATGTAGGATGGGTATTAATTAATTTTTGTTTCAAAGACAAATTTATGTTGTTTGAAACAACAGATTTTTTTGTAGTAGTAGCATACTTCTTATGTAGTTATTACTATGTTAATATGAAGCAATTAAAATTGTATGAAATTAAACTGTTTACAAATATTTTAAAATATGTGGAATCTCATAAACAATGGAGTGTAAGGGTAGATCTTTCAAAACGGTTAAATAATTTAAAAAAGGCTGAGTGTCATTTATATGGTAAAAATTATTTTGATTTTTAAAACACTAATCATTTCATATTAATGTTGTAAAAATAATCACATAACCACGTTGAAAGAGAAAGTTTATTAAATTATATAGGTTAAAACGATAAATACAAACGAATGTTTGGAGCGACCCCTGGCGGATTTTTTTAAAAATTATACTGCATGTCTGTTAATTGGTACAATGAAAAGAATGTTCTCAAATATTTTTTTTCAAATACTTAAGCCGTAGTCATAAAAAGTACGAAAATTTACACATTTTATGTTAACAATTTTTAGCTTTTTTTTTATTTGAACTTAGATTATGGGCTACACGAAAAAACCAAGTTTTTAGATTATGAGCTCAATTTTAATGACTTTTTGTTAAGCAAAAAAAATTGATGTAGGTAATTTTAATGCTGAGATTATTTTACATAAGAAACTTTAAACAAATTATTAAAAGAAGTGTCAAGAAAAAAACTAAAAACACCTTTTACGATCATGGTAATAGTAATTAAAAACAAATTAAGAACATTCTAATCATTGTAACAGACATGCAGTGTAATTTTCTTAAAAAAATAAGAGCCCTTTACTAGGATGTGTTGGGCTTTCTACAATAATTAATTAAAACTATATGAAAAATAGCTGTATATGTTTAAATTGTTTAGATTGTTAAAACATTACTAGAACAATTAGCTGCTAATATGTGGGTAGTTCCTCAAGAAGTGGAAAACATGACTGCTCTTATGAAACAAGAAGACTTGGACAAACAAATGGGAAATATTTGTCTAAATGGTAAATTATATAATAATTAATTTTTTTTAAAAAAATTTTTGTACTGTAAATAACTTTTTAGATCCTAATGAGACAAATATTAGTTCTCAACATATTGATATTGGTGACTTGCCATTTTCTTTCCACGAGGAAAAAAGTTTCAATTGTATAATAGAAAATGGTCATACAGTTATTCATGCACATGGAGGAAGGGCATATGCACTCGGCTGTACACCATTTGAAAATGGTAAATACATAATATTTAAAAACTGAAATATTCAGAATAAAAATCTTAGATAATCAAATCTATGTTGGTTAATTACTTATTCCTGGTTCCCTCTTCAGTATTAATATTAATGTTCTTATAGGTGTTTACCAATGGAAGTTTTTCATATTAAAAGAACACAAAGGCAATGAAGGATCGTGCATTGGTATATCAAAATACCCAATTAAAGATCAAAATTATAGAACTACCTCTGATATGTGGCTGTATAGAGCTTATAAGTTTGTATACCAATAGAATTTAATAAGATAACTTCAAATTAATAACTTTTTAATTGTCATTTTTCTTTTTCAATTGAACTCTCAACTACTTTGGAACCACTAATTATTAATTTCTAAAAAATCCGATGCTCCATACCCTCTGCACCTATACCTATATATTAAATATTACTGTTAAATGACTAATCATATTTTTTAATGTTTTTTTTACGGTTTCACCTGTTTTTTTATCCTATACAGTCTTTATTGCTATATTGTGCATTTTTTTTCTGGCACGCCATATAATTACCAATCTTAACAATTTTTATTATTGATGTGACTTAATAAGGTATGTCTTACATATTTCTTTATAACTTACTAATCTAGTCACACCATTTTTATATCTTAAAATACTCATTTCTGTTACAATTATCTTTTGTTCTGTATTTTGTACCCACTATTTTACAATTTATTTTTGAGAATTTACCTAAAGTCCGTTAATACTACACTAACCTAATTATAATATTTATTTATTACTAGTTAATACCCTCTCAAATACATCATAATACAATGTGTGCCCTTCCCTCTCCCTTCCCATGACTAAAAACAGCTTAAGTCCTAGTCAGGCTTCAAAAAAACACACTTTCACATTTATAATATTAAATTATTTATAATATGGATTAATTTATATTACTTAACAACAAATGTTATTATTAAACTTTTAGTGGTAGTTTATATCACGGAGGCCAAAAACCTCTTGTATTAAAGACATTCACTCAAGGTGATTACATCACAGCAATTTTAGACTTGGAGTCTAAAACACTCAGTTTTGCAAAAAATAATGATTATCCAGTTGTGGCATTCCAAAATATTGATACTAAAGCAAAACTTTACCCTTGTGTACTATGTTATAGTACAGCAGCTGGACAGAAAGTATAAACATTTTTTTTTTTTAAGAAACAATTTAAACAGATAAAACATTTTTTAGATTAAAATTAGTGATTTTAGAGCTGAACGAAATAAAAATTCGGAATTATTTACTGGAGAACCTTACTTAGCTCCAATGTTCTCATGCATTACAGAAAATTATATTATAATTATTAGAATTTTACATAATCTTGATCACTGGCTAAATGAGGTAATTTTTAACATATTATTTAATTTAACTATATGTTAAGTTCGATTTGTTAAATAATTTTATAGTATTATTAAACCTTATTTATATTGACATACATAAAATAAAATTTGTGATTGTATAGGTTAATGAATGCTTGCTGGAACAGCTGTCATACCTTAAAGAAGTTTTACCAAAAGTACAATTTAAAGATCGAAAATTAGACATTTCTGGGTCTTATCAAAAAGAGCCAATTTGTGAAAGTGTTGAAGAAATTAATGTTAACTTATTATGTGAAAAAGTTTGGCCAACATTAGCTGTTATTGGTGGATTTGATCGAGGCTTACGAGTTGATGGAAGATGTTACGATTTAGAAATAAAATCATTTGGCACAATTTTAGGAACATTAAAAAAAGGTTTTACTACAGCCAAAGTGATGTGGGAAGATAAAAAAAATACCATCGGGTAATTACATTTTAGTTATAGTTAAAAATGAATATATAATAACTGGGATAGTAAATATATATATATATATAAATTGAAGTAAATATAAAAATTAAAATCTACTAGGTTATTTTATCTGTAACATGCTTATTACAATCGTCATAAAAAAAACAATTTACAGATTGTATATAAATAAATAAACAATAAAATAAAAGTTATAATGTATAGCTATGAAGGTGTTAAATGTATTATACAGGATGATCCAATCATTTTCAAAGAAAATTATTGCAATTTTGTAGTTTTCACTTACATGGCATCAGCTTTGAAAGGTGAACACAGCAGTTCTTCTATGTACTAGTCGTGGTACAACACTCGGTTAGTTTCTTCTCACTAGGCAGGCCACTTTCTGGTATTAGAAATAGTCATCTAACTGGTATTTAAGGCAATGTGTAGCCACCGCACCATAAATTCCTTTCTCAAGTCACTATTGTTGACTGCACAGTCCATTTTATGAAGAGAGTTTTCACTTGGGGAGAGTGTGATTTGATTGATAGTTGCAGATAAATATAATATTACACACCATCATTTTCCTCGCATCCTAAATTTTAAAAAGTAATAACCATAAAAGAAATTATTCAAAGATGGTTATCTACTAGTCAAGATTCCAACAAATTAATCCTTAGTTAAAATTTGAAATAAATGTTTTCATAACTTTTAAGGGTAATAAGTCAATAACGCTCTGGAAAATACCAATAAAGGTATACTTGGCAATTTTAAAAATGTTAAACTAGTGTAAATAAAATTGGTTTCAAAAAGAAAAACTACAGAACTGTAATTTCTTACTTAGTTGATTGCCTTTTAGATGGTACTGAGATCATATTTTTGATAAAATAATAATAGTTTGTTTTCTTACAGTGACATACTGTTTCATACATTACTACCCTGTAACAATGTGAAATTCAATCCTACACGCTTGAAGCGCATACCATCTTTAGAATTGTACTCAATTGGACGATTAAGTGGAATTACAAATGAAGTATGTAGTTACTTACATAAATTAAATAAACTGAGTATTAAATAAAATATAAAAATCTTATTTAAAATTTTAGATAGTATTTGAAAATGGTACATTAAACAAAATGTCTGAAAATGCTCCAGAAGAAAACAATTCTAAATCATTAGATATGTTATCTAGTCAAATGGTTATGAATATCATGGATCAAATATCTGAAATAAAAAACACTAACCAATGTTCTAATAATGTTAATGAAACAGTTCCCATTATAAACATAAAGTAATATTGATTTTTTTTTAAATTTCAAATAATGTAATTAATTTTTTTCTGTATGCTTAGAGATACTTATAGTAAATTTTTAATTCATGAAACAAGAACGTTTAAAATGTGTGTTTTACAAACAAGTGCATTGAAAAGTTTAGAGATTATTATGAAAAGCTCTATGTTTATTGATATGCTAGTTAATCCAGTGCATTCAAATTTTTCAATCGATGCTAATAAAAACACATTAAAAGATTGTAAAAAAAATGAGGAGAAATTAAACAATGACGATGACACTAATGAAATATTATTATTTCTATTTAGGTAAAACATATTTTTTTTATAATAACTACATTTATAATGTATTAAGAAATTGTTATTTACTACTTTAGATGTGCTTTTGAAAAAAGTTTACATTCTCAAAATTTAGTAATCGAAACGGACATGATTGAATGTGAAAGACTATTAAGTATTCTTTACAATAACTATCTCAAAGAATGTGCAGAGAATAAGTATAGGATTCCCGATTTACAAAATCGTTTAAAAACTCTTATAAGTTTTCAAGAAACTAATAGCTTGCAACGTAGAGAATCTGTAAGTAATATTATAAATGATGATTTAATAATAATTATGAAAAAAAGTTGTGTTGAACATCAAAAGGTATCAGGAGAAACATCTAGAAATACGGATGATCCACCAAGAAGAATTGTAAGATCTCGTCGTAATATGCTGCATCGATCTAACACTATTTATATGTGTCCAAGTAATAGTGTTGCAGGAAGTAGTAACATTCCATCAAATGAAAATAATGAAAGAATTCCACCTATTGCTACTCCTTTAATTGAAATGGGATTTTCTGCTAGACTAGTTCAAAGGGCCATAAATGCTTTAGGTAAGAATAATATATTTTTAATTCTTTGTTAAAATATTTACGTTGATTGATTACCTGTTAAGGTAATACTTGGGAAACAATGCCTCGAAATGTCGCTATTAACAGTTTAGCTACCTGGATGATAGAACATCCGTGCATTCAAGAAACAAACTTTGAGGCTCCTGATAATAATATGGAAAACCAAGTGAGTATTGGAAATAAGAACTAATTTATTAATTTAAAAAATATATTATTCATTTTAGGTGTTATCGACTTCAGCTTTAAGAACATCAAACTTTGTATCTCGTAATGAACATCCAACTGAAGAAAGCACGGAGAGTCCTTTAGAACTAATTACACATAGGCGATTAGTAGCATCACGAAGACGTCAAAGAGAACACTCTACAGATCATACTACTTATAGAGTACCCACATTTTATGTCAATAGTGAACAACTAACTGAAGATTCTATAAATCGCGTAATGGCTAGTATGCATGCAATGACATCAGACGTAGAACAGCCAGAATCACCACCAGAGACTCCTCCACGTATACTTTCACCAAGTTTAGATGTGGCAACAGGAGTATATTTTGACCCTTATAGATCTCGACTTGATAGTACGATTTTGCCTTCTGTAAATCGAAACTCTGGATTAGGCACTCTTAGTGAATCAAGACAACCCACTGAAATAATATATCCAGAAACCACTAATACCCCAATTCAGAGATCTTGTAAGTATAATGATTTACAATTTCCCACATATATATATATATATATTTATATTATAATAGTAGTAAATTGTATACAAAGATTATACATGTATAATCATTTTTAATTTGCAGCAGTTGATGTTTCTTGTGTAAATTGTCAAGAAAAAATTGAAAAATTAAAAACTCTTGACTTTTTTAAATTAAAAAAGTCTTTATTGACAGATTCTAATCAAGGTAACTTAGAAATTTAGTACTAAATACTATTAATTTGTTAAAGTATTAAAATATGTTTATTTTTTGATTTTAGTATCAACATTATTGAACCATTACAACTACACTGATAAACCATTCAATTTAGAAACAGTTTATGAACAACTGAATTCTTGTCAATTTACACCAGATAGTGTAGAAGATAATACTATGGATCAACTTGGCATTGAAATAGTGCCACCTCTTCCTGCTAATGAATGTAGTGCAAATGATATTTTTCAAAACACTCCAATATTTCTCTCTGAATCATTGTCTTTGGAAGTTGCTTTAATGACCAATTCAGAAGAACGCAATAGAGCTATTAATCGAGTTTTTTCTACAATGTCAAATCTAGGATCAAGAAGTATTGTTCTTAACACAATGATATCCCTTATAAATTGGTCATTTGAGACTGAAGATGTAGTGGCTTGGAAATTAGATGAACTAGGTTTAACAAATGTTTCTAAAATTGTTAATTTCTTGAGACTTCTGCTTATTTCAAATGTTTGGACTGAAAGGGAGTACAAAGAAAATCAAACTCTGCCAAATGTGTTTAAAAAAAATTATCTTGCACTGCTTCCACGCATCATAGTTGCACTTGCAGATCATTTCCGACCAGCATATGATCTTGCAATATCTATTCCAGTTCAGGTTAGTAAAAACTGATATTTAGTGTATTTAATAATATATTATTATAAATTAAACTTACTAAAATCATACAACACTATTTAGGATCTATTTACTGTTGCAAGTGAAGGAAATCTGAATTTACGCCATAACTTAAAAGTTACTAAATTAATAATTGATGAACTAGTAAAGAAACTTGATATTTTGTCTAAACAGGGTATGTTATGATATTATATTATTAAGAGTATAAAAAACTATAAAACATTTTGTTATAAGATTTTTCAGAAGAATATAGTGTTGTTAGTAGTATTGAAAACGACAGAAAGCCATCTGGTAAAATGCTCATAAATGCTTTATCTGCTTGTATATTATCACATTTAGTTAGCAACGATATCAAACATTGGGCATGTAAACAATTAGTAAGTTTTAGTTATTCAATAATAGTTATTTCAATTCATTATATTATTGGACTACACTGTATTAAATGAGGAAATACAAATTTTTACAAATAATACACATGAATATAACGAAAATTGTTTCATTCCTTATTTAAATTTTGTAACATTGATACATATGTACATATTTATTCAATTTATTTTAATTACAAATGCTTCACGCCCCTTAAATCAGCTAAGCGTGTGTGAGGTGATGACAGACAAAAACTGTTTTGCAATGTTGCAAGAATTCAACCCATTAGATTGACAAATATGTGTAATACACTGAATACATAATATAATATTTAGTGATTTAAGCAGTAATGCTTACTTTAACAAGTCAATAATATGTGGTCAAGGTCGACAGAAAGGAAAGCTAAATCATTAAATTAAAAGTAAAGTGTTAAATGCACTCCATTAAGACAATAATCATAGCTAAAAATTACACGTTTTTGGTATTTATTTATTTATTCGTATGGCCAGAAACAATACATAATACAAAGTAATCATACATTATCAGGGTAGAGCAGTAAAGATGTCAGAGTACAGATTACAAATTATAAACAGCACACAACAATCCTAGTCGTAGATTGATATCCAGACTCCGCTTCCAACCAATAGCGTTTGAAGTTGCGTTTACAAAGTCCTCAAGTGTTCCGTTGAATTTACGTTTTGAGCACTCGCTTATGATGTGTGAAATAATCTGGCTATATGGGCCACAGTTGCATTCTGGAGCTGGGGTTAGACCCCTTTTGTACATCAGATATCCATATTTCATGTGTCCCGTCCAGATTCGATTAAGGGTGGTCCTATCTTTACATGATAGTGGTACCCTGAGATTTGGTAGCTGCCGACTTTGTAGTGATTTTGCGGAACCAGCTGTGATGCTACCCAATCTTCTCGCCAAGCTTTTAGAGTGTTAAAATTTGAAATTTCGAGTTCTATGGCACTTTTGAAAGGCACTTAAAAGGGTTTATTGTAAAAAATTAACAGCTTTATTAGTCAACAACAAACTCGATCTCAGACCAGTTGATAGAACTTAGTTCAGCATTATTACTAAAGTCCCGATATTTGTGCTTCATCTCGAACGCAGGAATGGTAATTTAACTAGAACAGGATGATCTTATATAATTATTATTTGAAAACTTTTATCTAAAAACTTTAAAAAATAATCATTAAAAATGAATTTATAAGTAACATATATTACAGGTGAACATTTTAGTAAACAAATCTATATCTCACAAGTTAACAATCTTACCAAATGAATCAGATTTTCCTGGATCATTGAAGCGCTGCCCAATAGTAAAATTAGAAGGACATGAAAACCGTATAAATCATGTTATATGGCAGCCAAAAATAAAATCCCTTGCATCCTCGTAAGAATTCCAAATGAACAAATGTTTACTATTTTGGAAATGAAGGTGAATTACTCATTCACAATTTTTTTTTAAACTTTAGTGGATTTGATGGAACAATGAGATTATGGAGTACTGATCTATGCTTAGAAACTACATTAATGTTTTTCAAATCATCGCAAATTTATGGTAATGACTTGGATGGAGAACTTATATCAAAACTTGCTTGGTCACCATCAGGGTTATGTATAGCTGCTTCAATGGAAGGAACTCTAAATATTTATACAATTAAACGACGTTAGTAGTAAACTAAAATGATAATTTTAAATTGGTAACTTATAACTAAATTACTATAATTTCTATGAATTTTTAATAGATGTTTTTAAAGAAGATGAAACTACTTTATCAACTCACACTAAAGATGCTTGGATAACTGCATTAGCATGGTCTGGAGCCGTAACCAAAAACTCATATGATTTTCAAACTCAGTACTTATTAGTTGGGGGAGTTGATGGATCAGTTAATATTGCTACTGTTGAGAGTTTATCTAAAATAAGCTATGAAAAATTAAATGACTTCTCCTGCCCCGGAGGTAATTAATATTTTAAAATAAAGCTAATAAAACATTTCAATCAGTCATTTAAGAAACCCCATAAATTAGTCAAACATTTTTTTTTATTGTTTTTGATTCTACAAGTGTAGACACACAGTCTATGGAGAAACACCTCATGGTCATGGAGTTTTTTCCCGTTCTGAATAGGGATTTGGATTTTCTATTCACAAGGCAAACACCATTAGTCCTGTTTTATGGTGTTTCTGCAAATAATGCAAAAATTTGTCTGTAATATAAACTACTTTGATTTAGGGTACTAAAAAAAAAATGTGTGTTTTTAAATACTTTCTTCCTCTGTTATTACAGAATGTACTAATGTAAAAGAAGTTTTTTCCTAGTCCAGTAAAATTTAGATTTTGTGACTTAAGACGTTTTTCAAATAACCGATTTGTTATTTAATTTATGCAGTAAATCATTTTTATGTTTTAGTTCCTGTATCTCATATAGCATGGCATGAAGATTTAACACCATTTGCCATAGCGTTTTCATCTGGTGCTATCACAATCGGTCAAATTCAGCACTCTACTCAACCAGAAGTGTTAACAATATGTCAGGTAAATCACATAATTAGATTAAATGATTATTGTTAATTTCTTAAGCTTTATGTACTTTTTTAGAGCCCTATAACAACATTGCAATGGTCTAAAGTCTTTGATATATTATCTGTTAGTAATGTAGAGGACACAACTATAAAACTTTGGGTAAAAAGACAAAATCATTGGGAAATATTTCATGAACTTAATCATACTAATGAACCAACTTGTGTGGTTTGGTCTCCTGTTGTTGGTAATAATATTTTGCTTATAATATGAATCTATGTTCATTTGTAAATAATAAACATTATTTTACTTTAGGCAATAAAGGGTTGTTACTTTGTGTTGGAACTGTAGTGGGTTCTATCAATGTTTGGTTAATTCCATCACCTTTTTCTAAACAAAAACCAAAAATTCTATACTCATTTCAAGGACATATGTTTAATTCAGTTACTTCAATGGCTGTTCATGATAGTGGCTTAGTACTAGCATCAGGCTGTAGTAAAGGAACCAGTGGAGTAATTAATATTTGGTCTCTTTTTGATGGCAGTTTACTTAATACTCATACTGGTTCTGGTGGTGTGGATGATTTGTGTTGGATGGATGATCAACTTGGCCTTGCTGTGTGTTTTGCACGATCTAAAGTATATAAAAACATAAAATAATTAACTACTAAGTTTATATAAAGGGATTAAACCGTTTTGAAAACTGAACTAGTTTAATACTATATGAACAGTTTTAAACTGTTTTAAAATATATAACGCTGCTTTAATTAGTAAGTAATTTCTATCCGTTTTGATTTATTTGAAAATGGGTTTCAGTTTCAAAACATTTAATCGCTTCAAATAAAAGTAGTAAATGCATTTGGATTATGTTGCAAACCCTTTAATATATTATGAAATATAGGATGTTACAGTTATTCAGTTCAGCGCTGACAACCTAATGCATAATCGTTTTGAATCAAATGCAAGAAGTACATTATACCGACGTGGACTTCATACTGTTCAGTATTTCCGAAAATTTGTCAATTCATTGCCTGAACTTTTGCAACTTCAAATAAACTACGAAAAACATAAAGTTTTAATGGGTGATCGACTTTTATATAGTGATTACTTAAAAGGCTTAATTGCTATTGCATTGGAAATTTGGCCTGATCAAACTTTTTGTTTTCCTTTTGTACCACCAAATTCTAGTCACAGTGTTGAATTTTGTAAGTATAAATTCACTTTCTGAAGAAATACATAGTATTTAATTATTACTTTCATATTATTGATTATTTTTTCATAAAGATGAAGAGTGGCAATGGTTACAAAGGTTAATAATAGTTTTGAATGTATCTAAAGCATTACTGACAAGAAAAAGTTTCCCAGAAACATTCATTAATTATTTTTCTTCTGGCTTGAATGGTAAGATATTAAATTTAATATTACACCCAAATTAAACAGAACTGAAAATGTGTAAAATTTCTGTACGTTTATAATTAAAAAAACATTCAGCGGTTGGTGGTATAAATCTAGTTTTATAAAGAGTATACAAATGAAGGGCTGCGGGGAAAAAAGATCAATATCAATTTTTGTTCGTTCTGAGAAAATCATGTTTTTAATTTCAAAACGTAATACATTTTGCCTGTATGCCTAAACTTTCAGTGGTCGTTACTCTCGACTAATCTGTTTTTTACCCTGGTTCGAGCGCACAAAAGATGCAATACGTCAATACAAATAATTTTGTATCAAAATCTCATTTTCAAAAAAAATTGACATTGATCTTTTTTCCCCGCATCCCTTTATATTTTTAGCGATTTTCATTTAGCTTAAATAGTTTTTTCTTTATCATAGTTCTGTACTCAAGAGCCTAAAAATAAGAAGAACAAAAAGTCGATTGGATTCTCAATGTGTGGTTTTAATTTGTAATTGTTTGTGTAAAAACTGTAGCAATACGTTTTGCCTAATAATCTAACTGTTACGTGACAAAGTTCAGCAAAATACCTATAGGAAAAACATGTTTTATGTTCAAAAACTGAAAAATTACTTATAGGTTTTTACTTCTTAAAATAAAACCTATTTATTTAAAATACAAATAGTACATTTGTATTTTAAATAATTCAAATAATTTAATTATTTTTATGAATTTTAAATATTGTAATATTATATAGTTAAACTGTTATTAAAGTGATTCATTTATTACATTTTATTTTAGATAATCAGTAGTTTTATAATCATTAATAAAAGAAAAGAACACATTTCTTTGCTGTTCAAACATAAAACCTCAATTACATGTTCTAAATATTAATATTATTAGACTTTTTATTAATATTTTAGTTAATAAAATTAAACTTTGGTAACTAAGAGTACATTGAAATTATTATAAAATCAAACTAATAGCATTTTAATAAATTCTGTTCTGCCAATTTTACTGTCCAGACTAGACTTTAGCAGAACACCCACTAAAAAAATTAGTACTATATCGCCTAAATCAGGATATCTAGTTACACTACATTTAACCTATCTTACATTTTATTTTATTTTCATCGTTGTTCTAATTAAATAATTGTCTAGGAGAATGAGGTTTTTGATTTTTAGGTTTGTTATTTCGTTGCATGTGTTTTGTCAAAAATGAGAATATGTGTGTGTTCTTGCTTTTTTATTTTATTTCAATGCTCTAAAATATTACATACACGTATTCTAGGTTTATGATGCATCACCGCGACAGAAAAACCAAACATTATTTATTTATATGAACACGTTGGGTTTGCTGCCCTTCTACACCTATTTGTTTAAATGTCTAACAACTCCTTAAAAAAGCAGAGCTTGTGTAAAGTGATGGCGGACACAAGTACCAGTGCACAGGAACACGGGGGGGGGGGATGCTAAAAGTGGAGGTACAATTAACTGTGAAACCTAGGGCGACTGGAAAACTGGGAAAGCTCCTGTTGGGGCAGTACGGGCCTGTGCACACCCAAAGATCTACTCAAATTGCACCTATGCCAATATTAAAAAAATATTCAAGTGCCCTTTTAAGCACTGAGTAGTCAGGCGGAGCAGACTGACATTAACTTTGAGTAAAGAGTTATAAAACTAGGACTTATTTACAGTGGTGTGACCAGTATAAAAAAAACCTATTAGTTTTTTTTAAATTACAGAATTATTAATTATTTTAGTCTATGATTTTTTGTCAAAAATGAACTGAATTTGGAATTAATTATTATAGCACAAGAAAAAATATGGCTGCCAATGCACACCGTGCCAACCCCCAACTAACACTTCCTGAAGCTAATATTAAATTAGCCCAAAAATATCCATAAACAAATTATAAATTATTTTTAATTTTTAAATATTTAGAAGAGAACCCTGATTGTTATTTGTGGTCGGAAGCAACTAATAATAGTGCATGGACAATTGAAGCAGATCAACAGATTATTCAATGGTTTAACACTGCTCCTAATGATTGGCAACCATATACAAAATGTGATGCATATCTTTGGGGAAATGGACGCAATGGACAGTTAGGAGAATTAGGTAAAGTAGTATGACTATGATTGTATGGTATATTATTATAAAATGTATACTTTGTGTGTTTAGCTATTGGTCAATCTTTGTGGACACCAAAACAAATGATCAATTTTAAAATAGCTCAAAGGATAATTTGTGGTCAAAATTGTACATTTGTTTTAACTAGTCAGGGCACAGTATTCTCATGCGGAGAAGGCAATTACGGTCGCCTCGGTCATGGCCATTCCGATAGCCTATCTAATCTTACTATGATATCAGCTTTACAAGGATTTGTTGTTACTCAAGTAGCTACATCAATTGGTTCTGATGGACATAGCTTAGCTTTAACTGAAACTGGGGAAGTATTTTCTTGGGGAGATGGGGATTTTGGTAAATTGGGACACGGTAATAATGAACGCCAAAGGAAGCCAAAGCTAATTGAATCACTCTACGATGTAGTTGTTGTTCAAATAGCATGTGGACATAAACATAGTGCTGTATTATCTCAAGATGGCGAAGTTTATGTTTTCGGTAGTGCAGAACATGGGAAATTAGGGTTAGGAGGACAGTCCAATAAAAAACGGCCAACAAAAATTATCCATAAAGGTTTCTTGAATGTTAAACACGTAGCATGTGGACAAAACCACACAGTTTGTGTTGGAGAGAATGTTGTTTGGTCATTTGGTGAAGGAGAAGGAGGAAAGTTAGGAATTGGAAGCAAACAAGATAGTTATATTCCACAAGTAAGTAATTTAATTTAATTTAATTTTTAAACTCGAAACTAATAAAATTATTTATTATACTAGCCTATAATTTCATTAACGGGTAAAAATATTAAAAAAGCATTTTGTGGAAATCGCTTTTCAATGTTCCTTTCTGAAGATGGTGAACTTTATTCTTGTGGAATGGATAACTTGCAGGATTCATTAGAAGTTTTATATTCAGAAAAATTGTACCCAGAAAAGGTAAATTGTTTTTAATTATTATGATTTTTTTTTAAAACTAATTTATTTTGCAGATATTTGAGTTTCAAGGACAAATTGTAACAGATGTTGCAGCTGGACCTGACCATGTACTAGTATTAACTTCTCATAGCGATGTATGGGCTTGGGGCAGTAACTGTGAAGGTATTCTTGGACTGGGCCATAATCTACCTGTTCATAAGCCTGAAATCATTCCTAATTTATCTAACAAAAATATCAAACAAGTAAAACACCAATTTATGTTTTTTATTTTATCTTCTATTTATAATAATGATTTAAAAATGTGTTTTAGATAACTACAAGCCGCACGCATTGTGCTGCTTGGACAGCAGAACCTTTTGCTAGAGATTCTACTAATATTTTTCACAATGATCTACCCACATCCATACCTTACCAATATGGACATCTTCAAGACTATAAAGTTACCTCAATATCCGCTAGAATGAGATGCTTACAACAGTTTTCAAACTTATTGTATACATGTTGGCAAATGATTCCATTTAATACTGCTGTAAGTAAAGTACATAAATAAAAAAATAATTTTATTGAATTATGTTGTTTTTTTATACTTCAAACTTTGTAGGATTTTGATTGGAGTAACATTAAACGATGGCATTGGTTATCAGACAAAAGGCTTAAATATTTATTTACAAATAAAATTGTTAAGCTTCCATTGATGAAAGTTATTAGTAGAACAATGAACCAAGGACAAAATTATGGACCTCAAATAATTGTTAAACGCTTAGGTAGTAATGGCACCACCATGTCTATTTTTGAACAAGTGGCAAAACAAATTGTTAACCTTAATGCTGAATCACTGAGACTACCATCAAGAGCTTGGAAGGTATATTTTATAATTATTATTTACTTATTTATGAGAAATGTTTAAAATAAATATTATTTTATAGAAGTAAAATATGCAAAAATAATACAATAATTCTATAAATTACTTATTACTTATAAAAGAAATAACAGGGGTTTAAAATAATAAATTATAACGTTTTCAATTCTATATATAGTTTTGTTTGGTCTATAGACATATCATGTTTGTCAAATAGAAAAAAAAAGTATTAATATAGAAGATTATTGAGGAATATGAGGATAAATGTCAATTTATTGGATGCAGTTGATTAGATCATTAATGGTTAAAAATTGAAAATATCTTGTATGTACTATTTAGGTAAAATTGGTAGGTGAAGGAGCAGATGATGCAGGGGGGGTATTTGATGATACCATTGCTCAAATGGTTGAAGAACTTCAAACTCAAACTGTTAAACTATTAATATTAACACCAAATGGACGGAATGAAACTGGTTATAATCAAGATCGATTTTTATTGAACTCTAAAATGAATCAATTTAAGCATCTCCAGCAGTTTCAGTTTCTTGGTAAGTGCAGATTATTTTTAGTCAACTACGTAACTTAATATAACTATTTTATTTTAATTAGGAATATTATTTGGCGTTGCTATCAGAACTAAAAAACCTTTAGCACTACCTTTGTCACCAATGATATGGAAAATGATCATAGGAGAACCGTTAAATATTTCTGACCTTGAGGAAAATGATACTTACTATGCCCAAAACTTAACCAGTATACAAAACATTCATCAGACAGGGGTCACTGAAGAAAATTTTGAGGAAGTATGTTAATATTAGTATGAATTAATACACATATTATACAATTTTGCTTTTGTATAATTACTGTTGATACATTTAACATTGACATTTTAAAAGGTGATACCATATCTAAACATGACTGGTACTGATTGGACTGACAATATTGTTCCATTAATTCCAAATGGCCAATATGTACCTGTCACATATTCTAACAGATTGAAGTTCTGTGAGTTGGCACTAAATCAGAGATTCCATGAAATGGATGAACAAATATTAGCAGTTCGGAGAGGCTTGGCTACTTTAGTTCCATTGCCATTACTTACATTTCAAACAGCAGACAACATAGAACGTATGATTTGTGGATTACCAAACATATCAATACCTGTATTAAAAACAATTGTTAGGTAATCTTGTTTTTTTAATAATTTATATAAATATGTGGAGTGCGATAGAGTAAGCGCGTAGAGCTATTTTTATCTGCGCTTATTAGTCTACTGCACTACACCTCCTACCCTTTAACCTTTAGTAACTTAAAAAGTAATTATCCAAATCTGGTTATCGACCAGTCAACATTTTCAGCAAATTATTCTTAATAAAAAATGTAACAAAAAAAATCAAAATAACTATTTAAAAAAGTAAAATAGTTCAGTGCAATCAAAAACGTGGTGCTTATAGCGCAAATGAGTATAAATTAATTTAAAAACAAATTTTTAAAAATATTCACTTAACAAAAGTTTTTATTGGTCGAATCATTGTGGGACACCCTGTATATATATATAAAACCTGGAACATAAAACTTGCTTGTTCTCCGGTTCACGGCAGCGTTTGGTTACCAATTTACCTGCGCAAAACCGGCATATTCTCTTGGCGGACGGAGACGAGTATAGAACTACTTCATTTGATTAACATTTTGTCTTTAAATTAGAAAATGGAAGGAATTTTAATTAAAAAAAGAGAGGAACATGACGTTTTATACAATAAAATGGTTCTCATAATTATCGCCTCAAGCGTTTGTGTAAACGATAAAGAAATAACTGGTTAAATACTGTGTAATGGTAAATGAAAAAAAAAAGCACAACAGTTGCGTATTCCTAAACATGATATCACGGTTTAGATTTGTCATCGTGATAGCACGTGAGTTCACATGACGTCTGTTTGCAGCTTTAATTGCATAACAAATTGTTGTTTTATAGAATAATTCAACATTTATTATTATTATATTAAATCAACAATTATATTAACTACTGTTTATAGTCAGTTTTTTTTTTATTTTTTAGATATAGAGAAATGGATGAAAATTCTCTAGTAGTTCAATGGCTGTGGGAAATTTTAGAAGGATTCTTAGATTCTGAGAAAGTATTGTTCTTGCGTTTTGTTTGTGGTCGGTCTCGTCTTCCATCAAACTTATCAGATTTTTCTCAGCATTTTCAAGTATGAAGTAGTGCAATGTTATTGATTTTAAATATAAAATAATATTATTACTTCCAGATCATCAAAGTTGAAGATAAGGTAGATGGCCTCCCAACTGCTCAAACATGTTTTTTTCAGTTGAGATTAACTGACTACAGTAGTCGCACTGTGTTTGAAGAAAAGCTGAAATATGCCATTAACAATTGTCGCACAATAGATATGGATAATTATATGTTATTCCGAAATGCTGATGTTGACTCAGATGATGATCTAGCCTTTAATCTTTAAATTTGCATACTTGAAAATATGGAAATACATTTTATTAATATTTAATTAAAATAATGATATAATTATATATGATTATATTGCTAACATATGAGATAAACATATATATTTATACATAAATACAAAAAATAAACGTTTTATGTAAAAACTAAAAGCCATTTTAAATGTATTATACAAAATAACGTGCAATATAAATAAACAAAATTAAATTTTACAGAAATTAGTTGTTTTCTTAATTACTTGGTTAATCTATGTAAGGCCGTGGATAAGGCATCTTGGTTCTAAAGTTACCGATTTAGATTCGTTATCCAATCTCACACACAAGGTGCACATTTTTAAATGAATATTATAAATTAAAAAATAATTGAAAAAATATTATGTATGTATCAGCTATACATATGTATAGCTGTGGTATAACTGTTTGTTCTTAAAACGTGTGAACAATTTTTTTAATATTTAAAAAAAAATTGTTTCCAGCTTGACAACACCTATAATTAAGCAAAATAAACAAACTTTTTGTATTATAGATTTTTTCAAATTAAAATGAATAGAATATTGTAATCATAAAAAATGTATTTCAAAGTAAAATAATACACAGCAAAACATTACTTTTTTAAAGTGACAATAAAATGAACTAGAGTATTCTTAAATGTAAATTGAGACATATGTATAGTTCTTAACGTTAAGTTATGTTATTATCTAAATCTAAATAATTAATAAACTTATTTATTAATCATACAGATTGAATAATTGATTTTTATTCACAAAAGTTACATTTTACAAGTTTTTACTTGAAACTATTTTGGCTTAGTTTCTTGATCTGTAACATATCTAATATAAACATTATTTTCTGGTATTGGATCTGGGTGCACATCTTGTTCAAACATATAAGAACTTCCTATTGCTAATGAGGAACCTATAAAAAAAAAAGAAGGACAATAATGGCATTTTGACTGAAACGCAAATAACAGAATTATTTATTTTCAAAGATTTATTGCAGGAATATGCCAAAACAGTAAACAATTATGGTTAAATGGTTTGGCAAGTCAAAGTTTAAACTGGAAACCTCTTTAATTTATCAAATAATTAGAATTTTTTATTGTAATACACTTTTGCTTAAAAAATTGTATAAATTGTTTACTTAAAGGGAGTGTGTATGTGCTTAGCAAATGTGTTAAGATAGTTTGTTAATTTCAGTGATAGGACATGTTATTATAGTTATTTTTATAACTTACCATCATGACTGAAACATAACGAAGTTATTCCTGTGTTGTAGCGATGAAACTGGCACAATCTTTTTTTATTAAACCCATCCCAAATGTTGACATATCCATCGGATCCTCCAGTAGCAAAAGTATTGAATCCTTGATGAAAACTATTGAATAAAATTAAAAAATAATAAAATTAAACTTATGTGAAGTTTTATAAGCAACATTACAAAATACGGTATAAAACTACTTTAGCAGAGACCTTTTTTTTAAAAAAAAAAATTTATCGATAGTACTTTTAATGCTGATTACATAACGACATACATCGACATAACGGCCGCCTATTATACTGAATACGCACATTAAGTATATTTTGATGATGCTCGGAAAAAACGGGCTAAGTCTAAATTTATTAAAATAAGTTTATGTCATACCTAGATAAAAAAAATTATACGGTGTTTTGGGTAAAACGACCAATTTAAACAACGATTCTATCAGTTGTTATACATATGTGAAAAATAAGACAGTATATTATTTCTTATTTGCGTTTGAACTTTAATTTTTGAATATGGAAAATTCCAAATTTCAGACTTGGTCGGTTTTTCCCGACCAACAATTAAATATTTTTTGCGTCTGAAAAAAAAAAAAAGGACCATGACGGGCCGGGAGGCAGGTAGTTGAGGAATCCGATCATAATCGACGGACTAACCGACTAAGTTCTATCGATTAAAAAAAAAAAATTTTTTTAAAAAGGGTGTCCGGTAAAGAAGTTTTGTTCCCAAAATATATTAAAATAGTTAGGCATCTTTGTATAAATTATTAAGCTTTGTTTATTTATAGCAATCTTAAATTTATGTATTATTATGAAAAAATAAATTCCTATATAAAAAAATGAGTTTGATAAAGAACTTATGCAAATATTTTTTTTAGATTAGTTAATAAGCATTAATGGTCAAGGGAAGTTAGAACAGCACGCTCAGTAGGAGGGACAATGAAAAAAATTATAAGATCGGGTATGGTTTATTTTCCAGGTATTTCAAGGAGGGTAAAAAACATTTTTAAAAATTACTGTATAACTCTAGTTGCATAGAAAAGTAATAAATTAAAATCTCTATTAGGTAGTACCAAAGATAAAATAGGGGAAGAGGAAAAATCCGGAATTTATAAAATACAATGTAAAGAATATGATAAATTCTATGAAGGTCAGACAAAACAAAATATTGGAATTAGGTTTAAAGAACACATAAGGAACATTAAAAACCAAAAAGTACACAAATCTTCTGACTCAGTATGTCGTTAGCGCTGAAGATGACAACATTGTTGCCGAAATATATATGCGTGAAAGTTTATTATTTTATGGTTAAGGATTTTTAAATATTCTTTATTATATATAACCATAAGTTGGTTAAGTTTTTCCTAGATCAAAACTCTTGTTTAAATATTTCAATTTTTCCATCTTTCAAAATATTCAAAAAAATCTCCAACCTATCTCTCATTTTACTTTTGCTAATGGTACAACTCTGAAATATTATCTTCATTGATGCCTAGATGCTGTATAAAATGAATACCTTACCTAATTGCATTAACTGGATAAATGCATTCAATTTCATTATCTTTTATCCGATGACATTTAAAAGCATATTTCTTTCTCTGCACTTCAGGTGCTGTATCAAAATACTCAACAGCTACTCGGCCCTCAATACTACTTAAAACATAGCCTTCTTTATTAGGCGAACATCGTATACATCTTGTTTGATACTTCAGATTTGATTCCCGCCTTTGCATTATGTAGGCTGTGTTTCTCAAGTCCCATACAAAAACTTTACGGCCAGCAGTGCCTACTACAAGTTTTTCACCTACATTGCTCATAGTGAACACCTATATTAAAATAAATAATAGGTTTATTAATTTATTTTTAATGCAACATCAAATACACAATATTACTAAAGGTCAGTGTATGTTTACAGATAGACTAACTAAATTCCATATTGATACAACTCAGTGTAAGACTCAATAAAACTTGCCTTATCGGGTTGTATTAAATTTCCCACACTTTGTGCCGTTCTTGTATCCCACATTTTAACATTTCCATCCCAGCCACCAGATAGTACTGCATTTATTTGATTAGAATATTCTACACATCGTACTGCATTATCATGTGTACCCAAAACACTTTCTGGAATATAAAATTTTACATACTAGTTGAAGCAGTCATTTGAATTCTTAATAACTGTTCCAACATATAAAACATACTTACCAGAATTGCTATTTAAGTCATACATTTTCAATTTGTTGTCAAGACCTCCACTAAAAGAATGAACTGCATCCTATAAGTAGTTAATTATACTTATAAAACCAAATTAAATTTAAATAGTATGTTATAATTAAGCCAGTACAGTGGAGTTGGGACAGTGGGAACAAGTTCTATGGTAGTTATTATAACTGAATGTGATAAAGTCACTTCCAAATGAATGCTTTGAAGCAAATCTGTAGATAGTAGAAAAACAAATAACGATAAAAGTGTTGTAAGGCAATAATGATCTTAATGATATAAGTGCGGTGATTTTAAGTTAAAAAATAAGTAAACTTCAGGACCTTTTTCACACATTTTTAGAGTTAGAGGTGAATTATTTAGATATATTGGCCCAATCTATGATTGAACCTAAATAAAATTAATTTTGATAACATAGAACTTTAAAACATCTTTCAATACCAAGAAAATTAATTTCATTAACTCAATAAGATATCATAAAATTGTGTTTAATACTAGAAAACTATAGTCATGATTCTAAAACTTGCATAATATTATAAATTGTGTCAATAATTTAATTTACCTGGAAGCTGACATCTAATACAGGACGATCATGTGTGTATTTTGTACGTATACTATTAGCTTGCACATCATACAGTCTAACAGTACAATCCCAAGAAGAAACCAATAAAAACTGTGAAGAACTAGGTCCGAATTTAACTGATGATATTCCATCTTCTGGCGGATTTTTTAGGCTGAACTCAGATCTGGATTCGCCAATCATAATTTTTTTAATATAATAAAGCGACTAGAACTCAATAAACTCAAATCAATTTTTTTTTTAATTTACAATTTTTTATAATATCTTATGACAACAATTTCTTTTTTTTTTTACCAACTAGCCTACTAGGATAGTTTTTAAATGCTAAAGCTGTTTATAATAATATTTGTGCCATAATTATCTGATTTTGTACTTTAAAGCTAAATGGTAAATATATGAATGTTTTGATAAACAAACCGAAATCCAAATAAAACGTTACGATAAAAAATTGATTTCAAAATATTTTAGGTTATACCAATGATCAAGGTTGAAACCATAGACCTTATACTACTAGATGGGGGGTAACACAGTTACCACGAATGTTGCGTGCTACGATGTTATGTTACTCCGACATTTTTGTTACGAATGACAATTGCATCGACGACAATTGACACGAGTACATTTACAACGAAAATAAGTTTTCGTTAATTTTTTTTATGCCACGATTTACAGTTACATCGAAGTTCCATTTTTAATTATTGCTTCGAATTACATTTACCTCGAATTCCAGTTACATCGACATGACTTATCAAAATATCTTAATGTTATGATTTCGCTATTTTAAAGGACATTTACATTGATAAACATTTTATGGACCTTAAATTCCATTTACACTGACATGACCCAACAACTAATTTATATAAAACTATAAATAATAAATTGATAAACTGTAAAATTGTAATACTTATTCACTCTGTTACTTTATCGATACAAATATAGTATACTTAAGGTAATTTTATCAACTGCTTGTTAAAATAATTTAAACTTTATTTAATGTTAATCGTTGTTAAACTAAAAAATTGACTTTATCTATTTGACTCTTTCGGTTAAATTTTAGCTGAATATTAATCACAGTTAGTTAGCATATTATAGTTAGTTAAAAACTTTAAACTGAGAATTGAGATTAGTATCAATATTATCAAGTAATATTTAATTTTACTGAAATATCTACTATCTATTGTTTTATAATATAATATTCCTATATTATTATTAGTTATTTGCTTGCTTTTACACACTTAAAACCTTTTATCGAATTATAGTGATGAGGTATACTTTATGATTGCATGTAACAAAACATAGAATTAACAGTTACATTGTAGGTAGTTATTTCAATGTAACTACCAATTCAATTCAAAACGGATGCTTAAATTATAAATATTGTATTACCTACACGTTTGATATAAATTGTATGCATATTTAATTCTAGATGACTGAAATAATTAGATTAGTAGCAGTAGTAGCGACCATAATAGTGACGCAGAAGTTTATTTTTTAGATTATATTATAAACCAATATTTTCAATTTTTTATTTAAAATGTTATGCCTAAAATAAATTCAAATGCAATTCGGGAATAAATTATCATTGAATTTTCAAAAAAATAATTTTGGAGATCTTCAAAAGAGAAAATTGCAAATTGACTTCCTAAAAAACCTAGAAAATTTGTCGAAAAATGCATACATATATTAAAAATTAAAATCCAACATTGGGAAGTATGTCTAATTAAGCACCGCTAGCAGATGATATTTACCAATATAAAGTTAACAACATTTTTATTTTAACGTTGTAACATACTTTAATTAATAATTATTAATAAATAAACCTTCTGTTTGTAAAACCCACTTTACTTAAGCTAGGATTAAATTTGACTGATAAATTCAGAATTTTTTTAATCTCCGATTAATCTTAAACCGAGATTACATAAACGACATTTTAACCACCGAATGATAAAATTGTCCTTAACAATAATGTATTTATAATAGTAATAAATTTACGCTAATGAGGCAATTTACAATTTGTTTACAACAAGTTTTACAATAATTTATTTAAATATTTACAACAATATGCAATAAACTTGACAAATGATTTACCAATTACAACTAAAATTGTAGAGAAAAATAAAATAAGTATAAAAAACTTGTAGAGTTAATAGAAGACTATAAATAAAAAATGTAAATAATAAATAAGCTAAGTTAAAAGTGCTTATTGAGAGCACTCAATAAGCCAACATTTTGAATTGAATTACACGAGTTATAATTCGGTTTACTGGACCGAGATAAATTTGTCGTTGTGTAGAAACGTAAAATTGCGTATAAAATCGTAAACTAATATTTAGTACAATAAATGAATCCAATCATCATTTTTCAGAACAGTCTTATATTTATATAATTTATGATATAGTTATTTATTTATATGATATATTTAAAAATATATCATTTAAATTCTGTCAACATAGTATTTTATAGACGATTCAACAATTGGCTTTATTTTCTTAAAACTTTAAAAAGTAAAAAATATAGGAATAGTTTCTGGATCGATTTTACAGATTGCTAAGGAGACTATGTTATAATTCAAAATAAAAGCATATTCAAGGACTGACCTAACAAAATTTTAGTAGGTTTAATGTGATTTATGCATTTTGTATTGTTAACATTTTAACACAGGGCCGGATTTATGGAGGAGTGGGGCTCCCGTTAGGTTGTTAGGGGGGGGGGCTCACCATTAAAATTGGTATGAGCGTTAAAAAAAACAATACCAAGTAACATTTTGTAAGTTTTACAAAAGACAACATAATATAAAATTAAAATGCATCTCCATGGACACGCATATTCTTTATAATAATTTGTTATTTACAAAATAAATGATTGTAGAAATGATAACATTTTACTGATACTTATTATTTTCAATAATGAATATTATAATAATAAATTAAAAAATATTAACAATTTAATAATATTTTAATTGTACGTCGGTGATTCAGTTTTGTTTATAACAATTTTTGTTTTAGAAATTAGATTATATGTAGATATAATAACCTATACAAATTCTCTATAATCTATATATTTTAGATTCTGTAAGATTTCTCATTTTAATTTTGATAGAATTATTATTATAAATAGTAAATACATAATCATATACAACGTGATTGCCACCGCCACGTACATTGTAACACGCAAACGACTAATAAAATCATTTTATTTTCAGAAATTAATAATATTATTAAAATTATCTGTTTTGACAAAAAAAAAAACCAAATATTTTTATTCCTAACCAGTATTAAAATTATAGGCTAAACTGTACTTAAATTTTACCCAAACTACTATAAACGGCCGTTAATGATATTTCCTAAGTACTAAAAATGTAATAATTATTTATGAATGATTTTAAAAATCTCAAATATATATATTATGCTTAAAATTTGTTTGCTCTAACCTCGACAGAATATTTAAAAAATAATTACACTATCTAATCACTAAATGGGATAAAGCTACATTTTAATGTTGTTAATTATGTTAATTGTCTTTTTTCGATCTTGAAAGATCCCATGATGTTGTGAGCCCTGGGTGAGCGGGCCATGGTCCTTTCTGGTATCCCTTAATCCATTATGTTGCGATATAGTGCCTAGTTAATATTTACTTATTTGTACAATCACTGAAGCCAAAAGTCAATACAAATACAAAATACAAATTGAATTATATCAGAGACGATTCTACAAAAAATGTTTAGAGGGGTGTTGAACAAATGTTTGATACACAACATTGATGTAGAAGATGAAAAGTAACAAGAAATAATTTCATGGTTTGTATCACTTTTGATAAACAAAAGCAGATATCCAAAAGTCAAGAAATTTAACAGCATAATATAAATGTTTTTAATTTACCACTTAATAATGTCATTAAAAAAAGGTATAATCTATACTCTATACCGTTGATTTAAAATTTAAACACTGGTTTAGGAACCAAACTATTCAATATTATTACTTTTTTATAATACCAATTTGAGTGTTTTCACATATTAATCGTAATTAAAAACCAACTTTTATATTGTAAGTTATTGTCCATTTTAAGTGACTCTCGTCTCTCAGTGTCATACAAAACCTCAAAATTGTTTATAATACCAGTCACAACGGATTAACAACAATATATATATTCAAAAATCTATCTGAAACCCTTGGGACTTAATTTGAATCAATCACCTACATTCTAAATTATATATTACAATCAGATTTATACTTATTATTCATAAAAAAAATTGTTTATAAAATTCTTCTATCTTTTTTGTATAACTTTTCTATTTCAAATGTATAGCCTACTGTATTCAATTATGTATGTCAACTAATTAAATATAACCCTTACAATGCCCTTTGTTGCCCTTGCCAAAGGTTTTTAACCAATAATTAAAAGAAAGATATACTGTAAATTAAAATGTGCAATTGATAATAAAGAATACACTATAAAACGTAATTAATGAATTTAATACATTAAATTCATTATGTACAATAACCCGATTCTGTCTTTAAATTTATCAGTAGTTAGTCAAAAACTTTTGTGTAGAGTTGGATTTAGTTGCGGAATGGACAGTGTTCGGCCCATTATAGAAATTAACTCATTCGGCCCACAATACAGTACTAGCGACAACTATATTTAATTAGTAATTTGTAATTTCCCTGTTTGTACACCAAACGAGTTCCAAATCTAAGACATACAAATACTGACAATAATATATAATATATTTTCATTATACAATCATAGAATTCACGGAATAGTCGGTGCCCGGTGGTCAAGTATTCTTATCATGTATAGTCGAAGTAAAATACTTTCATGGTATCACAATATCGAGTAAACTGTTGTATGATTCATTTAATTACTTTACGATGTCGGAGTATGTTAAATTCGGACTAACCGTCTAATCGTAGCAATTGTATATTCGAAGTAGATTATATTCGTGGCAAATGACTGATAAAGCAATGTCGGAGTAACTACAAGTCGTGGCATGCAACATTCGTGGTAACTGTAACAACCCCTAGATGGAACTGTGGCCTATCTATTTGTATTTAATGGTGATAGCAATTGTTGTCATAGATAAAACATGTATTTGTTATCTAAGTAAATTGTACAAATCTTAATAATAAACAAATTTAATTACTATATAGCACAGAAGAGATAAAAGCATTTTACATACTTATCTATGAATAAAAGTTTGTACTGTCTAGTCTTTAGTCAGTTACTCGGTGAAGTTCTTTAAATTACGTGTTCAACATTGAACTTGGAGTTTAATATAAAAGTGATTTAGTAATTGTAGCACGACACGACTATGTAGCTTGTTGTTTAATGATTATCATTAATGTACAATATTAAATACTATCTAGATTTTAACTAGTCTGATAAATATTTCGATGCTTGTTGTATTAATTTATTGTCCACTCTGAAAATTAAATTTTGAATTGTTTAGTTTCATATACTTTATAATGGCTGATTCGGGACAGTTTAAAAAAGTATGTATAAAATGATGTAATATTTTTAAAATTTTATATTGCTTTAAGATAAGGGTTATTTCAGATAAATAATTACCATTTGTTTAATCTTTTAAATGTGTACAATATTGATGTTAACATAAAACCATTGCATTTTATTATTAACTAATATGTACCTAGTTATTGAATCAACCAAAATTTCAACTTGTTATATGTTAATACTGCTAGAGGCAGTGGCGTAACTAGAAACTAAAGTGCTTTTTTTGCACCCTACATTAGATGTTAACTTTTATAGTAGACCATACAAAAACGCCCTAAAATAGAATGCGCTAAATAGTAGCTGCCCACCTTGCACTCACAGTATAGCTACGCCACTAGCTAGAGGCTACTTAAAAAAAAAATTATTTTTACTGTTATAAGGTTTATTATGTGTTAATATATATATTATTATAGTTTATTGCTGAGCAAAAACTTAAGGCATTTTCAATTGGCGCAATGGGAAAAACACAGCCGTCCAAGAAAGAGCTAAATGAACAAAAAAAAAAAGAAGAAGAGCATGCTGCTGCCCAAGTAAAAATTAAATTTTATTTAAACTAATAAAAAAAACACAAATTGATTAATTAATTTAATATAATAATATAAAGTAAGGAATACCTGTTACCAAAACACAGTAAACTTAACTTATAATTTTTCTATTTATAGGCTTTTGAAGAATTTGTAGCAACTTTCCAAAATGAAGGGAAAAAATCTAGTAAAGTCTGGGTTAAAGCTGGAACGTATGATGCTGGGAAAAGACGTAAGAATAATTAGTTATTAATTTAACTATCAATTTTGTAATACTAATATCTTGTGTATTTTAATTTAGAGGAAGATACTCGCGATAAAGGTAAATTATACAAACCACAAGCAAGAGGAAACACAGACAATAGTGATAAAGATGATCTAACCCGATTTATGGGTGAACGAAAAGCAGACAGGTCAATATCAAAAAAAAAGAGAGAAGGTGAAAAAAAGAAAAGCAATCTGGAACTATTTAAAGAAGAACTTAAAATGTAATATATTAATAAAATAATAGTTATGTTTAAACAATTTTTACTTCATAAATATGACTTCTTAGATTATATCTTTTAGCCATAGTAAATATTTATGGTATTATTACAGGATTCAAGAAGAGAGAGAAGAAAGGCACAAATTTAAAGGTGTCTTGCAAAAAACTATTGAAGATCCAGAGATCAAAAGTAAAACGGTTCTTGTATTAATATCTTATATATTACAAAAACTTTATATTTTTAGACTTGATTATGGTTGAACCCGATGAAATTAAAGGTTCATTTGATTCTGGTGATCCAAACACAACAAATCTATACCTTGGAAATTTAAATCCTAAAGTAATTTAATTATATTATTACTCAACATTGAATTTTAAAACTTAGTGATGTTTTATTTCAATTGATATATAGATTACTGAACCTCAATTAATGGAAGTTTTTGGAAAATATGGACCATTAGCTAGTATTAAAATAATGTGGCCTCGCTCTGATGAAGAAAAAGCTAGAGGTCGAAATTGTGGCTTTGTAGCATATATGAGTCGTAAAGATGGTGAAAGAGCATTAAAAAATTTAAATGGTAATTTGACTAATATATCAAAATTCAAGCAATATTTTTAATTATATAAAAATAATAACCAATTACATGTTTGAATTTATTAGGTAAAGATGTTATGTCATATGAAATGAAAATGGGTTGGGGAAAAAGTGTGCCAATACCCCCCCATCCTATTTACATACCACCAGCACTATTAGCAATTACATTACCACCTCCACCTTCAGGATTGCCATTTAATGCCCAACCGATTTTATCTTTTAAAGACAAAAAGGTAATATTTAATTTTAAGTCGCATTAATAATGAGTTTTTTTATATAAAGTTGTGATAACCAATTATAAAAATATGATTAATTGATATTGTTTTCAATGACAAATTTTCTCCTAAATTCTACTAAAAAATTTATTATATTTATTTATAAATTTAAAGTTATACAGTGTACATGAAATAAATAACATTTTACGGGTGGTACTACTCCTGAGGCCCTAAGGATAGATTTTATTAAAAATATATTTTGATTTGTTTATTACATTTTTTTTCATGAAAAATTTCCCATTATCTAATTTTACTGTGAAATACTACTATTTTTCTAATAAGATCATTTAGTAATTAATAAAATAATTAATCCCATGAAAATCTCTAAAAAATGTCCATACTATTTCATGTGTCACACCAAAATCATGATTTGGACATTATTAGTAAAAAAAAGCGGTGTATCATTATTACAAAAAAAAAAAAACAAGGGACCCTTTTTTTTATAGAAGAATTTTTATACAAATTTCCATGGTATAAATTATTTTTATTTTTGACGGATATTTCACAAATAAGCCCAGAAAACCCCAAGGTTTAGACATAAAATAAAATTTAAAAAAATCTATTTTTAGGGTCTTTTATGTACCACCCGTATAGTGCGACTTTTGACATTTACCTCTGGTACACCTATATATTATATTAAGCAACAGCTCAAAAAATAATTTTCAGACATAAGTGCATACATTATGTACACAAATCATGCATACTAATAAACTATAAGGCTATGAGTAAACTTATATCTTTTTCCATTTATTTTAATAATATTAATTTAATGATAATATTTTCCAAATTGTTTAATTATTTTTAAATAAAAAAATATCAGTTAAAATAATATATTCAATTACATACAGAGTCATGGACGTTTTCGTCAAGATGGAGGAAATTTTGACAGAAACCAACCATTAGAAAAGGTAAATGTCCTAAACTAATAAGCTTATTTTAACTTGGTGTCATTTGAGCTCCAAAATTAATAATTAATTAATCTAGTCTTACATACAATAAATCCTTTTGTATGTTCAGATTTACTTAAATATATATTTATAATATAGTCGAAATGTAGACAAATTATGAAGTGTAATATTATATATTAGTACTATAATTAAGAAAATTAGTCTATTGCACAACATTCATTTTTACGTTTTTAATTTATTATTGTTAAGTACTTTTTTTTAACATTTTGCTTTTTTATAACAGATTTTACCACAAACAATCATTAAAGTTGTTATACCAACAGAAAGGTAAAAATTATTTTGTACAACTTAATATAAACTACTCTTACTTTGATTACTTGTGAGGTAATTTATATTTATGATATATAAATTTACTAAAGTAATCTAAACTTACTTGTACATAAACTAGCATTTTACCATAAATAATAATGTTTTAGGAATCTTCTGATGCTAATACATCATATGATAGAGTTTGTTATACGTGAAGGTCCTTTGTTTGAAGCTATGATCATGAATAAAGAATTAAATAATCCAACATTTCAGTAAGTATTTAAATTTAATTTTTAGCATCAAACGTACGTTTGTACAGGTATTTTTCAAATCTTCCAAAATTAATTTAAACCACTTCTCAATATCGTAGAAGGCTGAAGTTTAACCCAGACACTCATTTTGGATGACAATACAATGTTCCGTCATAATATTGGGACCCAGACATCTAGGTCGCAAATGCCGGGGGGTCAAATATGGGACATTTCACTAAAATGTTTTGTTTTTTCAAATCTATCAAAATGAATTTAGTATCTATTCACCAAGTATTAAGTACCTTTAATAGGACTAAAAAGTAAAAAATAAAATATTAAATTAAAAAAAACTTTTTTAAAACATGCTTTTCTAAAAAATAGTAAAAAAGTGAACTAAAAAGTAAAAAATAATTTTACTATAAGAACATTTTATCAATCAATTGTAGCATATTTTATTTAAAATTTCAATTAATTTGAGAACAACCAAAAATTAACTACAGTTTAAAAGTATAATGTTAAACATCTTCATTTTTGACTGAAAAGAAAAGCATGGGCCCTATTAAACAAAGTCCAAATTCATTAACTATTATGAAATGTATGTGTGACATACTAAAATTTAACCAAATTTAAATTACAAAAATACTTACAATATAAAACATTATCTGAAATGTTATTTAATAAATTAATTAGGGACTTTGTTAAATAGGGCTTACACTTTTCTTTTTAGTCAAAAATTAAAGATGTTTAACATTATTTAAAACTGTAATTAATTTTCTTTTGTTCTCGAAGTAATTGAAATTTTAAATAAAATATTCTAAAATTGATTGGTAAATTATTCTTGTAGTTAAATTATTTTTACTATTTTTTATTTAGAAAAATGTTCATTAAAAGAAAATTGTATTAAATAAAATTTTTAAATAAATTGTTTTTTTTTTGCAGATTTTTGTTTGATAATTGTTCCCCGGCTCATTTATACTACAGATGGAAATTATTTTCTATGTTACAAGGTGATGCTACTAAAGAATGGCGCACTGAAGAATTTTGTATGTTTAAAGGTGGATCAGTATGGAGACCTCCACCTATGAATCCGTACACAGCTGGTATGCCAGATGAGTTACTTCCCGAGGAAGATTTAATAATGAGAACAAAAGGGACCTTAAGTGTCTCACAAAGAGAACGTTTTGAAGAACTTATTCGAAATATGACTCCTGATCGACTTAAAGTAGCTGAAGTTATGGTGTTTTGTGTGGAACATAGTGAAGCAGTAGAAGAGATATGTGATTGTATTCAAGAATCCCTTTCCAATATCAATACTGCATTACATAAAAAAGTAACTAATAAGCAATGTTACTATGTAAAAATACATTTTTATTATTTAACTATTTGATATTTTAGATGGCCCGATATTATTTAATATCTGATGTCTTACACAATTGTGGCCTTAAAGTTATAAATGCTACACATTTCAGAAGAGGGTAAGTATTAAGTACACATTTTTTTGTAAATTTTAGTTGAAGTATTAAATAGTAAATTAGTTACACAAATACTTTTTAATGTGGGACAGAGGGAGTTTAAGATGGCCAAAACTATTTTTTAACAGATAAATATTAAACCCTAAAAAATTGTACCATATTTTGACCCGACGCCCCCTAAAAATTTTCTAAATATAATAATGATAAAAAAAAATATTTGAAAAGTATTAATTTTAACCGTGCCCCACAAATTACAATGGTTGAAGTTTAAATGGGATTTAACATAGGACACATTTGCACAAATCAATGCATAACTTTTTTCCTACTCCTTAGTTTGAGCTGACATTTTGGTGGTTTTATATAGCTTATGAGTCTGCTGAACTCAAACACTTTACCTAAAAGTTCCCACCTGTCAAAATTGCTGGAGAAAAATAGGTGTTTTTTAGTAAATTGAATCAAAGTTATCAGAAAAAAGTATAAAAGTGAACTTTTGAGTAAGGTATTTGTGTTTAGCAGATTTGTAAACTATAAAACCACTAAAACTTTAGCTTAAACTAAGGAGTAGGAAAAAACTTAAGTATTGATTTGTGCAAAAGTGTCTTATGTTAAATCCCATTTAAACTTTAACCATTGTGGGTCACGGGTTAAAATTAATATTTTTCGAATTTTTTTTCTTTCTTATTTTTATTGTACTTAGAAACTTTTTATGGGGAATCGAGGTTAAAATTTCAAAATCGACTTTTTAGGAGCACCTTATTCAGATACATGGAAGAAATAATTTTAAAAATTGTAATAAATTAAAATGTATAGCAAATATATTATACACAAATGTATATAAATGTTTATTGCTGATATATCTTTCTAACTGTGGAGTCCATCTCAAAGTTACTGTGGCCAAATGCATTCTGTAGTTAGTCAACAAATGTCAGCAAAATTTAAATAACTAGGTCAAAGAAACACTTGAAATTGTTTCAAATATTTTTTCATTTTTCAAAAACTTTAAAAAAAATTTTATTGGCTAGAGTTAGTACTATGCTGTTTAGGTTAGGTAGTCTTAACTTAAGTGTTTTGAATTTTTATCTAAATTTGTATTTTAATTCTAGATTTGAGACTAGATTAATTCCTATTATGGACGAAGCATTAAAAACCTACAAGACTTTAGATTCAAATCAAGCGGCAGGTTTTAAATATCGTATGATGCAAATGTTTCAAGCTTGGGAAGATTGGGATGTATACCCAAACGAATTTTTAATTAAATGCCAAAACACCTTTCTTGGAATTTCAACAAATGAAGTAATTATTTTATTAGATTTTATACAATTAAACAAAAAGGACACAAAAAAAAACTATTTTTTCTAGTTATCCCAAAAAAAGTCAACAATCGTTCATGAAAAATCAAAATACGATACAAATTCTAGTTTTAAAGCTAATGATGTGGAAAATATAGATGGTGCTCCTTTATCAGATACTGATAATTTAGAAAATGAGGACTTGGATGGTGTACCATTAGATGGTGCTACACTACTTAAGCATGTTTATGATGATACTACACCAGGCGATACAGATATTGATGGTGTACCATGTAAGTTATTTTTTTAAATTGTATTCATTATTTTATATAGTGCAACATAATTTATTTATGAAACTATATTTTATTTACTTTGAGTACTTAGTTTTTTATTTATTTATAATGTAACATAACACAGGTTATACGAAATAATACTAAAAAAAAAAAGCCACTACAAATTGAATGGGGGAGATCACTGGTCTATTATTACGACTGAATATAATCACTTTTAAATAAACACTTGGATGCAAATCTGTAATGGTAGAAATACAAATATCAATAAAAGCATTGTACGTAATGACAATAATATGCTTAAAATTGTACTTTTCGTATTAGGGTGATATATTTAGGTTGATCACCTGTCTATTATAATGTCTAATAATTGATTGCCTTAGTAATTAGTTAACCATATATTATATTAACAACTAATGTAAATATTTACCTAACCTAGAAAATTGACTATGGTAAGTGTAATTTTCCCCTTGTTTTGGTTTCTCCACAATAAAAAAAAAGTTTGGCTACAGATTTTTGAGAACATTTTGTATGTATAAATCTACTATTGGTCTAATTTTCTCAAGCACTAAACCTTCACCTAAAATAGCCTAATAAAGAAAAAAGTTCTACACTTTCTAGGGGAAAGGGTTAATGATGTTTGGTTTGTCAAAGTTTATCGGTAGTAAAAGTCAAAAGAATATTCCATACAAGTTTGGATCTAATTTGACTATTTTTAAAAAAAGTTACAGAGTGCCATTATTTTAAATTGAAAAATATGTAAACAATTTTGGTGTTTACCTTGATTTTGAAGAGAAAGGAGTGAACTTTTTACATTTTTGGCCCAATAAAGTACTTGCGTGTACAATTTATGATTTATAAAGTTGCTACTAGAAACACATCATTGTGAAAACAATACCTTCTCAGCTCCACATTCAAGCTAAAATAATCCATAATATGAATGTTTATATTATTGTATAATATTCAATAATTTTAAACATTATTAATTTATTAATTTTTTATGTTAGTGATAGATGAAGATATTGATGGTGTACCATTATCTAGAGAACCTTTAGAAGAAAATATAAAGGCAGCCGCATTTGTTCCCTCCAGATGGGAAACTGTAGATCCTCATGAAGCAGAAGAGCAAGCAATGACTACTAGTAAATGGGAATTACATGAAAGAGAAAATAAAATTGAAATTGGGGATTCAGCTCGATCTCTAGGTCATGATTCACAAGATGATGATGTTAATGAAACAAGGTAATATCAAAAAATTGTAAGTTGATAATTATTTTTACTTAAACAAATATTGTACAATGTATATTTAGAGAAAAAGCTGATGATCGTAGAGCAAAGTTAAGGGAAATAGAGCTAAAAGTTATGCAGTATCAAGATGAACTTGAATCTGGTAAACGAGCTTTAAAAGGTGGTTGGAATATCTATCAACAAGTAGAACATTATAGACGAAAATTACTGAAAAAAGTTAACAAGTCTCCTGTAAGTAATAAATTCTTAATTTATTTTTTGTATAAAAGTAAAATATAGAACTCATTAAATTAATTTTGCATGAAACAACATTCCCTTTTTATATATTTGTTTACCTAGTGTTAGTAATATGATAAGCACAAATCCTTTACTTCTTAAATTAAATGTTTTCTTTTTATTAACTTCATTGTATACAATTATTTGTGAATACTTCAAATATAAATAATAAATACACACTTTCATAAATCAATTTACTTATTTTATTTCTTAGATTTATATTTATAAAAAAAATTATAAAAGACTCCTTTGACACCTGTAATATTTATAGCTATTTTGGTAATTTTGAACACTTCATTTGCCATCATAAAAAAAATCTACATTTAATAAATTCTTTTAATATTTGTTTAAATAAATATTTCTTCAGTGTTCTTTCAGTTATTTTAAAATACAAATTAAATAACTAAATCAGGAGTATTAATAAATGTAAATCCTCATATGTATAATATAACATATATTTATATTAATATGAAATACATTTGGCTATTAAAGAAATCAGTAAATTTGTGATTAACATAATTTAAAAAAAATACCAATAGTATAAACTAACAAATTCCAAGAGGTGCTACACATACAAGTCATTACTCATTATTTTATTTATATAAATAGGAAAAAGAATTGAAATTCGAAAAAGAAAAAAAAGATAAAGAAAAGACAAATAAAAGATCAAGTCCAGATGACGATTTTCGTGAAAGTAAGAAAAAGAAGAGATCTCAGAGCCCTACACATAGTCCTGCTTATAGTAAATGGTCATCTCATAGTATAAGGTACTAAAATAAATTGAATATTTTACCATGTTTATTACATAAAAAAATGAATTATATTTATTATAGAAGTGAAAGTCCAAGTCCACCTCCAAGGAAAAGATTAAATTCTCCTCAAAGGAATAGCAAAAAATCAAGAGCATCTCCAATTGATTCACCTCGCTCAATATCAAGAAGAAGAGAACGTGAGCGAGAAGAAAGACATGGTCACAGGCACAAAAGATCCCATTCACGTTCTCCTTATCGTCACCGAGGTCGAACACCTCCATCACCTTTGTCACATTCGTCCAGAAAACATAAACACAAATACTAAATGGTTAATGTATTTCAACTTGCCCTTAATATTGGGTTGGTTATAATGTGTATATTATATTATGATGTATGGTAGGTATGTGACATTTTTGGCAATTTGCTTAAATAAAATCATTAAATAAATCTCTATTATTTACTTTTAAGGTTTACATTAAAATTGAGTATTAAATATTAAGTGTTCACTGTTTTCTGAAGACTATGTAAACATTGAAATTATAATACATTAACATTCATTAAAATCGGCTTGCAAATTTAAACTCAGCATATTTTATACTTAAAAAAAAAAAGTTTTTAATTAGAAAACCATAGATTTAAATATACTGTTAGGAACACGAGTTTTTAACAACACATTACGATAACAGAAAGCTGAAAAATACTTCATATTTTTTTAACACTATTAATGTTACACTAATATTTAATAATAGGCATTTTTTTATTTTTTATTGGCGATTATGACACCAGAATTTGTTGTAAAATAAGTACTATGAAAATCGTATTGTAGACCTATTGCTGCAACTTATAGTGCAATATAACGCTTAATATTGAATGTTAATTTTAATAAAAATTGAAAATGTATAAAACGTTCCTCTAGTAATTTATCCGATAAACCTTGACAAGACGGGTGACAGTGTTTTCTATTAGTTATAAAAATGAATTTCCCTTCTAATAAGTGGTAATCAATAGCTGGATTACAATTTAAATTACAATCGCAAGCTGCTAGACGCGAGGTGTATCATCACCTCAAGGCTCAACATCAATAGTCTATACTCCATAGACAAGTATACAAAGCACAGCTGATTGTAATAAATTGATATTATCAATACACAGACTTAGCTAAAAGGTAGCCAAGAGTGTACTCAGTTGACAGTTCTGTGTTATTAGGCATATTATGGTAATAAGTAATAGCTATTGTCTGCGTGAATATTTAATTAAGAATCGAGATGTTCGTATTTTATAATTTTTATTTAGTATTTACTAACAATGCCACCATTTTGAAGTTTCAATAAAAACACAATACTATAGCGTAAAATAACACTGCAGAATAAGACAGCAGTTGGCAATTTTGTCAAATAATTTCCTCCATGATTATTGATCGTCTACCCTCCACTTATCATTATTTCATAATAATTATTTAATATTTATATTAATCATAATTCATTCCAATTGTGAGTAGTACTTATTTAAAGAAGATTCAAAGAAAATTGAGTAAATTTATCTTTTGAACAAAATGCATCTCTACAGAAAATATTATAACAGTTAAAAATAACAACTGTATTAATTCGAACATTAAGGCCAAAGCCCAAATGGGACAAAAATCCAGTCAGTTTTCAGCTGAAGAATTAAATGACTATCAGGTAATTTTAAAATGAATTGTTTATATATTTTATTTTAAATTATAATTGATTTCTAATTTGTGTATACTAATCTTCGTATACATGTGTATGATTTATGTTGATTTTCAGTTGTTATTTAATTGCTGTAAAATGTTTAATAAAGCTGTGGGTAATACGTAATGTTCCTATTTATAATAAACATTGTGAAAGCTATAATGAACGTATATAAAGTTCATATAAACTGTATCAAGACTAATTAAAAACCTAATGTTCTTTTAATAATATACTATTAACATTTGTTTGATTTATTATTTTTTATTTAAATGTTATTAACGTACAATATTCATAAAATGTTCTAACTTTTATTACAATTTTTGCTCAAGTTAAAAATTAAAATTAAACTGCTATTTTCTCGCTTCGTCCGCTGTACATTAGAACGCGGTGGTTCAATATTTAATTAAATGTGTATAATTACAGTAATTTATTTTATTTCTTATTTGATATGAAGGATGAAAACAATCAATAATCTGATTTTATGTTCCATGCCGGTTTGCGTGTACAGTTGGTAATCGTGTGACAACACGTAACTCCGAGAAGAAAGCGACCGTGTTTTTTTCCATTATTATTATTATGCGTCTGTCTCGTTTTAACGCTAGTAAACGGAACTGTATGAAATAACCCGCGTTTCCAAACTAATTGTAATCGGTCTCAGTACGGCAAGTTTGAAGTGACAAAATTAATTGTTTTGCTTGAAATTGTATTGTAAACATTATCAAATTGAACTACAACGGAAGCTTGAAGATTGTTTTCTATCAACGGGCCTCATGGTATTATATTCATAACAGCGTTTTGGATGGGTGGCGGGCGACATATGATGTAAACATAGTCGACCAACAAACGCCGATTGACTGTAAGTACGGTTTTCAACGATATTTTACTGATCTCCTTACATCAGGACTCGGTACCTTTCGGGCAAATGTGACACAAACACCGTCATTACGGATGAACGGCCTCCGATTAAGCCTCTCCGGTGTTTTGTCATGGCATCAATATTCGTACGTGTGGACGTAAAACGGCGGAAATTAATTGTAAAAATTAGATTTTCGTCTATGAAAACGTCTGCAAACGAGCCTTCCTTATTAGCGGTTACTCTACATAAAGTTCGCATGTTCAAGGAACCAGCCATGGATGACAATCCACCGTTGAAGAATGGCGATCCTATGGAATTGTCATCCGACGATATTCTGGGTGTGATGAAGAATATATCGATGGTTAAAAACGGACTTATGTCTTATGAAAATGATTCTGAACAAATTGAAATTGGTAATGGAGATGCTGATGCCATGTTTGCAATTGGAGATAATGATTTATGCTCTTTTGAAAGAGATCTACTTGACAATGTTATTGGAATAGCCGAAGAAGAAGTGGTTACTCAATATGATGATACACCGACAGTAAAAGAAAATTTTGACATGTATATGAACAAAGGAAAAATATTAAGAGAACGGCTTCAAAAAATAATTTCTAAACTTCAAAATATACAATTGAAAACAATGGGGAAATGTTCTACTCAAGAGATTTATAATGTTTTACAATCTCAAAAAAGTAGTGCTATAAAAAATATAAAATCAACATTACTTAAAGTTCAAAAACGGCAATCTAATCCATTTCTTAAAAGTTTATTATCTGATGAAATTAAAGATGGTGAAAAAGTCTTTGGTTTGCTAGAATCCCAAATAAAAACATTAAATGAAGATTATGATTCTGAAGCAACAGCCAGTGACTCTGAAACTGATACATTAGGCGAGTCGAGTGAAGAAGAAATTCAAGCATCAAGTTACCCTATAGAAGAAAGAACTGAATGGAAATGGCTTCATGAAAGAGCTGGAATAGCGTATCGACTAACATGGTTAGTGAATGTTATGTCTGACATAGAATTCAAAATTAATTTTTATAATGAAGCATTAAATCGATACACTACACATTCATTTATACAAGACCAAGAAGAAGAAACAGCCAGAAGAGTTCATCCTTATGAACCAAAAATACAACATAGAATGTTAACACAACCACCACTTATTAATTTGGCTGCCGCATGGAAAAAAGGTGACAAAGCCAAATTTAATCTTATTAATCCTTGCGATTGCTATGGTATTGATTCATGCCCTACTTGTGTAAGTCTTACCCACCACACAGACAATTCACCCCATCGTTTTAGTGTTACTTTCCATCCAGTTCTGTCTGACTCGAAAGATACATCTATAAACGTTGCACTATCTAATGAGCTAGGCAAATCGTCTTTTCAGCAAAAACAAAAAAATAAATCTAAACCTGATACTGATTTTAATAAATACTTTGTGGATAGAACACCTGAGCAAAGTCCTACTATTAGACAAGTTCAACCAGTAAAATTACAAAACGCTTGGCCAAATCGAAATGAACCGATAACAAAATTTAATCGAAATCCTAGACAATCAAGAAAAAGAAGAAGAATGAGATATGGTAAACATAAAAGAAGTCGAATAGATGAGGATTATAAGTATAGCAGTCGAAGAAGTAGTGAAAGTATATGTGATGATGATGAACTGGATGATGTTTATGAAGAAGATAATTATGACTCTGATCCAGATTACAGTCCATGGTTCCCAAGAACAGGTGACAAGACTTTTAATGCAAAGCGTGAATATGACATTGACAATATTGTAATACCATACAGTATTGCTGCTGCATCGAGAGTAGAAATGGTAAAATATAAAGAAATTGTAACACCCAAGTGGAGGATTGTCGAAGAATTAGATGTCGATCCAACAGAATTTGCTGCAAATATTCCAGATCCAGAACCTGAAGTAGTAGAAGATTTAGATGATGGAAAACGCAGTGCCCACCATGAAGCTTGTGAAATGGAAGAACGAAAAAGATTCAGAACAATGAAAAAGCAATCTGAACGAACTCATAAAAATAGTGGACATTGTAGCAGTGGCGAAAATACCTCTGAAGCTATGTCACCTCTCTTTGAGAGTCGTTCTCCCATGCCTACAGTTGAAGAAGAACCAGATGCAGGTCCTAGCAATCAAGATTGGAACCCATAAATTAATTTTTATTTATATTTAAGTAATAAATATTGTATATTAACAATTGTAAAAACCAAAGTTTTATGTTTAGGTTAGCTACATATAAAATTAGTGGTCATACTTAAGTATGTTATTTTTATGTAATAGTTATTGCTAATGTAAAATGTTTTCTTAATCTTGTTGTATTATACAAATTGTATAATAAAATATAGCCTGGCAAACATATACATTAATTATTAAGTAGAGAATTCTATTTCATTAAGACAATTTTTTTAAATGAAAAAAATGGTTTATTTTTTTCTTCTTTTTTATTTTTAGGATCTCACATACTTCACAAAAAAAGAAGTTTTGATGTGAGTATATTTCTGAATGGTTGGGTGAACATTCTTTATAAATATCTATTATATTGATTACATATATATATATTTTTTTTTTAAATTGTATTCTAAGTAATATATGAAAATGTTTAGTGCACATGAAAAGTTCAAATCGTTGGCTCCTGAAAAAGTCGGTCATAACAAAAATGCCAAATTGGCACTTAATAAAGTCCTAAAACTCCCTGAATTAGCTGCCAATCCTTTTGGTGAGCGTATATGTCAAGTTTTTAGTTCTAGTCAAGATGGTGATTGTACATTTGAAGATTTTCTGGATATGATGTCTGTATTTAGTCCTATGGCTCCAACAGATGTAAAAGCTGAACATGTCTTTAGAATTTTTGGTAAGCTTAACATATTGTTTTACGACACTTAAGAATAGATCATTGTAATAATAATTCTAATTACAGTAATGCCCATAAATTATTAAACATTTTTTTTTTGATAATCATTTTTATTTAAGGGTTTAAAAACTTGCACTGTTATATTTATACAACCTTTAGTAAAAGGGAAATTCTTAGCCTAATACTTGTATGCCTAATGCCGGTAAGATGAGCAAGAGAATGAACTCCGGTGAGCTCATGATCCTGTGTCAGTGTTTTGCTTAATTCGATGGACATGAGGCAAGAGTGTAATGCCAGCATTAGAGTACTCACAACCTAAGGTCTACAAGCGCCTGCCTCATATACAGAATAATTTCAAATAAAAATATATAAAATTTGATTTTTTTCGTGACTGAATTGTGAAATTAGACTTTAGAAGGGGGTAGTTGAATACACAGAAGTACAAATATCCCAAAATATGATGTTACTTTTACAATAATATAAAATAATAATTCAGTTTTCGTTGGTTATTAATTGAATCAATATTGGCTTAAAACTATATGTCTCTTTATATAATGATACAATGATAAATATACATTACATGTAAATTAAATGTTGCTAAATAACAGGAATAATATAGGAACTCACCTTTAATATTATGCCAATTCATGTTTATTTATTATTAAATCACTATATTGACATATCCAGAAGAGGAGGTAATATGGCTCTTATGCAATTTAAATGTCATGAGAAGTTGAACTTGTTCTTATTTCATAATCAATAATGTATTTCATTTATATAGATTTTAATAACCTCCTTCGTAAAGTACTTTTAAATACATGACTAAATAACTTAAATAATATAATATTATAGTCGTCTCCATACATTATTTTTTCTTCATAATAAAATATTTTCAAAAACTTGTAAATAGATGTTTAATGTTATTGATTTCTCATTATAATAAAAAATTGCCATTTTATTACCTTCTGGGTTATATTTCCTAATATAAATTGGTAATTAATTTTATAGTTAAATTCGTTCTTTTTTTTTTAAAGATTTTGATAGTGATGACATGTTGGGCATTGAAGATATAAAAAAAGTAATACGATGTTTGATTGGTGAAGACACCTATTTTAGTGACAACGATCTCAAACGCTTGGTACAACAAATATTTGAAGAAGTTGACTTTGATGATGATGGTGCTTTATCATTTTCTGAGTTTGAACATGTTATAGATATGTGTCCTGATTTTGTCAAGTTAGTGTACAATTTTATATTTTTAACTAATTATACAAATAGTGCAACAAAATTGAAATATGTATTTCATTCAAAAATAAAATTACTAACAAACATATTTTATCAACTTAATTTGGTTTCAGAATGTTTAGTATTAACTTGTAAAGAAAAGAGAACTCGAAGCTCTCAAATATGACATGAATGTGAATGATGGAGAAAAATATATATTTTTTCGCATAAATATAATTTATCTATTAGTCTTTGTAAAAATATATATTTGGTTAACTGAATTGTATTTTTTTCCCTAAACTTTGGCCCAGTAGTAATTGTAGGGTTAAATTCTAAATAAAAAATTATTATTGGGATTGATAAATAAATTATAATCCTATTTAAAATTAAACTGAGTAAATTTACTGTATACACAGAAAGTCACTTTTTAAACCCAATATTTACATTTAATATAAATATTTAAGTTAGAATTAAATTAAATGTAAAAAGTAATGAGTTAATTATGTATTTTAATTTGTGTTTGTTATTGATAGCTTAGTAAACAAGTGCCATAACAGTATTTTTTTTTTTTTTTTTGTTAAATTGAGTCATTCGGTAGCTTTCTGCAAATTGTATGATAAGAGAACATTTCTTTTTATATTTATATATTATTACTTTTATTTACTTTTTTATATGTATTTCCAATATATGTAAATGTAATGATATGACATTATTGGCAAACAACATTTCTGGAAGCATATTATAAAAAATAAATCTACTGTTAATATATTTTTATTAATTTTTACCTTACAGATTTTAAAATCTATGTTTTAATTCACAGTAATAAAAATAAGTGGTATACAAGAACAACATAAACTGATTTTATATCTTTAAATAAAAATGTATTATATTTGGTATATACTATAACAACATAAAAATTCATACTTAACAAAAAAACTTAAATAATAAACATATACAGAACATTGTCTATAATAATTATATAATATCAATTTACATTTTTATTCAAATACATTATTAAAGGCGTTAACCATAACGTTAGTTAAACCATTTGATGTTTCTATTTTAGTTCGATATTTTCCAATAATAATAGCTATTTTAGCAGCTAAGACATGTTTGCAACATAGTGCTTTATCTTTTAACACTTGATATTTGAAAAAATCACACATACAAAAATTAACAGTTTCCAATATAGTATATATATCACCTTTCGAACCAACTATTTGAAGAACACGGCGTTGCTGATATTCAATTAGATACACACTGTCGTCGTCGATTAACTGTAGGGCATTTTCTATAATTAATGAACTAAACAATGAGTTTAATCCCAATAATAAATCGTCAAGGCATTTATGTTGCTCATAGTCTTGCTTTAAAGCTACTAATGACTCGTCTACTAAAGTTGGCAATACTTTATTGGTCATTTAAATTGTCTAAAAAATAATAATACAGTACCAAAAATTATATAAAAACTGAGATAGCTTTAAAAAAATAACTTGTACACTTATGTTTAAAAGAAAATATATTTACCCAAGTACCTATTTAATTTAGTTAAAATGTATGATATTAAAGAATTTGCAAGTTTAAAGATGCTGTTAAATCTATAAAAATTAAAGCGATAAATTTGCTTAGTAATTTTTATAAACTATCTGTTTGAATGTATATCACCACATAAAGATCAGTTGAAATTACTAATTTGCCAAAAATTAGTTGAATTGTACCAACAATTACAAACATTAAAGATTTTTATTTTGAAAATCTTTTCTTTTTTTGTTATTTTTCAATAATATAAAATTACCAAATATTTTATTCAAATGATTCTACTTAAAATTAGTTAATTAAATATATATGTTCCTATACAAGTTTTAAAAGTTGATAGCACTGGAAAATACTAAAAAAAGTAAATATTTGGTATTTGATAATAGTGCATCATATAACTTAAAATGTTTTCAAAAAGAAAAATGAAAAAATTGTAATTATGTTCCAAAGAAATAAGCACAGATGTGAAATAAGTTTCTTACGTTAAATTTATCAACCTGTATTATATAGTATTGATTTTATCTTTATCTAATACATGGGCTCCTATGGGACGAGATAAAATCATGTCCGACATCTTGAAAATGATCGAGAAATGGGCAGTGCTGGTGGATGTAGGCAAATTCTCATGTTTTGTTCATTCTGGCTAAACTGTTCACTGGACAAACGCGGGAAATGGCGACGACATTTAATAAACGAAAAGTGTAGCCATAAGTCACAGAAAAATTAAAATAATCATTGATTAAATATACATAGATAGCCCAAGCTGTGTTACAAGCTAGCCGCTCATAAATGGGAGCCAGAAATTGAGTAGTATGGGAGCCGAACCATAGAGAGCGCTAAATCTGTAGCTCATTCGATCGAAAATGGTGCTCTGACACACGACATACCGGTTCAAAACTGGGCGGCCAATACACTTTTTTTGCAACTTTTTCCTTTATTTTTAAAATTTTTATTTACATTATACTTTATTATAATTAAAGTATAACTATTATAATAAAGAAAAAATAGTTTTTTTCGTATAAATTATTATATATTAATATATTTTTTTAATCATGCATAAATACAATATTTAGTATATGTCATGAGTTCTTGTGAATTTGTACGCACATTATTACCAATTTAAATTATATTTCTTAAATTTACATACTTGGTTATTTATATTAACCTACCTTTCGCCCTCAATACACCATTGTTGCTGTACGTAATTGGACTACAATATTACTTATTAGTGAATAGTTTAATATTAAAAAAAATATAATTACATAATGCCGTTTGTAAATATAATAAAAATATCATTTTTCCACCCTTCGAATCTAATTGGTAGGATTTTTTTACACAATATGTTCCCTCTCTTCCTGTACTCTCTTATACTACGGACGTCGGACATCGACGTAGACGACGGAGCCGTGACTTGTGTCCAAGTCTTATGATTTGTTGTTTTTTAAATACAATACAATATAATGTAATAAATAATAATAGTACAATAAGTAAATCGATAGCGTCACTAGACATTCTTTTGTGCGTTTTAAGCAAACAATTTTGTTTTTTTTTAGTCATTGATCTACTTTTTTTAAACCTTTATTACCACCACAGTTTGTGTTGAGCGTTTTAAGAGTCCTGAGCTCCTCTAGTCAAATTGTATATTTTATTCGTCTCTTTAATTTTTATATTTTATTGTTTTAAAATGTCTCGTAAATGCGGAATTAGGTACGAGTATTTTAACTGTGGTAAAAGCGCAAGTGATATTGAAAATCTTAAATTATATCGGTTTCCAAAAGACCAATCATTATGTTCAAAATGGGTTTCTAACTCAGGTATGAAACTAAATATTTTCATAAGCTTAAGAATTCCTTTAGTCTCTTGGATAGGTACCTTATTAGGACCAGGAAGTTGGAAAGTTACAAAAAAAGGCGAATGGTCAAAATTGAGTACATTCGGCATACGTAGGGTAGTCGGTAGTAATATTGGCTTCCTATTTTAAAAGTAAAAATAAAAAAAGTGAAATAAATAGATAAATTTTTTTTTTAAAAAGCTCACTTTTTTACTATTTTTTAGAAAAGCGTGTTTTTTAAAAAAAATGTTATAGTTATTTTTTTTTTTTTAGAAATCTGACAGCTCGTATTTTCTGGACGACATTTCGTATCAATGTTAAAATAAATCTTATGAGACCGTCTATATTTTCGAACTGCGAAGCAGATAATGATACTCATTTATTGGACAATGATAATCGCTATGAAGCAACCATGCATATTGAAGATACTAATGAAATTTTAGATAGCTCTTCCTCTGTATCATTGTCATCTATTTCGTTCACTGAAGAAAGTGATGATGGTTATACACCTAACGTAACACTAGAAAAATGTTCAAATACTTATTTTTCAGGTTACTTAGGCAAAAAATGTGTAGAAAAATTTAAGTGTAGATAATGTGAAAATAATTTTTTAAAAGAAACTAACGATGAGCAATTTAATGAAAATGAGTTTCTCATATTTCGTAAAAATTATGATTCTGAAAGCTCAAAATTGTTTTTAAGGAGACCAACTGACTCATTTAAAAAGTTTATTACCAACGCTCAAATAAATAATTATAAAAATAGTAGAAAAAATGCCTCATGTTAAATTAGTCTATATTTATAACTGTTTTATTTAACTAATAGAACTAAGATTCTAAATTTTGTTTGCAATAAACAAAAGCTTTAGACATACAATATAATTAAATTCTAAAAAGAAAAATATCTGAAATAATCTTATGGATAAGATTCATTTATAAATCTTTTATAATTTGTAAAAGTATAATAATTATATAATCTCATTCCGATAGCAAAACCGGTTTTACTTTGCGCATGACGGGTGGTCGCGGCCGACCGGCCGCGGCGGTGTCTGAAAATACGGCATAACAAAAAATATTATTTTGTAATATTGTACGACATCTATGAATAGTATAGAACACTAAATAACGTGTTTCCATATTTTCTATTGACATGAGCTATCTATGTATATTTAATCAATGAAATAATGAAATATCTGTGCTCAGGCGTCATTTCTCAATATGTCTGACCATACCCTATAAAGAAATCTTTATAGGTCTATGTGTCTGACCGTTTTTTTAATAACTCCAAGATTCCCTTCTGTTTATTTTGTGATAGTACTATCGCAAGAGTACTCTCATCGTGTAAATGGGCATTATCCCATAGGACGTTTTCTAAGCTTTTCAAATATATAAGTTTAGTTAGCAGACTCGTTTTTTCTTCCAACCGAAAAAGCTAGTCTTAATATTTTGCACAACAAATAATAATCATGTAAACTACTAAGAAACTAAAGAAATAAGACCGGTCTACAGTTATAAACAAAGGAATTTTACTAATCCTGTACTTGGAAAAATATTGTAATCGTCATTCGTCTATAATACAATTTGATATTAGGCCTAATAATAACGTACAGACCATATATAATTAAAATATTCAAATTTTTAAAAATTACATAACTCAACTACATGATTTTTAAACTTCAATCACAACCCTAGGTTATAAATTCAACAACAAACCACTGAATACATCTACGTGAAGAAGTATACAATAAGTAATCAAAAATAATTTGTATTAAATCTATTATTGATCATTAAACATTCTTTAATTTATAATATCATTAAATAACAGCAAATAAAAGATTAAAACACATCTATTTGTTTTCAATAAAACGACAAAAAGCAATTTAAAATATTAATTAAATTAAATAACCTCATCACCAAATAATATTCTAAGCTTTGCATTATTCATTATAGTAGAATTTGGTAAAACAATTTTAAAAGTTTTATTATTATTTTTTATTTTTACTTTGTTATTGAATATATCTAATTTTGAACACTGAATAGGTTGTATATCATCAACATTGCAATATAATTCTTTGCGGGCACCCCAAAATGAAATGTATGACATTCTACATTTCTTCTCGTCATCGGAAATATAAACAAATACTACCAAGTAATCTGAAAGAATCCAGCTAGAAGTGTACAAACCAGCTGTTAATCCAATACCTGAAATATTTGGAGTATATTATTATATATGTTATTGAAGGTATTATAAATAATTATTATTACCATACCTATTAATGACAAATACATAACTTCTGTAAAGTTTAATAAATCAAATACTTTTAAGCCATATGTTATTGGTAGAATAATAATATTAGATATCGTTTGTATGGTTTTCAATTTATTCAAACAAATAAAAATTGGCATGTTTGATGTTCTGAAAATGAAAATTGTTTCAAATTAATATTTAATTTTCTATAAAAATAATTATATGTTTATCAGTATTCATTAAACTTACTGAAATATTGGCTTATAATTAGTAATGCTTTCATTTAAAGTTTGATCAGTTTTTAATGTTTTAAAAATAGGTGTACTATATTTTAGAGTTTTTACTGTAGAGTTCAATATACGTTTTGAACTACTACTATGATATAATTTAAACATGTTAGTACTTGGTGGCTATTGTTATGTTCTTAAAAATAAATGGCACAACTTTTATATTATAAAATTTATATTATTAAGTAATATCTAAATAAATATTTTAAATATAAAGTATGAAACATATTGTATGAATAACAATAATTAGCCTCACTAATTTATAAAATAATTATGAAAATACAAAATTACGGTGTAAAACTCGTAGACCTTTTACCACGGAAAAAAAATAACATTTATTATTTAATCTGCGATTACTGCTAGTTATTAGTTACAGTTTACACCGAATGAGCATCCAGCTGGAATGCAAGCGGTGGGGCATTCGGTCATAAACTTCCAAGTTACCATAGTAGTTACTGTTATCACAAATGTTATCATAACCGTTATCACAAAATGTTAATGTCTTAACTTTTCAGCTCTCACACCGGTTACACCTCAAAGAGCCACTCGAAGGGGTACCAACATATACAATATTTATAAAAAATGCACGATTATTATTCGTGTATGTTGTGCGGCTAGTATTGTTTATTTAAAGGGGAAAACTTGTACATTTCATAATTAATGCAATAAGGCTTGAACTATTTTTAATTCACTGTGTGACCTGTCTCCTGTTTTGAGTTTTTTTATTTAAGTTATAATCAAATCAGTATTGAAATTTATATTAAAAAAACACTGAAAGTATATGAAACAATATTTACAATATTATATTATAGTGATAATTTACCAACAATAAATTGTCTCTTGAGTTTGTAAAAAAAATGTTTTTCAAAACATACTTACACGTTTTATAATAAGTAAAGCAGAATGTTCATTGATCAAATTTCAATGAAATTATACTTTGTTTTTAAATTATTTAATACCGATGTATTATACCTATCTATTTTAAACAATACATCGTGAATACCTCATACGAAACTATTCGATACCCGACAATAAAATTAAACACATTTACTTAAATACTTTACAACTTCCAATAGGTAATAACACAATAATAAATTATAGTTAAATATTATTTAATTCTGTATTATATATTTTCATATCTGTGTATTAGTTATCATGCTATATATATTAACCGAAAAATATTTAAGTCGAAAATAATATTTACTAAAACTATTTAGGTCGAAAATAATGTCATCGAACGTATTTTAGCTGACACTTGTTATTTGAACAGAACCTTATAAGTTATAAATTATAATAGTATACAAAAACACTGTTACGCGCGCCGTGTGACCGCGTTGTGTCTACTGTCTACGCTATTTTTATAACATCTGTGATAAGTTCCATTTGTTATTGAAATATACAGCTATTTTTTATTTTGTGGTTGACATTTTTTTTTCCATATAAACTACCAATGCTTAATTGTTAGTATTTGTTTATACTTAGCTACACAATAGTAAATTCAAACAGGGACAACCTATGGTAGACTGGCGCCTTGCCGATGCTGAATAAAATGTTTATATATTATTAAGCTGGCAGTAGTTTTTTGGGGTCTAAAATAAGCGGTATGGTTCTTTTGGATCTAGATATGATACACTCATCAGATTTATCACTAATGTCCAGCTAATATATAAAATAGATCACTCCAGTTTATGTGTAAACAAGGTCAGATACAAGGGGAAGGCTGGAGTTAATAGTTAATAGTTTATAATACAATCTATATTAAAATAAATATAAACCAAGTCAAACTATAACGAATTTATGAGTAGTAAATTCACATGACTTCTTAAAAACAATCCAAATTAACTCAGGTGCTATAATATAATATACATAATATTATCATTGATTATCATTAATCAAAGATATTATGTATAAATGCACAAACAACAAAAAAGTTCAAATATATTAAATTTATATTTATAAACACAGATTTCCTTATTTCACACTATTATAATATACAAGTTAAAAGTTAGCTATAACTTAAATTTAAGTGGCATGTGTACTGGCGTTGTCGATTGCATTATCTAGATGTTTTTATACATGTGCATAGAGTACACAAGGGTTTCACAAAATGATTGATACTTAGTGTGTGATATTATAATTAACGTGAAGTGGGTCTCATACGGTTAAAATGTTATTAACGAAACGTTAATATTACTAAGTTTACTATGGTCAAGTTTATACAAACTAACGGTTGGTTACCAACTGCGGCCATCCATCACTGATGTTAAATAATTATGAGATTCGAGCTATCAAAAAAAATATATAATGGTTCAACACGTTGGCGGTGGCCGGTACTTAACAAAAGACTGCAAAGAAATAGTTTTTACTAAAAAAATTGATGATTTTACGTTTTATCTATTTTTAATGTTATAATTATTAAAATTTATTTTATTATTGACCACGATTTAATAAAAAAAAAATTGTTTGGCTTAAGTATTCTAACAGCCTTGACAAAAATGTATTTTCTAAAATGATTATGTACATGTTTATTTTTAAAAGTTATTATCAGCAGTAATAAACATTTAATATTAATCATTTGTTGAATAAAAACTAATAGTGTACATATTATGAACACAACGGATTTCATACAAGTTATTTTAGTATTATAGTTAGAAACAATTGTGCATTATTAAAGAAAAATACTAAATTAATATAATCAAGTTTATAAAAAATGTTTACTAAATTATTGCCACTAGGCTTATAGTTTTTAAATTTTGAACATAGTTGGAAAAATAACAAAATATAGTTAGAACATTACAAATAATTATGGTATAAATCTACTTTACCGGGCACCCTTTTTTCGATTTTTTTTTAAATCGACAGTACTTTTAATGTTGATTACGAATATGTAAAAAATTTGCGCCGCTCGCACTTAGTTTGGAAGTTACAGACTTTTAAAGTTCGCCGAAATCGACATACGTGCGCGCCCGGCACTGCACGTCTACCCGCGCCCGCTGGGTACTTCGTCGGTCGATCGCTGCTCAATTATCATCGGATTCCTCGTCTACCTGCCTCCAGCCCGTCGTGGTCCTTTTTTTTTTTGCATCATAATTTCATCACGCTAATAATTGACTTGTTTGGGATTTTGCTATAGCGAACAATGAACAATTTTTGGCTCGCCCGATGCACATTGTTGAGACTTGAGGATGACTTAGTAGTAAATATTAATGTTTTATCGCGCCCCGCTAATATTATAAAGTATTACGGGCTATTATAAAGCAATACATGTTAATCATTTTTTATAATTTGGTTATTCATTTATATTTTATGATTCTACATATATTAACACAAAATAAATATATAATGCTGTTTTTCTACAAACTCTGATGAAAATTGTGAGGGACACACACACATACATTCATTTATATATATATATATATATAGATAATAAAAATAGAAATAATTAATCAGATAAAAAAATCCAATTTATATAGATGGCCTATAGCATAGGCCAAATGGGTGGAAAATATACACATTTGCCATTTAGCTAAAAATGTACTTTTTTTGGATTTTTATATCGGTATTTATCTAATTCTAACCCTCTGCTTCTGAGTTTTTAATAATTAGTTCTAAGTCAATAAAAAGTAAAAACCTTTATCAAATACTTTTTAGTTGTATTTATAATATATACATGCATAGTTCATTCCGATACTCATGAAAATGCACACAAATTAAACAATGTTCAATAACTTCATTTGTTTTATATTTAAAATATATTTGTAATTTAATTGGAATACATGAAAGCAAGTTAAAATATTATTCAATTAATATCGTTGCAATATACATAATTTTTTTACCTATGTATTATAAATAAGTATCAATAATATAAAAATGTATAATTATTTATAATAATAGAGTAAAAGTATTTAGAAACAATAATTATTATTAATAGCATGAGTTAACAATAAATCCTGTTGAGTAAATTGAAATGTTTACAATGAACATAGTAACAATGTCTACTATACAATAGGGGTTTTAATAAAAATATAATATTTTCTACAAAGTTACTGTTTTTATTTTTATTGATATACAATTTGGAAATTACATTTTTTGCTATTACTCCGTTATAATATGTGGTGTCGGTCGCACAACATACACAAATAATAATCGTACATTTTACATAAATAATGTACATGTTGGTATCTCTTCGGGTGGCTGTTTGTCGAGTGGCTCCGTGTCGATTTTCGGTGGCTGTTTGTCGAGTGGCTCCGTGTCGTGCTCCCGCTGAAACTACATCATTTTTAATGCGTTATCACTACGGCTTTGGTGATATGGCTATCATTTGGAAATAGAATGTTTTGCTTACATGATAAAAATAAAAATATAAATTATTTTGTCATGATTTGTTTACTGTTGTGAGTTGTCTGTTAGAACTTAAAACCTGAGTCTTGAGGTGTTGTACTGCGGTCTGCATTATATATATTTGTAATTAATTGAAATTTTATCGAAACTCAATATTACAGCATTTTTTAAGAATCAATATGGTCTCCAGTGATAGCGACGAGGATCGTAGAGAACGTGACAAATTTTCTGAAAGACTTAAAAGGAAAGATAAAGATAGAACGCGTAATATTGCTATTCCTCGATCAGGTACTAATGTTGAACATGAAATTTCTTCTTTTATAATTTTTAAGCGATGTAATTAATATTTTTTTTTAATTAGATAAAAAAGCTTATGAAGAGGCTGCTAAAAGGCTAAAATTGGAAAATGATCGTGAAAAAGAAACTGTCATTCCTAGATTACGAATTGAATCACGTCGTAAATATCTTGAAAAAAGAAAAGAAGATAAAGTTACTGAACTTGAAGCTGATATCTTAGATGATGAGTATTTGTTTGATGCTGAAGAGTAAGTATTTTTATTTATTAAATTGTCTGTACATTTTCTTTTACAATAAGTTTAATGAGTAAAAATTAAATTGCCTTATATGACATGAGTCCCTTTTGAACTTCAAGACATTGGTTCCACTGTTTTAATCAGTAGGTCACAATAAAATTAGCGTTTTGGCTGTTTGTGAGGTCACCAGGAATATTAGCTGAAGAAATTTCAGCTACTAGGTTTACGATGATTATGTAGACAAGATTTTAATGTTTAAAAAACATTTTTACAACATTATGGACTAACAACATAGAGAGATCATTGTGGAGTGTAAAAAATATTGTAGCATGTTTTTTTTTTGCAAGTTGTGCATTGTTCTAATATTTAATATTTCTATCTATTTTTTTTCAAAAAACAAGTTGATAGTTTACAGTTTGAATTATTTTTTGACTACATATTTTTTTCTAGTTTAACTAAACGCGAGCTTATTGAACGTGAACATAAAAAAAAACTATTAAATCTTGCTAAAGAACATGAAAAAGCTAGAGAACTTGAGAAAATTCAGCGGTATCATATGCCACAAGATCTTAAAGATGATCAAATGCAATATGAAGTCGATATTGACAAAGCTCCAACTACCGAACAGCAAAAATGGGAGGAAGAACAAATGTCTTCGGCTGTTTATAGATTTGGTGCTAAAAGAGAAGAAAAAGAACAGTATGAATTGTTGATTGATAATCAAATAGAATTTGTACAAACTGCTAATTTACCTGGTACACACGAAAAGGTATAACTTATTTCAAGCTTAAAGTGAGTATAGTATATAATAAATACATATATATCTTTAGTTGGAACCAGAAATAACTGAAAAACAACGCAAAAGACTGAATATTGAAGAAACTCAAAAGAGTTTGCCCATATATCGTTTTAAGAAAGATTTAATAGAAGCTATTAATGATCACCAAGTAATGACCATTAAAAATTAATTGATTATTAATAATGTTCAATACCTTATAAAATTAAATAATTAATGATTTTATTTTAGATACTGATTATTGAAGGTGAAACTGGTTCTGGAAAAACTACACAGATACCTCAATATTTATACGAGGCCGGCTACACTGAAGATAATAAAAAAATAGGTTGCACTCAACCAAGAAGAGTGGCTGCTATGTCAGTTGCAGCTCGTGTTGCTGAAGAGATGTCTGTTAAACTTGGAAATGAAGTAATAATTTATAAAAAGTTAATATTGAAATTAAGTTATTATTAACCCTTTGTTAATTGCCCAATGTTTAGTCTTACTTTATTTAAGTGTAACTGACCTACATTTCTTACCCAAGTCACATTGTGACTAAATTTGACTGCGAACATTTTGACCATAGTATGATTAACAGCGGATTAATAATAACATTTTTTTTTTAGGTTGGTTATAGTATACGTTTTGAAGATTGTACTTCGGAACGAACAATTATTAAATATATGACTGATGGTACCCTGCACAGAGAATTTTTATCTGAACCAGATTTACAGTCGTACAGTGTGATGATTGTTGATGAAGCTCATGAAAGAACACTTCATACTGATATCCTTTTTGGTTTAGTTAAAGATGTAATACGGTTTCGACCTGATTTGAAACTGTTAATTTCTAGTGCAACATTGGATGCTCAAAAATTCTCTGAATTTTTTGATGATGCTCCCATTTTTAGAATTCCCGGTGAGGCCTTTCTTTGTGTTTTCCACTTAACTAATTTTTATGTAATAAATAATGCATTAGTTTTAGAAAATTTAATTACATATACTGCTTTAATTTTATTACCACACTATATTGGTATTTAGGACTTTCACCCATAAACTTTAATTTAAAACAATAATGTACATTAGAGAAAAATTTTATATTATATATTTATATATTAATATATATATATATATAATATATTTATATATTTATATATTAATATATATATATATAATATATTTATGTATTATATATATTTTATATTATATTAAAATAATAAATATTCTGTCTTCACTGTGTTACAATGGCATATTGTTTTAGTCTTGCAAAAAGTGACCAAATCTTAATTGGCAACTATCCATTGTTGTTGAATAGCAATCAAAGTTATATTTAAAAGTATACTAAAATAGTATTTGGAAAATTATATAATAATGTATAGTTTTTAAACCTCTTTAGATAAAATTACATTTACTGAATTGTACTAGTCTTAGAATCTATAAGTTGAAGCAGAAGTCAATTTTAATTTTATTATTTTTTTGTGCTACACATAGGTAGAAGATTTCCAGTAGATATTTATTACACGAAAGCACCAGAAGCAGACTATATTGATGCTTGTGTTGTATCGATACTTCAAATACATGTTACTCAACCATTAGGAGATATTCTTGTATTTCTAACTGGTCAAGAAGAAATTGAAACTTGTCATGAGCTTTTGCAAGAACGTGTTCGTAGACTGGGTTCCCAAATTAAAGAGCTTATTATACTACCTGTATATAGTAATTTACCTACAGATATGCAAGCAAAAATTTTTGAACCAACACCTCCAAACGCAAGAAAAGTATTACCATCTAAAACTTACAAAATATAACTAATTACATTTTAATAATACCTAATTCTTTAGGTTGTTTTAGCTACTAATATTGCGGAAACATCACTTACTATTGATAACATAATTTATGTAATTGATCCAGGATTTTGTAAACAAAATAATTTCAATTCACGCACAGGCATGGAATCTTTAATTGTAGTTCCAATATCTAAAGTGAGTTGGCATACCATATAATATTTATAGAAATTATGGTTTAAACATTTAAATTGTGTGTACTAGTTAGTACTACTTAGGGTATAGCAAGGTGTTAAAATGTATATGAATATTTAATATGTTTATATGAAGCGATTAAACATTTTGAATTTAAACAGTTTTTAAGTATTACAAAACAATTTTAAAATCATAAATTACCCGGAGAGATTATTTCCAACCTTTCAGCTTAGAATTGTTTATAGGGTTATTACACCTTACTTGAAAATTACTATTTTAATACTCATACTTGTTCTAAAATAATTACAATTGGGCCACAAATCCCTATTTCACAAGAAAGAAACAATACTTTTTTGTTCAAGTTGCACTGCTGCTCTTTCAGTTTATTAAAGGTTTTATTGTTATTTTAGGCAAGTGCAAATCAAAGGGCTGGCAGAGCTGGTCGAGTAGCCGCTGGTAAATGTTTTCGTCTTTACACATCATGGGCTTACAAAAATGAGCTTGAAGATAATACAGTTCCAGAAATACAAAGAATTAATTTGGGTAATGCTGTGTTAATGTTGAAAGCACTCGGAATAAATGATTTAATACATTTTGACTTCCTCGATCCACCACCACATGAGACATTGGTTATTTAATTAAATTTTTTTAACCGATAATATATTACTAAACTAAATAATTTTTTAGGTACTTGCACTAGAACAACTTTATGCTCTGGGTGCATTAAATCATAGAGGAGAGTTAACTAAATTAGGTCGTCGTATGGCTGAATTTCCTTTAGATCCAATGATGGCAAAAATGCTTTTAGCTTCTGAAAAGTATGTTATTAGTAACGCATTCTGTAATAATAAATACATTCATATATCCATACCTCAGAGCAAGTGTATTAAGTCAAAAATTTAAATTTCCCAGTTTTTTGGCTCACCTAGATTTAAAATTTGCACTTATTCACTGATCTATCTTTTATGACGTGTGGAATTCTAGATAACTAACTAGCATAATACAAATATTATATAATATTATTATAAACAGTAAGAAATCTACTTTGCTTCTAGAGCAAAACAATATGTTCTTTATATCGCATGTATTAGGTCCACATACAGTTCAAACAAACTTTTTTTAATAATTTAATTTAGGCATAATTTTGTTCTCCTTTCTCCTGTAAAATTTACATTTTGTGACTTAATAAACATTTTTTCTGGGGTACAGATATATAAATATATTTAAAAATTTATCTATTTTTATAAATGTAAAAATAGAATCTTTATGATGAATTGGCTCTGGAACCACTTTTTGGATTGGCCTGAAGGTTTTTCAACTTATAGAGCATACTAAGGAGCAAGTTTAAAGTTATAAAACATATGAAGGGCTGCGGGGAAAAAGATCAATGTCAATTTTTTTTGAAAATTAGATTTTAGTATCAAATTATTTGTATTGAGGCATTGTATCTTTTATGCGCTCGAACCAGGGAAAAAAACAGATTAATCGAGAGTAACGACCGCTGGAAGTTTAGGCATACAGGCAAAATGTATTACGTTTTGAAATTAAAAACATGATTTTCTCAGAATGAACAAAAATTGACATTGATCTTTTTTCCGCGCAGCCCTTCATATGTCTGTTCATCTGGGTTAGTAATGTATGACCGATTCTGAGCCTAGTAATGTCTACTATAATATATAGATAAATAATCCTTAATATATAATCTCATTATTTTAAAATGGAGAGAAACTAAGATTTTATAAAAGAAAAAAATCTATTTTTAAAATACAAAAATATAATTTGCTTTACATTATGTAATTTATCTTTTTTAATTTAATTTGTAATTAAAATATTGTTTTTTAGGTATAGCTGTTCAGAAGAAATAGCCACTATAGCAGCAATGTTAAGTGTAAATAGTGCTATATTCTATAGACCTAAAGACAAGCTCATTTTAGCAGATACAGCTCGTAAAAGTTTTTACTCTCGTGGAGGTGATCATTTAGCTTTGTTGAATATTTATAACCAGTGGGCTAATACTGACTTTAGTACAAATTGGTGTTACGAAAATTATATCCAGCATAGATCAATGCGAAGAGCTCGGGATGTTAGAGATCAGTTGGTTGGCCTAATGCAACGAGTTGAAATGGAACTAGTTTCAAACCCTACAGAATCAGTTAACATACGTAAAGTGAGACTACACTTATTTTTATATAGTGTACATTATATTTAATTTTAAACTTTATTTTTAAGGCTATAACTGCAGGTTATTTTTACCATATTGCTAGACTTTCAAAAGGTGGTCATTATCGAACTGTAAAACATAATCAAACTGTTATGATACATCCCAATAGCAGCTTATTTGAAGAACTACCAAGATGGGTCTTATATCATGAACTAGTATTTACTACTAAAGAGTTTATGAGACAAGTAACGGAAATTGAAAGCAAATGGTTACTTGAAGTAGCACCACATTATTACCAAGATAAAGAACTTGAAGACTCTACAAATAAACGATTACCTAAAACTGTAGGGAAGACAAAGGCCGAACTTAAAAATTAATTTTAAAGGTATGTCAACACAGAACAATCAATAATTTATATATATGACATTTTCTCAAAAGTTGTATGATAGGTTTAAAAAAAACAATTTTACTGAATGCCCCAGAATGGGGTTTATAATCTTAAATTATTTTTTAGTTTTCCGTACAAACACTGTTGGATTCCCCTTGATGTAGATCCGACTAGCAAAGATATTTTTCAGAGACTTTATGATGTAGGCAACTGAAATTTGGAACGGTTGTCGTAAATAATGGCCCAAATATGACTTTCAAAAGTGGAATTTTGACTTAGGGGGTTATTCTGACACGAGAATTTTGGGGGAGTTAAATGAGTCTTGTGGAGATTGTGCAATTGGGTTTAGCCGAAGAAAGGATGTGGTTGACTTGTCCCTTATTTAATTAAACAATACTACATGTTGAAAGTATTATTTAAAAAAATAAGTCGACTTGATTTGAGCTTGTTTCTCCGGAAGATCACTTGTAAATTATATTTCGAGAAACTCCTGGAATGCATACAATGAGTGATGTTGGACACTGGGTGCAGAAGCAGAATTTGCTAAAACTTTGTCCTCACACTTTTTAAATTGTTCAAAGAAACGCATTCGATTATTAACCCGTTAGATATGCTATATTCTAATATAAAAATGTAAATCTATTAACTATACTTATGTAAACAACTAATTGCGTTTAATACAATTTGCACTTGCATGGTTTTTTTTAATAGCAACTCAGATTTGTAGTTTAGGGTTATAACTATTGGAATGTTTGTATGTGGAAACACATGTGGTAGGGTCATCATATGGGTCACTTATAAAATCCTAGGGGACCCTGTCTGGTTAGGATAATGATGGTAACAGCTTAAGTCCAGAGGTGCCAAGTGTTACTAGAGGCACACAAAGCCATTTGCAGTTTCAGCATAAAATTATTGTAATTTGAACATTTCATAAATACATAGAAGTTTATTTTGCCTTTATAGGGTTTGGAATATGCCAGTTTTAAGAATTCATAGCCGTCTGGTTGCAGCTTTGTTACTATTACAGACTTTATTAATAAATTAAACATTGAATAATTACTTTACATTCAAATAAAAAAAATTTAGACTTGTTTATTCTGCAAGGGTGTAAAGTATAGAAAATTATATAATATGCCCTTTTCGAATAAACAGCCTCAATTATATTATAATAGTATATAATAATGATTTTTGGAAATTTCTCCTTTTGTTTTAGTTTGACTTTACAGTAAGAGCGAGAAATACGACAACTTTTTCGATAATTAATTGGACCAGTTTGGTTTCCTCTTCTCGATGAATGATTGAAGACCTTCCTTACAATCATCAAGTTGTAAGTTTTCTAACATCGCTTTTTCTCCATTCCTGTACATTCAAACACATAATTTTACTGTATTATACATGTAATGACTGATATTTAGTTTAAAAATAAAGATTGCAATTAATTATTACTTGTAAGCTGTTTTTATATCAACATCTATTTGCTGGTTAAAAAATGTTTTCCCATGAGTAATTACTTCACGGCTCTTTTGATCAATTAACAAAGTTAGTTTATCAATTTCATCATCTAAAATATATGTAAAACATACCAAATATATCATCATTATAAAAACTATTATTAAAATGGAAAACGAGAGAAAGAGATAGCTAAAAATTAGTCTTTTAGTAGATAATCTGAAAAATAAAGCCTGAAAGTGAAGAGTTTTAATTACCAAAAAAGAAAGAAGAAGAAATTTATAATTTAGAAATTCATATAGTGTAAGAGGAACACTAATTTACAAGGTTTACCTAATTCCTTTGGATGTACAACCTTACTAACAAGACCATTTCTAAGGGCTTCTTCTGCATTGATTGATTCTCCAGTAAATAACATATAAGAAGCAACTTTTTTTGGTATACATCTACTCAACGGAATTCCAGGAGTGGAACAAAATAAGCCAAGGTTTACACTAGAAACAAAAAATTAATTAAAAATAACATAATGTTAATGAATACAATTCAATAGATGAATCATACCCCGGCGTTGAAAACGAGCTACGATTTGTACATATAGCTATATCAGAAGCAGCTACAAGTTGGCAACCCGAAGCTGCAGCTAATCCATCTATAGCAGTAATAATTGGTATTGGACAATCTAACATTGCATTCATTAGTTCTGTAGCCAATGAAAAAACTTTTTGCTGGATTTTCATGTCTATCTATAAATTAAGTTATACGTATAGAAATGTAGAAATATACATTTTGTTATTAAAATTTAATCTTATGGAAAAAATAGAAATGTAAACTTATCCATTTAAATTGTGATAAGTAAATAATTTTATTTATTTAAATTAACTAATATTACATTACAAGTTCTTTAAGGTTGTGTCCAGCAGAAAAAATTGGCCCATTGCCATTTATTACAATGCTTTTTAATGACTGGTTTTTACCAGCGTTTTTAATTTCATTAATTAAGTGTTGAAGCATAGTAACTGACAAAGAATTCCTTGAATAATCAAATGGTATTTATTATAAGACATTAGATAATGAAGTAATAATTTATTATATACCGTGTTTTAGGATTACATAAAGTAATTCGATGTGAACTGTTAACTCTGATTGATGTCAACATATGTACATGTAATGTAGTAGAAGACATAGATCTGTGTACTTGCCAGATAAACGATTTCATAATTTCCTACAAACAAAAAAAGTATTTTAATCATTAACAAATTTTATGAAAGTATAATCCGTCATTACTATAATTAATTCCAATTATTTAAAAATTAATTTAGTAATTATATGATTATAATATAACTATGGAAGTTATACATTGATTTTATCATAGGTATTTGAGTGATTGTAAGTTGTTATAAGTTCTTGGGATGGTTGATAATATTTCGGTTATCCGAATAACTAATAATATACAATACACATATTCCCGATATTTGTATCGGGTTTATAAGGTTTTTTTGTAATTCGACGATATAAAGGAGTTTACCTATTAAGTTTTTAATTTAATATATTTTTTTAGAATTCCGATTACGTTTTAATAGTTAAGTGTTAACCCGTGAAGCATTGAATAATTAATGGAATTGTAATTTGTAAGTAAATACTAAATAGGCATTTGATGTACCTATACTTCTTATCTATGGTATTTGCATAGAAAAGAGAATGGGTATTTAACGAGCTCATCGTTATCAATTATATTTAACACGAAAAAGTTTTACAAAACCTTTTAGTGCGACTGGTGGGATTATGGTGAGACTCAGTTCTTAATCGATTTTTTCAGTTCGGATAACAGATTGACTCTAACGACTCATACATTCATTTGAATATTGAACACATTTTGGTGTTTTTATAAATAAAACATAGTCTATAAGGTATAAATCTAGTTTACTGGGCACTCTTTTTTTTTTAAAATCGTCAGTACTTGTAATGCTAATTATGAATCTCCAAAAATGTTGCGTCCTTCGCACTTATTCTGGAAGTTGCAGACGTTTAAAGTTCGCGCGGTATACTGATTAGCTGATGAGTGATAACAGGCGGGCGCGCACTACACAATAAGTAATAACTAATGACGGTTACAGCCGACCCGACTACTTACTTGCTCCGCCCATTGTGGTCCTTTTTAGTTTTTTGCCGTACACGTGAAATACTGATAATGCTTTTGGCACACTTGACACTGCACACAGACTAAAGTACTCATAATTCATAACTCGGTAAGAAGTCTGTGGTGCGGCATTTAAAGGGTCCACACACGATCAGTTAAACTGCCTGTAAAACTAGTCCACATTCTTCTGAGCTCCATTCTTTAAAATCGTACAAATTTATAAACGTCTCTGTAGCCATTTTGAGAGTCGTAATCCGTATAGGTAATTGGTAAAGCGTTGTATTGCAGTAACAATAATTTATTTTATAATGTATTAAAAACGTAATCTGGAACAGATATTATTTTGGGATCTCGCCGCGCGTAGTATCACGACGTCTTGCACTTAAACATCTTTAACTTCCAAAATAAGTGCGAGCGGCCCAAAATTTTTGCAGTTTCGTAATCAGCATTAAAAGTACTATCGATTCAAAAAAAAGGGTGTCCGATAAACTAGATTTGTTCCCCCGTGTTCACTTTTATCAGTGTCCGAGGCCTGGTTTACCCATATAGAGTATAGACGGTAGACCTTCAAAATTTGATTTTATCGGCATTGAAAATTTGATTATCAGTCACTAGCCGCCACATAATCATACAATAATTTTTAAACCGTGCACCATATTTCTTAAATTAGGAACTCAAATGCGCATGATCAAATCGCCTCACGAGTCACGACTCACGACGTCATCGAGTGCTGCCGTCAGCAGTAGTATAAGGTCTATGGGTGATAAATTAAAATTTTGTAAAAAAATTAACTATACCTCCTTAATAAAAAGTAGTAAGACTAAGGAAAGAGGTAGTAAAAGGACTATGGTCGGTCCTCTAGACATCATAGACTATTTAGAAGTATAAATATAAAAAAAAGGTTGCTATAGCTAAACTATAATAGTGTTCATTAGTTTTATCTTTCACTCCATCCTAGTCATGACTGTCTCCCACTACGCTTATTAATTCAGTTGAGGTCTTAATCTTATTTAATTAAGAGCACATCACGTTTCTCGGTTCTACCATAGGTAATTAAATAAATTTAATTTTTCAGTTTATTTAGTTAGTTTAGATTATTTTGTCATGGGTTCTATCACACGACTGTAGGAAAATAGTGTATATATTTTTTATATGGTCTGCCCATAATCCAATGAATATTCAGCCTAACAAAATATTAAAACACTTATGTTTACTTATGCCTACAGTTTACACATGCCGAGGTACATAAAAAATTATAAATTGAATAGACCTATCAAGTGCCACTAAGTTATATTTAACAAACCAATAAACATCTATACATTTTGCCTGTATGTCTAGCTTCCGGTGGTCGTTACTCTCGACTAATCTATTTTTTCCCTGGTTCGAGCGCAAAGATACAATACATCAACACAAAAAATTTGATACCAAAATATCATTTTCAAAAAAAATTGACATTGATCTTTTTTCCCCGCAACCCTTCAAATAGTACGTAGGTGGTAATATGTATAGGTAATGTCCTAATATTGTCCGTACTCCTAGCTATATATGTAGCCTAGTTCGCACTTCGCAGTTGCCAAGTTAGTGGAGTATATTTAGATGTAATTTTCTGCGTAGTTTATCAGGAGTTGTGGCGTTCAATTTCAGTAAATATTCAGTTAATATTCAACTATGTACACTAGATAGAACAATTTTTTAAAATAATTTAGAATTTAGTTATTAGTTAAATACATTGGTTGATCACTTAATTTGATTATGTCATAATAGTAATCATGTCACGCTGCGTGGACAATTACTAAAAATAAAAAATATACACATTTACTTAGGATTACTATTCAATTGAATTGAAATTTAAGTGGCAACTGTTGGATGAAGATTGAAACAGGAATATTAATTATTGTACTTAGTAGTTTATAGATACTTAGGTATCATCTGGTATTAGTATTATGTATCACAATTCACTGTTCACATAAATCACAATATGATTATTTTATAATTCAAAAGGTTTGTTTTGCCTCTCGTGCACGGTCGACAATATTCGTTGATCCGGCCCGATCTTCTATGAGCCAGACGGGCTATTCCGACCAGCCATCGGTAACAGAATCTCCCCCCACTCTGCATGGACATTCCGATTACATCATGGTGCAGGTGCGCTCGTGTTCTATTAAATTACACGCAGTGCCATGGCCCATGAGACATAACAATAATATATATATATATATATATATATATATATATTATATAATTATATTGTAACATTTGTAAGGGCATCCGGCATATGCGATAGCGGGTGGACCACACACGTGGTCTGTACTCTCAGTCTCCCTACCCGTCAACTGTTGAGCTGACGGCCATTGCACAGTACGTTCAATGACGGCACTTGTCGTTAAGTCAATGTATTGATGTTTGCTAACTTTATTGTTTCGACCAGTATGTTAGAATTTGCTAATTTCATCGACAATAATCATTATCATGGATATCCTAGTGCGTTGTGTTGTAAGATAGTTTTGGCAGTGGCCAGTATTACAGTTAAACGAGTTACACATGTGCTGAAGCATCTTTAAACAAGAGTCGATTATGAGGATCAACAAAGTGAGTAATTCGAAAGGATTTGAAATTTTTTTATGTCGGCATTGATTATTGAAAGAATCTCTTTAATGATTTTCAGTTGAAACTGTTAAATTACCATATCGTTTTTTTACTTCAACTTCTGATATGCATTCCTCAAGTATGGAGTTTGCTGAAATCCAAAAGCAAACTTCAATACTGCGAAAAAACTCAGTCGAAATGTGTAGTTACGAATTATACGATGTGTCTTGGTGTAAAACTACCATACAACTCAACTTCTATAGATCTTGTTTCAGACGCTGATACTCTTGAAGAAGCTCAAGTATGTGTGGTTTTTTGAAGATTTTAGGATATTTTAACATCTTGTGTGAATTGTTCTTAGGAAAAGTTACACTATTGGCAAGGACTCAAGAAGGTTCCAAAATGCTGGGCAGCTATTCAACCACTTTTATGTGCCTTGTACATGCCTAATTGTGAAAACAATAGCATTCATTTACCACCTCAGGTATATGTTATTATCTTTATTGGGGTTTTGGTATAATAATGAAATACTTTAATTAAAATTCCTTAAGTGTATTCCATACTTTATTAGCCTACATAATCTTTTCTCCTGTATATATTGGCATCATACCTCCTACCGTGTAATCATTCCTAATTCTATCTAACCTAATTACTTTATAGTTATTCTTACATTGGTTATAATTATAATATACTTATACTCAATATAATTTAGAGTTTTCTATTATAAGTTGTTTGCATAAATGCATCTGTAAAATAAAATTTATCATTTTAGGAAATGTGTAAATTGATTGAAAATCATTGTCAAATATTGAAAATAGAAAATTCTTGGCCATCAGAATTTAATTGTGACAATGAAACTTTGTATCCTCCAAGATTATGCAAGGTCAGTTGAGAAACTTTAGATTTAAATATTTAATGTAGATACAATAAATAAGATTACATATAGCAACCTGGTAATTTAATGCATTCTAAGTGTAATATTCTCCATTTTTTTTTTCTTAATAAAATTAAAGGTTGATTACAGATTTTTATGAAAATGGTACATGTTAAAGCTGCACCTTAGATCTATCTTTAGTCTTATTTTCAGACCAAATGTCCCAAAAATATGCCCAACAATTTTTTTTTATGGTTTTCTCTATTTTAAAAGGGAAGGGGAGAACTCCATACATTTTTGGTTCAATAAAGTACCTTTTAGATAAAATTTCTGATCCATAGAGTTGCTACATAAAGAAATCAGTTCAGTAGCTTAAAAAATATCATAGGTCCAGACACAAAAAAAAAAAACTGATCCGTTGTCTTCTTAGCATTAAAGCTAAATTAAAAACTTATTGCAAAAACAATATATTTTTAGCTCTGCATCAAAAATAAAATCATATTAGATAAAACTAATACTTTTCAATTTTTATATTTTAACAGAACGATATACGTGAATTAAAATTTAACTCTACTGCTGGCCGATGTGAATCCCCACTTGTACAGACTTATAGACCCGAAGCATATCATTATCCTAATTTTGAAGGCTGTGATCTTCAGTGTTATGATCCTTTATTTTCAATGGATGAACATCGGCAAATACATAATCTAATAGCGTGGACTGCCACAATTGCTGGCATATGTAATACTTTTGCTATTGTAAGTATATTCATAACATGAAGCATTTAGAATTGTATTTATATTCTTTATACTTGTTATATTTAAATAATAAATATAGGGTTGGGTTATAAGACATCTCAAATGTTTTGAAAATACTAGTGTGGGCGGTATTGGTTAGGTGGGACTTGTAAGCTAACATAGTTTTACCTATAACCACAATTAAAAAAGTTTGAAATTCTTTAAGTTTGGTTTTTTGTACAAGTTAGCAACAACTCACATTGCAAGACGCACTTGCATCATTAAGAGAGATTTTTTCTGGCCTAGTTTCAATATGTGAAGACGTCCCTTGACTAAGCTTGCCACATATTATTGCATCTAGAGAATTTTCCATTAGGGGTATCTAAAAACTGAGGTATGCAAACAACGTACAAAATTTGAAAGCCAATAAAGCGGCGATTTGACTTTGCTTAAGCTTTGGAGTACGCCTAAAATAAAACATTTTATAAAATAAAAGTGATCGAGAATTAAAAACAATAATAGCTTATATTTTAAATTAATATATACTTCCACTCATATATTTACATATTTCTGTTTTATGTACTTATTTGTAGCTCACATTTATGATAGAATGGCAATCTTTAAATCGTTATCCAAATATCGTCATTCTTTATATAAATGTTTGTTTTCTGTTCATTTGTTTTGGATGGTTATCTCAGTTTTGGTCTGGAGCAAGAGATGATATAGTATGCAGAAAAAATGGAGCAAGAAAAACATCAGAACCTAGGTACTATGATCAATTTTTATCATTATAATTGTTAACTTTCTATTAGCCACATAAATAACAAATCAATATATGTATTATTTCACTTATATTTATACAATTTTAATTTTAGCCTAATATTTTGGTTGATACATTTTTAAATAAGTTTTTTTTTATTATTATTATTACCCTCGGTTATTGGGCTACATTAGACTATATTAACATAAAACATAATGCAATTTTTTTCATCAATTTATTGTTGATATTTTTATTATAAAAATAAAAGCAATATAATTAACAAATTAAAATTGTACTTTTTAAATTTATTTATGATACCTTAAGCAAAAAAGGTATTTTGTCAATTTTTTTTTTTATGTTTAATAATTACATTTTTATTTTTATATTAAACTAAAAAAAAATCACATAACATTAAAACACTCTAGACATAGTTCTATTAAGTAATTTTTGCATACTAGTGTTGCAAAACTTGCATACTGATGTTGTTTATATGTCACACCTAACTATAACAAAATTGGCATCACGGTTCTACTAGCGTGGGATTAAAATTTGTGGAGCTCATAAATGCACACTTCCAATAGTAGTATCTAACATACTAACTGATAAAATAGCAACACAACTTAACAGTATCTTATATTGATAAATTAATAAAAGTCGGCTAAAATTTCAACTCCTTTATTATCATCCTAACTAACATAAAAATATATTTTAAAATTAATAGGGTTGGGGTCAGTGGGGTTAATAATTATTAACTCCACTGAAAGATGACATTAATTTTGATAAACTTGTTTAATAGTTATAATTTACGAGGTGTGGCAATTAAATAACAAGAACTTTGTTAGAGCGCCTCATATGGTAAAACTTATGTTGTTGAAATGAGCTTTTTATAATAGTCTAGGGTTGTTACAGCAGTTTATCAAGTTTAAATGTGATGAAAATTAATTTTTTTGCTGTACAAGTTTTTAAAGTTAATGGTATTGTAATGTGTTGTCGGAAAAAGTGATTGAGGCAAAAAAAAATTGCTAACAAGTTGTTATTAAGTTTCTTGTAAAATCCTGTGATAAACCGTCCATAATGTTTAAAAATTGTAATATGTGTTTGGTAATGAGTGTCTGACCCAATTATACACATACGAATGGACTGTGCGTTTTTATTATAATTGCTCGAAAACAACATGAGACCAGTGCAACAGTTTTTAACCAGAAATAATAGCTCCCCCCCTACAGTTCTGATCTGACTCCACTGAACGTCTAGCTATCCCTCAAGCTCAGAACTAATGAAAGGTCACCACTAAGAGTATTTGGAGTTTGTCCAAAGTGCTGTGATGCCTGCTTTAAAGGGCTTAACTCCGGAAGCTTTCCAGTGATGCTTACAGAAATGGGAAGAGGGCTGGAACAAGTGCATCAGACTCGGGGAAGAGGGTATGGGTGTTGTGAGGGTATGAGTGCATAAGACCATATAAATGATAAGTAACTTGTTAAAACTAAATTTCTTGTTATTTAATTGCCACACTCTGTATATAAACATTTTTGTGATTATTTTTAGTATACAGTTATAATTTATATTTTGTTTATTTCAGTGATGAAGACTTATCTTGTGTAATCAATTTTATATTTTCTTATTACTTTTTGATTGCTGCATTTATTTGGTTTGTAATTTTCACCTATTCACTTCATACAACATTTCAATCTTTTGGTGAGTTACTTTTTATTAATAGTATATTAAATATTTGCATGGTATTTATGTATTATGATTTTTGTAGGTAAAATACAAGAAAAAGTTGATAAGAAAGGTGGATATTTTCATTTATTAGCTTGGTCTATACCATTAGTGTTTTGTGTCGTCGCCATGGTGATTGGAGAAATTGATGGCGATAGTGTTACAGGCACTTGTTTTATTGGTGTCAATAATAAAATATATAGACTTTTATTTGTCCTTGTACCAATATCAATATCAGTGGGAATTGGATTATTTTACTTAATTCGTGTACTATTTGGCCTTCTAGCATTAAAAAAAGAAAGCACTCAAGTTATTTCTAAACTAGCTAAGTCAAAAATTCATTCAGCAGCAATTAAAGTTGTCATGTTTATGATCCTCATTATAATATTTATATCATCAATGTTTATGTGTTACATACATGAATATAGTAATGATCAATTATGGAAAGATAGTCTCAGAAAATATATTGTGTAAGATATAATTTTCTTCTATATTTAATATAGGTCAAAGTTTTATTTTATTAAATATTTTAAAGTTAATTCAAGTAATCATCAAGTAATTGTTTCTCATTTAGGTGTAAATTAGGAATAATACCAGACACAGATGTTGCTAGTTGTCATATTGAGTTTAGGCCTAGTGTTTCAAAAAAACAATTGTATATTTTAGTGCTGTTTGGTAATGGAGTACTCATGTCATTTTGGGTATGGACAAATCAAATTGGAAATGCATGGCGAGAGTGTTTGATTAGATGGTTTGGATACAGTTTATTTTAGATTAGTTATTGTTTATAATAATTATTATATCTTCTATTTTAGGCTTAAAAAGTGGCGAGGGCAAGAGCAAAGAAATCAAGATTCAACTAAATATAATAAACATAAATTAATTGCAAGTGCATTTGCAAAAAGACATCAACTGAATAGTGACGATTTTACTGTTACTTTTTCAAAAGAAGATCCTTTTGGTAATTTATTCATAAACGGTTAAGCAAAAGTATATTATTACAAATTGTTTTGTAACTTTGGTTTGAACTTATTAATGATAATTTTATATAGGGTTGGTCTTTGGTCTAAATAGCAATTTAACAGACAATATTAGTTCTACTTGGGCTGCAGCATTGCCTAAATTTATACGACGTCGCGGTGCTCTGACTGGTGAAGAACAACTCTCAAAATCATCTTCATACATGCATTCTGATTCAGAGATTAGTTATAGTATGTGTAGAATTTCAGTAGAATCTCGAAGTCATTCATTAGACTCTACTATATCTGTGAAAGCATTTGAAATGACAAGAAAAGTACGTCGGTTTTCTAAGCATACTAAGAAAAAGCATAAACGTGGTAATAAGTTGGTATGTAAACTACCTTCATCTCAAAAAGGTAGTGTTACGTCACAGGATATAAATCAAGTAAGAAGTATTGTAAACAATTTTTTCTGTGTTTAATTTATATTTTGTTTACCTAGTTAATGTTGACGTTTCCTGCATTCCAAAATGTTTTTTCATTACCTGATGTCACATCTCAAGCAGCTCCTGTTCCTAATTTAGAAAGGAGAGAAGCATCAGCGGGCATTGACGAGGGACTTAAAGAGCAAATGAAAACTTTAAGAAATATTTCTATGTCATCTCTTAACTTAGTAAATAGTAAATTGCTACAAATGAGCCTTAAAGGATTAAGTGGTAGTGATCAATCAGAACAGTTTATGCTAGAAGACTACTTTAAATGTGATAATAATAGTTTGTACAAACCAGTAGCATTGATGGACAGTGATGATGGACAGAAATTATCTGACAAAACTGACTCTGATTGAAGTCATGGATGTATTTTTTCCTAAATTAATTAGGAATATAGTTCCTAAATTGAACGAGACTGATTGTCATTAACTATGTGCTCAATATTTATTGCTTTTGTACCATTGAAGTAACAATTTTCAGAATTGATTACAATTTGTATTAAGATTTTGTATAAAATTGATGGGACATAATAACTTGGCACATTTATTTTTATACTACCATTTATAACTACCCCCCCCCCAATTTTAAATACCTTTAAAATTATAGGTTGTAGTGATTTTTATACCTAAGTTAATAATTGAACTTTTAAATTGTTACTAAAAATTATGGTTATTTAAGTTATAATAATTGATTTTAAAATAGTTTTGTTCAAAAATGTTTGCTATATTATTGGCTACTTGATTTTATTAACACATTGTAAATATGTGGCTTGTATTTGGTATACATAAATTTGTTTTATTATAAACTTTGATTTGAAGTTAAAATGATAAATGGGTTTTACAAAATGATGTTTGTATTTTAGTGTCTAGACTGGTGAATAACTTCTTTATCACTGGACAACATTTTTCTTGTAGCAGGTCTAGAGATGAGATATTGTACCCTAAAGATACTTTACATGGTCAAAAATTGAAAAATCAAACCTATCCCTTCTCTTTTGAAATAGAGAAAAATATTTAATGTACACATAAAATAACGGCATTATAACTTTTTTGAAAAATAGCCTAATTATTCTTGAATTTGTATCAGGTTGTCCTTAGATATTGAATTATTGATAAACAGTGAAACTAACAAACGAACAGTACATTATAGATTCGTATTGCTTTGAGTGTAATCATTCGGTTATAATAATAATTCTTGAAACTGCGACCTACCCAAACCAAATATGTGGGTTACGTATTGTCCATTCTGTGCTAGATTTTAATTATTTTTTTTCAATATTAATAAGTATATTAAAAACGGGGGAAACGCGCTCTGCGTTATAGTGGTCTATTCAGTAAATGTTTTTGCCTTGTGTTAAGCGGGCAACTGAAAACGATGGTATTGACTGACCTTATCTTCTAAGACCGTGCATTGAATGGTCAATTTCATGATGTAATTTATTTCATTTTAATAAATCTTACCATTTATTTTAAAAAAAAATTCTGGAAAAACGGCTTTTTACACGACCCTCTCCCCCCCCCCTTAACATATTTAATACAGTCGAAGATATTGAAGATAAACTAAACAATAAATAGACTTTTATTATAAAATACAATCATACATAACCAAGTCTTATTATAATAATATGTAAAAAAAGCCCTAATAGCTTCATATAAAAGTCGGGCGAATGGTGGCGCTATCTACATGACAAAATTGTACTACCAAAATACCGTAATTTCGAGCACCACTATTTTGGTTGGAGTGGAGTCACTTTATCTCTACATCGTGGATTTACAGCCGTTGATGAAATATCACAAAAAATTATGGAGGAATCGGGAACATATCAATATAATATTTAAAGAATTGGTAACGGAAATGGAATAATATTCTTATCTCATTGACCAAACCTGTTATTATATAATGACTATTTTATAGGTATGAATAAGATAAATAAATACTAAATACTTCATAATGTCCATATATTTTTATTTAGATCTTAGTGGGGTAAAAGTGTGATCTACTATCTAGTCTATTTCATTTGATTTACGGAGTCTGAGTTGAGAAATTAGAGAAATAGAACTTGATTAGGTATCATCCATTTATTTCGTTTTTAAATGTTTTAATTTAGCACAGATAGTATTTATATTTATTTTTAAATACTTTTATAGTGGACATAAGTTATGGTGTTAGATTTAAATCAAATCCCAGCCGTACCGGCCAAAACTGCTTTTGTCATACATTTAATACTCATTACTTGGTAAGTTTTACGAGTGTGTAATCGTCTCATATTATTGTTTGGAGGAAAAAGACATTTTCTATTTTACAGGGGCGTACAAGGCCGATGGAGTCCAGACTCTTATCTGTTTTATAATGTCATTTACATGGGATGTTTTTTATGGGCGATGCATAATACAGAATCGGATAAACCAGCACAACTAGTATGTGAATTTCTCTGTTTCTATGCTATAATTTTATATACCTAAAACGGTTTCGTAGATAATGAGGTTCTAGTATTTCTGTGTAAAATTGAGTTTCTGCACATGTTTTCTTTTACTGATAACTAGATGGCATAAGTTCAGCTTATTAAGAAATTGAGTTAAGTATTCTAATATATATTGAATAGCAAACTTCTTACTATTGTGTACAAATATTTGTCAACAGAGACTCATAAGGAACAAACCTATTTAAGCGCCCAGCAATTTTTTTTTCACTGATAGTATTTGTAGACTTTTCTGGTCATGCTTTTTAGTTTTTAAGTTATAGCCATAAAATGTTTAAGAATTAGGCAGAGTGTCCGGAAAATGCAGCGGATGGCGATTAAAACAAATACTGCTGATTTCTCGCATTCCCTCGTCCTGTGTTATTTTTTTTTTAATTCCTCGAGAGGAATTAAGTATTTATCATAACCACCGCATTTTTGCGCCACATGCACTAATAATTTTCATAGGTTATTTTTGAGAGTTTACTCTAAAACTAAGTGCGCATTACTAGATTTTTACCATTAATTTTTTATGTTTACCAAATAAGCACAACTTGTATGTTAGTGAAAAAGGACAAGTTTTATTGTATTATAGATTACATATAAGGTGCTAGACCTTTTAAATCAAAGCTTAATTTCATTGATGCCATCATAACTTAAAAAAATTAGTGTAACAAACAATACATAGATTAAAACATCGAAGCTATTTTTATGTATTTTATATTTAACAATTTTACTATTAATCATGTATAATAAAATTATACATGAGATTGATGTGGTACAGTGGTTACTTCAGGTAGCGCTTGGCACCTGAGATTAGACTGCGTCCATAGTTGCTTGATCTTGGTTGGGTGACCATCGAGGATTAATTACGACTCATTATATGACATTTTCACACGTTTATTATGTTACCATACTTTTTAATTATATCTCATATTTCAGACGTAAGAGATCAAATAAATATTAAAGAAAAACATATTATGTGAAATGAATTTATGTCATAGTACCTAACATATGAGTAATACATACCTGCTGATATCAACTACGCTTATATTATAGATAGGAAAAATAAGAGAATTTGAGTACATTTTGTACAATAAATATGTAAACTTAATTTTGTTGGTTTTTATAATTTAATAAATGTATGATCTAAAATAGATATAATGATGTATACATTTTAAAGTGCATAATACTTATATATTATTGTATTTTATTATAGACAATTTCAGTAAATCTAGCAGCAGTATGTTTAGACATAATGACTGTGTTTTGTTTTTTGCCAAATTTCTGTAAGTATTTATATTATATGAATGAAATATATTATTTAGTTAACAAACTAATAGATTATGTTGATGAGGGAAAATGACTAAATAAAATATAATAAGAAAAATTAAAATAACATGACTTTATTATATGACAAATATTTTATAATGTTAAGTAGCTTTAGGTGAAATGTTCAGTGTTATAAGTGCTATGGGAAATCTGGTTCTACGTTTTGTAACATTATCAATTCTCAGTCGCATGTGCATCGAAAGTAGCAATGGAGCAAATGATGGCATTCCACCTTCTCTGCAAAATTTTATTAGTAGGAGTAGTTATTAAGAAAAATTTGATTGTTTATATTTTATTCTAATATATAAATTATGCATTAAAGGTAGAGGAACTGCCAATCCACAGTCATATGAAGACATAGACCAACCACAAGTTCTTCCACAACAGCAAACTCAAAGCAATGCTCCATTTTTTACACCATACCGTTAAAAACAAAATTTTATTTATTATTACAAATTAACAAGTAATATTTGTTTTTTCACTGTTGTAAATTACAGGAATTAATCTTTTTTGTGTGTCATATTTAACTACCATATTTTGTTTTATATAAATATATTTATTTAAATAATAAGAATGTATAATTATATATTTTCATACTCAACTTATTATATTAAATTTATTTTAAACAATTTAAAAAAAATGATTTATTAGATACATATTTTTAAAATAAATATCCTGAAAACTGCATAAAAAAGTACACAACTCCAACCCTTACAAAAGCTGAAATAGTTTGGGCATGATTAATTTCAGCCATTTTAAAAGCAATTGATGGAAATTTTTGACAATTTCTTTGTAAATATGTAATGTGTAAAAAACTTGTTCAAGCTTTGGAGTTTTTTTTATTTCAAGGGATAAAACAATATTTTTTTCAACTTTGGATTACTAAATCATCATTTAGTTTTATATTATCTGATTAACAGAGGTTAGGTTAAGATAAAGGTTTTGATAATTAGAACAAATAGATTAAATAAACAAAATAAGTTTTACTTTAAAAAATAAACTTTCTTTTAGCTGCATGAAAGCTAAAAAAGCTACATTTTATTATAGCACCACAATATTTTGAAAAACTTAAAACTACACATTTTAGAAACTTTTATTTTTGATCACAAATGTGCTTGCCAGCCATGGAATAGTAGTGACAAATTTTTAGGATCTCTTGCTTCTTGTATAAGTCTGTTGACTTGTCCACTAACGCTGCTTGTACTTCCAATATCTTCTATTCCGCATAACTTCACACGCACTTTGTTTAAAGATCTTTCTGCTAACTTGTTTACTTCATCAGCTTTTTAAAATTATATTACAATATTTTTTATTAATAAGTTATATAGTATTATTTTTATAATACTGTTTGTAGTATTATTAGTACTTAGTTACTACACTTACGGTTCTTCAAGTTTGAAACGATTGAGTGATCTTGTATTTTAGCTGCTTTTTCTGTAGTCAGTGTCCATTGATAACATGGATCATACAACAACACTTCAATTACAGTAACTATAACTTCTTGATTTTGTCTTAAGACCGACATTGTTTTCTCACAACATCTATACATAGGTATAAAAAAAAATGAGAAATCACATTTTGAAAAAATAATAAAAATGTATACTTTCGGAAAGTTCCTTCAATGCCACAAATACCCATGCCATCTTCTATATCTCTTGTCAGCCTAAAAGGCACAGTTTCTGGAGTATTTAATATAGAACCTTGATCAAATGCTATACCTATACAATAATATTAAAATGTCATAAACTGTTGTTTCAAAAAAAAAAGGTTAATAATATTCATTACCAAAATCAATGTGAATGAGTTCAGCTGTTTTATCATCAATTAATATATTTTGTACATGTCGATCACCTAATCCTAATATATATCCAACCATAGATGTAGTAGCGACACTAAACATAATTTTGATGGTAATATATGTTAGACTATAGTGTTATTAAATTTCAAATAATTATAACAGTACCTGTGAATATATGCTTGTCGTCTTTCAAACCAAATAGAGGGATACATAAATTTTTCAAAGAAAAAGTAACGAAATACTGGTTTAAAATTTTTGCACACTGCTAAATATTTTTTCTCTCTAGCAAAATTACTGTCTTTACGTGAGCTCTATTAGATACAAATAAAAAAAGTTATACAATTTAATACCAAATGTACAAAATACAAAATTGTATTTTATTTAATATATTCACAGCCATCTAAAAATTACAAAATAAGTAATATTGTAGATATAATAAGCATAAATAAACATTGTATATTATACCCAAATCTTAATTTTAGATACAAAATACATTTGTTATACAGTTTAGTATAAAACTGAACTAAGCAAAAAACCAAACAATTCAATGAAATAATGACAAATAATGCTAGAATTCTTTCTTTTATACTATACTTGAGAGAAATAAATACCCTCCATGTTATTGTACAAGCAGTGTGTGTGTGGGGAGAAATTAATGGAATTCGCAGGACGTCCCTACTATACTTACAGAACACCGTCGGTTAGAATAATATGGTATACAATATTGATCGTGTTCAAGACTAAAACGCGGTTCTGTTGGACAGGAAACAGCGTCAGGAATAATACCATTTCGGGTGTATCCAGTTACCAACACCGAACGATGGAGTCGATGAAATTTTATAAAAATTAATTGGACGTTTGTAACATGCTTAGCAAAGGAGTGAGAATCCCATGGGACACACGGTCCACCGTCTTGAATTATAGTAATACACGTATATCTATGTTTTCCAGGGAAGGCCTAGATTAGAATTCAATACTGCCAGTGCAGAGTGATGACCACTGATGCATTTGTTTAAAATTATAGCCAGTTGTGACCGATACATACTCCACAAGATGTGTACAAAACAATAATGTTTTTAAAAATATCGATCGTTAAACCATGCTTTTCAGACATTTACACATTTTTTGAAAACCTCAGAATGCTAGCAAATTATCATTTAACTGCAATTTTCAGCATTTATGCGTTAATTTTATTACAAATTAGCCACACAGGCCACACAGAAACCAAAATAATAAGTAATGGCTTGAGATTATTTAGGTCGTGGTCCGAAGATGGTTGTATTTCAACTAGCCAAACAGACACGTTACAATTTAGCAGAGGCGCCGGGCACCAAATTGTAACGAGCCTACTTGGCTAGCTGGCTAGAATAAACAGAGCGGTCGCCGATAGGACTAAATAAACGGATCTCTAAAAGAGAACGGGTGGTTAGCCTGTGTCTATGCTTAAATAAACTAAAAGTCCCTTTTTTTTTATATATCGCCCGAGAGGCTAAACGGGCGGTCATACCTTTATATGATATAACTCTAAAGTATACAACTATAAAGATGTATTTACAGGATAAACTAAACATATGTGTATATATATATATATATATATAATACACTTCTACTTGGGTCAGCTGGTCCTGGAGAAGCGGAGTTGAGCGAACACACACAATAAAATATGGAAATTGTAAGGCGATATAGCATGACTATAGAATAAGATTATATTATGGTATTTAGTAGTTGATCACGGACTGGTGGTGGCAAGGTCTCAACTGATTAGATGCGACGGCACCTAAGGGCATTGTGTGTGTCCACTGTCTTCCCTACCTATTGTCTAATTGACAAGTGCTTAGTAAAATTATTTAGGGCGAGTGGTAACGGGTGGCTGAATGTATGCGTTACACTTCTCTCATGGGCCGAAGTATATTTACGTTATAACTAACAAATATTTTAGTATTATTTCATAAATTATTTAGTTATACAGTTATTACAGAAATACGTAAACAAACTATATATGATATATACATAATTATTTATTTGTTTAATATTTACTTGAATAATACTTCTTGCTTCTCCCGGTGGGATGTCGTCAGGTCTATATTTTTGATGAGCACCTGGTTTTGAGTTTCTACCAATTAAATAATCACCAAGAGACATTGTATCCGTACACCATTCAGCTATACCACTTTGTTGTGAACAAGGTACAACCTAGAGTACCAGGATTAGTGATTACAAAAACTGTTGACAATAGAATATTTTCCTAACAGCGCAACTGATTTACTTTGTATGTTCTAATTGTTAATTTTCTCTGTGATGTTGATTTGTTTGCTTTAAGAAGTCTGTTCATCAAGACAAATACTTGTTGCATAATTGCATCTTGGCGCATGTCTTCATTCCCCTAAAATAACTCTACATATTTTAAAAAACAAAATAATTTAAAAAAAAAAAATTGTTTTTATACTTTTAACAAAAGTGGTCTAGTTTTGCCATCAGAACATATACATTCTATTTTTTTGGGTTGATGTATACCGCCAGCATTCATAAACGAGTTTTTAAAATTGACAACACCTAATAATAATAAAACAGCTTGATACAATTAATATATTAAAAAACAATACATTGTATTTTAAGTGTCTCATGTAAGCAGTGGCGTAACTAGATGTTTTGGCACCTAAGGTATAACTAAAATAATATTATGATACCCTGCTTGTGCCCCTTAGAATTTATAACACTGTTTTTGAAAAAGACTATAGTGAAATCACTTGCACTTTATTTTTCTAAACATAATTTTCATACCTAAACTTACATACCAGGTACATTAGTGATTTTATATTCATTTTTATCAATATCATGATTACCATCCTTAATAGACAGATTCATAGAAGTAAAAAAAAACAGTTTGTATGAGTGTACATTTGTGTATTCAGACATACCAAAATATTTGTATGCGTGTGATCACCGTAGCACCTTAGTTTGTGATAAATGAGTCTCTAAAGTGCGACTTTAATGTTCAATCAGAGTTAGATAATACAAGACCTTTTTATAAATTGTATCTTATTATTTACAAATTCCATAAAATAAGTTTTGGTGTTGAAAACTAATATTTTTTAATGAAACAGTTACTTTCATGTTAGTTTTCACATTTTTTAAAGAGCTGTAACTTTTTTGTTTGATAATTTTACAGAGAAAAACAGCGCGATGTCCTTGAAAATGTTCTCCTCATTAAATTTTCTCATTTGTACTAAAACTTTAATTTCTACCTAAACGCCACATATAAAATTCTATGTAACATAATTTTGCTAAATTGCCAGTTTGTTAAACTGAGACAGTAAATGTGGCGTCTTTTTAATGTAGGAACAATAAATATGAAGTCGTTAAAAAAAAGTGCTCTTTTGTCTGGTGCCCTGCTGTAAGTACCCACAACATACCCCCTAAATGCGCCACTGAATGTAAAATAGAATAAAATCATTCGAGACATGTTGTGAAAAAAACAAACTTAAAACCTATATAGGTATTATTTGTATGAACCATAACAATGAGATGCACTTTTAAGGTTAAAATTACCTTCTAAAGTTTAGAACAAATAAAAAATGAAAATGTTTAAAAATAGACTAGTTGGGACAATTTATTTATAATCTATGATTATATATAAACATTGATTTATAATTTAATATATACTAAATTTAGTTTATTATATTATTACAATAAGCTAAATTTACTTACTAATAATAATTGGATATTGTCCATTTTTATTTAATGGCAGTGTAACAGCAGGACATAGTGCATTACAATTTTTAATTTTCATAAGAGCTACATTATTGGGAATTTCAGCTTCTAAAAACCAAAAAAAAACAAAGTAGCAAATGTTGTTTTTCAAAACAGGTATTACAGTTTAAGATCTTACTTTCACCAGGAGAGCTTGCCAATTTAGTGTATGCTAAATTTATTAAAGCTTCATATAATGTCTCAATAGCAGTTACTAGATAACTAATATCTGAGTCATGTTTCCAATTAGACATTAGCAGTTTTGCAGCATTTATCCTAGGCTAATTTTCCAAAGAGAATAATAATTTATTAGAAATGCTTAGCACACAGAGAATATCACATCATATATCAACAAAAAAAATACTTCATCTACAGATTCTTGTCCTTCAATATACTTTTGATCTATACATGAATTGGCAACAGCATAAACAATTGGAATTGTCTGGTGAGGGTGTTCTTTAGCACAGCGATCTATAAAACAAAACAAAAATTATAACATACATATTACGATATATATAATTATTATTTTGTATCATATAAGGATTACTTATAAGCCTTTCTATTGTAATATGAAACTGATGTTCGAGATTGGTAGATAAATGAGCAACTAGTTGAGGAAGTATCGAAACAAACATATATGATGGGCTTTTCTCAAATCCCTGATTCACCATTAAGTTTATTTCAGGACTATCTTTGTTTTCCAACCATAATGATAAAATCCTGTAGATTGGCAGTTCACCCTCGCTCTCTAATGCGATTAAACGTAAATAGTTTCTACAGACAAATAAAAATAACTATGCAATAATATAGTAACAATTAACATGATAAAATAATCAAGAAACATTATTTTTTTTTGTTTTTATCAATATTTAATTGACTTTATATTGCAAATTATATAATATTTATTGTTTTGGTAATAAATATAACCATTTACAAATTATTAATATTGGCAGGTGGGTGGCTGAGGGAGATAATACAGTAGTGTAATACCGCAGTTGCTAGTTTTAAGTGTTAGGTCAGCAGCTAGCTGTAAAAACTCCTAAAAAACTGCAAAATCTGTGTATTTTGAAAAGGTAGGAATATAGGGGGGGGGGCACATGTAAATATAAAATAAATGACCCTCCCACCACTTCCTCGGCGCTTTAAAGAAAATGTTTTGTGAAAATTATAAAGGATGGCCAATTTGCCATACACGCGAGTGGATGAAGGTTAAGATTTCTGTTTTTTTTTTAAATCAATATTTTTGGTCAAATTTTTTTTGGCAATGTTGTGTTTATTGGTCCTCATTATTTCAAAATATGCATGTTAAATGAAAAAAAACTATGGAAATTATAAAAAATCACGGACGGCCAAATTACCACAGTCGCGAGCAGTAGTGTTACTTTAGAAAGCGCGAGCGGATAAAGATTAGTACCAATACTCTTTTTTTTTAATAATTAATAAGTGATTATGTCTTATAATTAAATACTGAGTGATATCTTTTTAAGTAATTATGAACAAATATATATACAATACAGTAAATATATTTTATTTCTTATTTAATTTTTAATTTTATAAGCTTGATATTTATTCTGTTATTAAATTTCAACTGTGTGTTTCTATTATAAAATATGATAGTATACATAATTTATTTAATATTTAACTTTTTTTTTAATTTCAAGACTTGAATGAATTATTTATTTTTAAGTTTAGCCATTTATTCCAGGAACACTATGTGAATATAAATATTTTAACTTCCATTCATACCAATTACTAGGATATGAGCTTGTTACTAATAAAAAAAAAAAACAGTTATTTATAATCGACATATTACCGTAGTGCAAGTTTTAAATAATTCATCCGTTCTAAGTTTGTGTTGCTTATATCACTTTCATCTATACAGCTTTGATTCATTAGCAAAGCACCAGCTTTAAGTTTTTCATTATTTTTAGTGGATTTAGCCACATTAATTAAAGCTCTAGCTTTTTCTTTAACTTCTTCTACTTCATGTAATCTCTTTTCTAGATTTTCAGTTTTTATATACTTTGATACTTGTTGATATAATGTATCAGTATATCTGGATAAACGTTTATGTGCATCTGATAATACTTTTTTGCACTCAAGCCCAAATTCTTCTTGTTGATCCAATTCAAAATTAAGTAATTTAATAGCCTATAAAACAAACAAAGATAATAAAGAAACATAGTTAACTACAATTTGGTTTAGTTTAAAATTTGAATAATTACAACTATTTGAATTGTAGAACATAAATATTTTTATTGTACTCGGTAAACAATCTTGAGATTGTAGATAGAAGGGGGGGGGGGAGAGCTAAAGGAAAATTTTAGAAAGACCCTTTATTTAAGATTATGTTTTAAATTTAAATTATAAAATTTGAATAATTACAATTTTTGAAAAGTTATTCAACTATACACCTTTTGTCGAGTAAATATAGAAATAAAACAAAAATACAGAAATAAAAACACATTACTATCGTATGTGCAGACAGAAGTAATGCATTTTTGTTTCAGAGTAATCATTTTCTCTCGCCAAACAAAGAATAAATATTACCTTTTCGAAGTATCTTTTTATTATATTTGAAATATTTTCAGATTTTGTTTCTTCAATCCAAGAGCCATAAAGTTGTAAGGCTAAAGAGTTTAAAAATGGGTATTCATAGTTTTCTAGTTCTTCAACAACATATTTTAATAGTACACTGAAAATACAAATATGTTAATTAATAAAACAATTAATTATGATATTTTAAAACTAATAACCATAAAAAAAATGTATTTTAAAAGAATAATACATTATCAGGCCAAAAAAACTGTGGTAAAAGAACAAAAAAAAAAAAGAAGCAAATTCCTAAACACAATTTTTTATATTGTATAGTTTCTTCGATGTAAGATCTAAAAATATTGGTTGTATAATTTTTTTCTTGCAGACTACTTATTTCCTTGAGTAGCATTTTGATCGATCAAAAATTGTATACAATTAGCATTTATAAAAAATTAGCTGGTTTTTTAACTTTGAGACAAATATGATTTGGAACATTTGTTAGGCATGCCCCTTATCGTTAATAGCTTTAAGCCAACATTTTGCCCTTCCTCCACGAGGGAAGTTATTTTATTATTTTTAGTTTTTAGGAGCAATTGTAGGATCAAAGAGCAACTGAATGTTTGACTAAAAAAAATATGTATACAAAATGCCAAATAAAACTTCTAAGCGTCATAATAATTTATTCAATTGTCATTTAGAAATTATTAGTAAAAATACCATATTAGCTAAGCTGTTTTTCTGTGGAAAATAGTGAAAATCACATTTTAACAGCAATATTTATAATATTTGTTTCATGTTCTATTTATAAGCAAATGTAATATGTATTTCTTATATTATCTTTATTGGTACAAGTAGTTTAGTGGTTTACTCACAATTGTTATGTTAGTGTTAAATATTTGTTTTAAAAAGTTTTTTGAAGTTTAAAAATTGAAGTACTCACTTTAATAATTAATCAAGTTTTATACTTTTAAATACAAATTTAACAACATTTTTAGTTATACCGTGCTATGTGGCAATCATTTCTTAGCCACAAAAGCCTTGCTTCTTCTACTTTGGCCCATAGAGTTGTGTGTATTTGATAGTTTTGTAAAGACACAATGGTTGCTAAATGTCTACCAGCTTCTTGAAGTCTGTCATCTTCACGTGCAAGTTCTGCTATATTTATTCGCAATATACCAGATTTATCATCACCATTAAAATCTAGAAGGACGGAGCGCTGTATGAGAATTTGATTGGAATGCACAAAATCATTTGTCCTAAGTGCTGTTCGATTACGCCAATTTAGAGATAAAGTACTTTTGTCTTTTATCATGATGTAGTCTTCAAGATCCTAGAAAACATTAATTTATAGATGAATTATTATTATACGTTGTTAATAATTACAAAAATAAAGGAATGATATAATACTAGATCTCTTTGTTTATTTAATTTGTTTAAATATTTGGTCTCTATAGTTGAATATGTTAGAGACATAAGTAAATTAATACTACAAATAAAAAAGGCTTATTTTTTGAAATATTTATTATATTATTAAAATTTACTTTTATTTGATAAATATCATGGAAGAAGTCGAAATGACAAAGTATGATAAATATACAAAACGGTGATTGAAATAATAATAACAAATTAGTGAAGTATCAAGTGTTTTAGACGCGGCTATTTACTAATCTACAACTAAAAGCATATATTTACCTCAAGCATTTTTAATTTCACGAGTGGAACATAGATAGTTGCTGTTGATTCTAAACTGGCGCAAGCTAGAGATTCAACTACTGCCAGCCGAGCTTTATTTATGAGTGGAATAACTCCTTGTTGATTTTTCTGGTAGATGCATTGCATTGCGTGATAGTGCAATGCTTCAAAAGAACTATCTCCTCTATCTGGCAAATTCCAATTGCCAAGCTGCCAGCAACATTCATATTTTGGACTATCACTTTGTACAGTTAGTGAGTGTGCTATGTTTTGCAGTCCAGAATTAGTAAGAGCACTCAAATAATCTAAAATAATAATATAAAATGACTATTTTACAACAGAAAAATAACCAAATATGTACATCTAAATGTATTAATGTGTACAATATACATTAATTTGTATGTTATATTTATATGTTTATACATAGCTCATACATGTATCATTACACTTAATACAATTAATTACAATTACTTACAATTCAAAAATTAAATAATAATTAATGTTAAAATATCTATTAATAATGTATACCTTGGTTTACTGTTCTTGAACAAAGTTGTAAATCACAACTTTCCATAACCCGATCCCATTTTCCGAGGAGCTGATAATAATGTGTACGAGAAGGAAGAGTGAGAAGATGAGCTGAACCACATCCTTCAATAGCATCACAATCACCAATATTTGTGTACGCCTAATTACAATTTCTATTATATATGATACACCACATAAAAATAAAAACTATTGTAAAGAATATTTCACTAAATTTATCTTACTTCATTAAGAATAACTTGCAGCAAGAGACCATCTTTAGGTAATTTTTCAGTGATTACATCTACAGGGTTGAATGACATGGTCCAACGATCTATGCTGATATTTCTAATAAAAATTTAGTATTATTATAATTATAATAATAATATGCATTTCATTTTTTTAATTTGTATTAGCAAATTGTTATTAAAAACCTTATTTAAAATATTTGGTTAATTATAAGATAGTTTACAAATGTAAAAATTAAAACATAAAACATATATAACATTTGTATGTAATTACTTACTCTGTTTCACACCAAATTTCTAAGTATAATATAGATGTGAAGTATGCAGAACAAAACTGTGCAGCCTGGGCCACATATAGATAATTGACATCTAATATATTTCTAAAAAAAGAAAATTGAAATATGATAATGATATTATTAACAAATAATGTAGGAACAAACACATTGCAACTTACTGTAGAAAATTGTTTTGTTGTAGTCTGACAAAATTGATTACATTTAAAATACATTGTACAGCTGATCTATTCCAGTAAATGTTATTTTCATTTTTGGCAACTAAAAATAAAATAGGTATAACACTTTTATTTATTAAACTATAAATTTACAACATGGTCAACACCATTCAGGATTTTGACTTATTTGATAGGCATGTATTAATCATAAATTCAAGCCTTATTGTTGTACTTTTTGAAAAGAGGCTTGAATTAATTAGGATTAATTGATGCCTATCAAATAAGTAAAAATCCTGCATGGGGTTATACATACAGTACATAATCTGCATAGAATTACCATTGCAACATCCATTAGTCATTACATTTCTTATTTCATAGTGCTTAATGAAGAAGTTATTCAAGTGTTTACTGAATACAGCCCTTGTTTGAATATTGCATTTTAAAATAAATAGAACTAGATGTGGTAAAATTTGTTCACAAAAAATTGGCTAAAAGTATGTTTATATTTAATTTTTTCAACATTTAATAATTTATTATATAATATTTTATACTCGATTTAATTACTTTATGTTCAGCAATTGGCAATAGGCTCTGACAATAGCCTTCGAAGGTACTAAGAAGGGCTTTTGTTATACGTGTAATCCAAGTATCAAATGAAGTTGAAACTATACCAGATGGGCACCAAATATTATTTTCATCAACATTTTTATTGAATTCTTCAAAGCTAAAGTTATTAGGAACATCTTCTGTTGTTTGAGTGTAATTAAATGGATATAAGCGACTTGCACCTATTTCCTCTAATAAAAAAATACTTGATGAACAAAACAAGAATCTTTATTTCTTATTTTATTTTCATTACCATACAAAGAACATCTTTCTTGAGTAGCCATAATTTTAATCAATGACTTGTTGCTTGCTTCCATAACAGAAATGTTACCGTCACTTAAATAATTTAATAACAACTCAACAATATGCTTAAGAAATGAGTTTTCTGGATTAGTATTTGGTTTAGGTTTAAATATTTCAGGTTCTGGTTGCAATATAAGTGTTGTTAACTCAGAGGGACCCAATATTCCAAGACAACTGGCTGCTAAAATTTTAATCTACAAAAAAAACAATTTGAGATTTTGAGTTAAAGCTGAGCTGTAGAAGCATGATATTGTTTTGGTTAGGGAGGAGAGGTGAATGGTGGGATGGAAAGGTGAAGGAACGGAGGAGAAGTGGGATTAAGCGTGACAAAAAAATGTTTCCTAAAAAAATCTCATACATCTTTTTGGTTACCTTCCAGCTTTAAAACATAATCATGTTAAAAAGGAATATGATTATATGATATAATAAAAATAAAACAAGTGAACATTTTGGAGCTTGAACAAGGATCGAATTTTGGTTTCCTGCTTGTCAGACTACTAATATTAAACCTGGGGCCTTACTTTTTACTAGCATTTTTGCACGTTTTAAACTGTTGCTAAATTTAATAATATATATAAAGTAATGATTGAAATTTGAAATATTAACCTTACCTCATGGTCAGCGTCAAACGAATATTGAATAAGTGAGCAAATAAGACAATGCAAGACACTTTGAGCACAGTCTTCTGAAAATCCCCTCATTTCATGTAGTTCTCTGTACATAAGTTGTAACTCATCTTCAGAAGCTTTTAGCTTTAAATTAATACAATATAAATTATTATAAAATTAAATATATGTAAGTTCCTTAATTAATTACTTTGTGCTTTAATAGTTTTAAGCTATGAATTGGATCAATATTTTCTTTTTTTTTAGAAAGAAAATCAGTAAGAGCTTTATGCAAACTACATATATTATTTGGATTCGTAGTAGTAATAGTGTTTGTGTTAAAGCCATTTAATTCTCGAAGAACATTTAAAATTTTAAACGATATTTTTCCAATAGCCGACGGTTTATTTGCATTATTTCTCAAATTACATGATAAAAGTTGATTAATATAAATATTCTTCTCATTTAATAACACTCGTTGTTGACTTATTACAAGCCACTCTAAATATTCAAAAACAAAATGTTGAATTTCAGAATAATTTTGATTTGTTAAAACTACTATTGCTTGAATTGATTGGTAAACAAGAAAAGACAAAAAGTTATTTAATTCATTGTCCTTTGTTAGTAGATCAATTAGAAGTTTCATAAATTGTGTATACTGGAAAAATGACTGGAATCTGCGAAAAGAAAAATTTCGTGCAACTAGTAAATAATTTATAAGTATAGTATGTGGTTTATTTAACACGTTCACTTCCGTATGTAAATCTCCGAACAGGCGCCAGTAGCCGTGATTTCCGATAAAATTTTGCTCGCGCTGTTCTGCGATCTCGTGATAAAAAATTAAACCAATCGCATAAATTTAAGTATAGACACATACTTCATAGCCGATGTAAAAAAAATGGTCGTTCCCGATGGCCGAATCATTTATAAACACATTTCTAGATATGTACCTAGTAACGATCACGGATCGGTGGGCAGCACCAGTGCCCGACTACTGCTGCCGATTAGAGATCAGTAGCGGAGGTGAACATGTTAATAAATCTTTAAATATTACCTTAAATCTTTTGATGTTCTTTTGTAAATATTAACATACAATGTATGGACAATCGTCTGGATAAGTTTAGGTTGTCTTTTTGACATGATTATCAAAAATGGAATGTTATTTTTAACATATGTTATCTACAATAAAGTTTATAATATGTTTATTATAAATTAACATAATAAATAGTGTATCTAAAAAATTAATTTTAATACTTGAAAATAGTCAAAAATGCTTAATAATTGTTTTTTGTCAATTTGCATCGGACAGTCTGTTGGTTCATTAGTGACAACCATTTTAATGCATTGTAATAGAATATTTGAGAACTGCATTTTGATTAGTTCATTAAAAAGTAGTTGGCCTAAATGATTTTCGACGAAAAATTGTATTTTTTCATAATCTATGCTAGTTTTATCTCCTGTTTTAATAGCCATTAAATGAGCATATATTACTGAAAAATGTTCCTGAAATTGTTTAAAAATTGTTAACCATTTATCTAATAAAAAAATAAGTATCATAATATATGTACCACATATATACATCATTACATGACAAACACAGATATTAATATTAAAAAAAAATAAGTGATAGATACATAATGACCCTGTAAAAATAATTATGGCTTTCAACTTATATTGTAAGACTAAAATTGTTAAGTTACTTATACTCACTTTTATTTTGTCATCTAGCATGTTTAAACAGTTTAATGATGCAATATCATTTCTAACAATGAAAATAGGCATAATATTGTACAAGTATTTATCATAAAACTTGTCTAAAGTTGTGCAGTTAAACAATACAAACGGAAATTCCTGAAATATTCAAATAACAGCGATAAAACAGTTAATTAAATATAATAAAGTAAAAATTACCTTTAGACTAGAATATTTAGAATGCCATTCCCACAGCAAATAATTTAAATAATCTTCTAACAAATCTAAATAACATTTTATTTTTAACTCTGTTTCTATCCCTTCAAATACACTGTAGACTAAATCTATAATTATAAATAATAATAATTCATTAGTTTATTAAAATTGAGATCGACAAGTCAAATAAGTAATCTCTTCCAAAATTCTCTACCTATCATTATTATTTGTTTAATTAATATCAAGAATCTCCTTCGATTCTAGGTGTCTTTATCTACATCCACTTACTTGATCTTTAGTCTAACTCTACTTCTAATTGCAGGGCCGGTGCAAGGTACAAGCAACATCAGTTTATTTCCTAGAGTGGCATTTTACAAAGGCAGCCATTTTTTTTACAAATTGAAAATTGTTATGAATTAATAATTGGGAAGGCCGCAAAATTGGAGTTTGCCCTATATTGAAATATTGTCTAGTCTTGTCTGGCCCTATCTAAATGCCTATACATGCATGACGACCCTTTATCGAAAATCTTACCCTTTGCTATCCCAAAAAAACATGAACATAATGATTATAAAACAAAATCCACAACGTCTGAATCTGATAACCCTCAAACCGAAGTCCAATACCATTGGTAGTAGAAACCACTCTACTTCTCAAATTTGAAAACTTATAATAATATTTTTATAAAATTATTATTTAATTATTTACTTAAACTTAGATTTTTGCTATTAACAGTATGTAGAATCTCAAACAGACAACGTTTCCTATATGTATTGCTTGAAACTATTAATGCTTGCATACACAGCATATATGTAGAAATCCGATTCATATATTCATCCTCCCGTTCATCTTCAGAAATATTACCCTGTATGAACAATTACATTTTTCAAGACCAAACTGACGTTTCAATTTATTTACGTATACAACAAATAAAGTATTACGTCTACAATGAACCCTTCTTGGAGATTTTCTAATATAATTTCAATCATCTCTTTGTAACTGATTTTGTAAGCTTTTGAATCATTTTCGTAGGCATCACATATTATGTATAAATATTTAATTACTGTAAGTCTAACCTAAATAAACAGAATGAACAGAATTAAGCAAAACAATTTATTAAGTTTGATTAAACATTTTACTTACTTCTAAGAATGAACTTTTTAAATAATTTAATATTGATTTAGGACTCAACGATTCTATATTTGCTGTAGACCAATTTGTACCAAAACTTCCATTGATTGGCTAAATATTACACAAATGAAAAGTATAGTTATAACTAAACACAAATACATCTGATTTTTTTAAACGAAAATTGTTATATGGTAATTAGTAGAAGTGTTCTTGATAAATATAAAGTTAAAAGGGTTTTTTTTTTTAAATATTTAACTACAAATTTTTAAGACCCCAAATAAAAACTTTTAGAAATTTATTTTCATTTTACTTTTTTTTTGCGTATGGCTTTAATGTTTGGGAGTAGGCCCGAAGGTCTAGTTCGGATGCCTGCTTGGCAGAATGGGCTGGTCACCCATAGGTTTCTGCAAAGTTTTTGGTGGGGGGATGGCAGCTCTTTTCCCTAGACAGTTATCTGCCCTGGGAGAGATGCTGACTGTGGCCGGATTCAAACTGGTGACAGTGCGCACATTGGAACCGCCGCCTTAGTCCACTCGGCCACTCCTTCCCACATTTATTTTACTATAATTTTTATTCAACCATTTAAAAAAAAAAATAATAGTTAAAAATATGATGTAAGATATACCAGCCACAAAAAAGTAAAACATGAAAAATTAAAATTAATTAATTAATTTTAATTAAATTAAGAATTTTAATTATTTATTAAAATGTTTATCGTAGGATTGCACAAGATGATCTGTCACTTCTTTCAACTTTCAGGGAAATACAACTTAATTGATACTAAAATTCTAAAATTTGTTTGTTATTTGATATTTCTATAAATATATTCCTTATAATACCAGTAATTTAAAACTGAACCAAAAATTAATTTTTTGAGGTGGGGGAGAAAACTAAAATTAACAAAAATTACACAGCAACTTTTATCTTCCTGCCACAGATATAAAGTAACAATAAATATGCTAGTGTTTGTATTTAACATTAATGTATAATAGTGTTAAAATATTATGTATACTGAAAATCATCTGTTGTTTACAAATGTTAAAAATATTCGATTTTCTTAGGAAATCTAATGCAGGCTAATTGGCGTAAGCACCAAAAACCCAAATTTTCCACGAGAGTGTTCAACTATGCATCATAGTGTCGCGAAAATGACAAGAAGTAAATTTCGATAAAATGATCGCTTACGCCAAATTGCCTGCAAACAGTCGTAGTATAGAATATCTTAGATGCTTACAAATGCAAAGTGACCAAGAAAATTGACAAAAGCACAAATCATTGTTGGGCCACATTTTTTACCAATTGATACTTTTTGTATAGACTGTATGATCATTAATAAATTACTGGTACACACTTTATTTGAGCTGTATTGGTTAATTCTAGTTACAGCACCTAAAAATAAAAAATTAAAACGTTTAAAAATGTAACTGAACACTAAATTTAAAACATACCCTGTAAAAGTTGTACTATCTTAATGAATCCATACTGGTGATTGCACCAATGTTTAGCAAGTTGTTTAATGAGTTTGTTTGTTTGAAGTAACATTTGTTCTGGTAAATTATTTATACTTAACACACCATGAATAAAATTTGATACCTTAAGTTAAATATTAAATAAAATACACATTGTTAAAAGATTTACTATTGTTTAAAATATTACAATTGTTTTATTAAAAAAGTAGTAAAATACTAATCTATATTAAAATGTAATTATTACTTTGTAAAAAGTGCAAGGCTGAGAAAATAAATGATCATCCAAGTTTTCAAATATATCAAGGAGATTTTTAAGAAATGATTTTTCATGATCAAAATTTGTACGACCTACAATAATACATATTTAAAGAGTAATTCAGTATGTGTAATGCTAATCACTTTTTATTTTACACTGTAAAAGTAATTTGTATTTATTATATTTAACAATTATATAAATATAGCATAAAATTTGCAATACTTTAGACTGGCACATTTGTATAAAAGACAAAAGTAGTTTACTTTAATACTTACATTCAACCAAACATACTTTTAACATAACTTTTGTGGCTTCTATACTCAATACTTGTTTTTTTGTGAGTAAATTGTAATCTAATACTTTAACAGTCTCTGTTGAATCTAATAATTTAATAATACAATTTATTGTATTTTCAAAATAGATTAAAACTTAATATATAAATAATAATAAAAGAATAAACATAATACCAAAAAATATCACATAAAACGTGAATAGTTTAAATAATTAAACTTTAAAAGAATAATAGATTTTACACAGTCTAATCACAAATTATGCCGGTGAAAAGCATAGAAATCTTGTGGTGTTTCTTTGTGATTACCGGCAAGTTTTCATGATGTTGACTATAGTCCCGATACTAATATGTTACTTATGTAGATGTTACTTTATTTAGAATGTTTTTCTAAATAAATTCCATACAGAAAAATGCATTTAACTAATTTAATTACCATTTATATCAGTCAAGCTATAAAGTTTTTTCATTATGTGTTTGTTTGAATTGTGATGTTTAATTTTATTTAATATTTCATTGTTAACAGAATTTAATCTTTCATAATATAAAGAACACATATTCACAAATTCCTTATTATCATTATCATTGAAATTCCATTCTTGTTCAGAAAATACACTGTTTAATCTTTCCAAACACTTTACTTTAAGTGGCCTAAAAAAAATGTATAAATATAAATACGTAAAATTATATATGTATATAAATATATATACATATATTACAATACAAATAATCTCACTCGAAAGATATAGGATTAATATCCAGCTGCATTAACTGATTTTCTACAAAGCACACAAAATTTGTATGAGTTAAAATCATTTCAAGGTATTTTATTGCTTTAGGATCCTCTTCAAATAACAACACTTCTTTGAAAAACTTTGTTAATTTTTGACATGTTAAATCATCAAATATTTGCTTTTCATCTAAAAATATGAATAATAATTGGCAATCACATTTTTTATTTTATATAAACACCATTTTATTGTCATTCATAATCAGGGGTTCGGAATTCGTTCCTATTTGACTCATTTCTCTTTTATGTTCCGGAGCAAATACCCGGAACTCGTTCCTCGAGATATTCGTTCCAATACAAATACCCGGAACTCGTTCCTTGAGATATTCGTTCCGGATCAAATACTCGGAACTCGTTCCTCGAGATATTCGGTCCGGAACAAATACCCGGAACTCGTTCCATTGATATTTGTTCCGGAACAAATAAAATGTAATTGTTCCTTGTCATTATTAATAATTTATTAATGGAGCAAAATGTATTTGTTCTACGTATTATGTTGTTTCGTTCGAGTTTATTGAAGGTGCACATTTTTTTTGTTACTTTAGCCTTTGTGTGTGGTATTTTAGAAACAATAGACACATTAATGTAAGTTAAATATTAATTAATTTAAGTTAATTGTAATTAATTTACCAAAAGATTATAGTTAATGCATTTAATATAACAATTAATGTTATTTTCAGTGTACATAAATGTATATAGTATATACATGGTGAAAATTAACAGAGTTATTATAATATATTTTTACATACTGAGAAAAATGTATGCAAATAATCCATCAAAACCATCAGTCCTTTAATTATAAATTAAACTTGCAAAGTTAAAAAACACTTAATTTATATTAATTTAATATTTTTTTGGCTAATTATTTATGATTAATTTTCAGTGTATTTTTTTTACACAGCATATACAGGGTGATTCTTTTATCATGAACCACTCAGTATCTCATAGGGTTTAATAAGAAATTAAAATTTATTTTTTCATATTGTTTTTATACATTGTGATCTCAATTTTTCACAATTATTTTTGTCCGGACCGAGTATCTCGAGGAACGAGTTCCGAGTATTTGCTCCGGAACGAATATCTTGAGGAACGAGTTCCGGGTATTTGTTCCGGAACGATTACAACAGGGAGTTATGAAGGAACTTGTTCCGGAATTAGTTCCGAACCCCTGTTCATAATCACGTTACTATATCATAGTACGAAATTCCTAACATCCTTAATACTAAATATTCTTACTAATAATTTCTAAATGTTCAATTGATTTTGGCATAACTCTTGGAATATCTTGAAGTTTCAGATAAAAATAAATATCCATCAAATAATTTGATTTAGTTTCTGCTGCTAAATAATGGTTGTTTAAAAATAATTTGTTGGTCATAATATTTGTCATCATATAGTAAACTATGTGTGAAAGTAGCTCAGGATCAATTTTTGAATGTGGCCAAGATAAGAAAGGTTCAACAATTACACTTGTAGGTAACAACCATTCAAGCAATATGTCTTTATTCTAGAATGTATAAAATTAAAACAGTGTTTCGAAAAAAAAAACATTTTTTTATTTTTATTTATTATACTTACAGACTTGTTAAAAGCTTTGTTCGAATATCCTCTTTTCTTGAATAACACAATTAAAGTTTTCAAACTGTTATCATTTATTTTAATTGTATTATTAAAATAAGGACGTAGTGTGTCAATATATAATTCATCATGCCAGTGATCCGAAATAATGAGAGCTTGCAGAAGGCTATGAGATGATTCCAAGTTTTCATTTGATGCAATGATTCTACATAAAATGTCTTACATGAATATTTTGTATTATATATATATAGGGTGATTTATTAAGGACGACACTCATTTTCTCATAAAATAATTGTAATTTTATAGTTTTTCTTTTTGAAAAAGTTTTTGTTTTTTTACAATATTACTAAATATTTACATTTTTTAGTATTTTTCTACTTTCAACTTTGGAAACTTATATGGGAATGTACATGTTTAACCAACTAAATTAAGAATAATTTTCAAAGTTAGAACAAGTCGTGTAGTGCAGTTGACTGTTAAGTAACATGCACAGATAAAAATAATACTGTCCCTTCTTTCCGTTCTTAACTTAAAACTTTAATAAATTTAAAAGTAGTTATCAAAAACTGTTAATAGACCATGCAAAATGTTTAGCAAATTATTCTTAATTTAGTAAGTTAGTTAAATACATACATTCTTATTTAAGTTTCAAAAGTTGATAGCACTCTGAAAAAAATTATACGAGATAAAAATATGAATATTTTTTTTTTAACAAGTTGATTGCCGAGCTAATTTTGATGTGGTGGTTATAGGTGTCGTGAGTACCAATAACGACGCTCATTAACTTTATCAGTTAGGTCGTCACAAATGTATTACGTGGGGCCCCAGAAAGCTATAAGTACCAAAAGAAAACATATTAAGATGTTTAAAAGAGTTTCCACTTTTAAAATTACATCATCTTTTAAAATTTCACCATAACTTAAAGAGAAATAACTTTAAAAGTTTTATAACTAGAAAAAATTAATATTTGTTTACCTTAAAAATATATTTAAAAAGGCTACTAGATCAATTTTTGTTAAATATTGACTATCTTTTGCCCCTTGATAAATAGCTCTTTCGAATCCCCTTAATTTAATAATTATAATAAATATTTTAAGTACCACTATTGTGAACACAACTAATTTAAAATGTAACTAGTATTTTTTTAAATTCTGATTTTTAAAAGAGTATTTTACTTGTTATCAATTATCAGCAAAAATATGTTTTACACATTATATATATAAATAAAACTATACAATATATTATTTACTTAAAAGCAAAAATCCAAACATTTTTGTAGAAAGTGTCAGTTTGACTAGAACTTGAAGCGGTTAAACACATAATTTTTTCAGCTTGAATTACAGCTTGACAACACCTACAAAAATTGACAATGGTTTGAAAATGTTATAGATATAATTTATCAAGTAGATAGACTGACTCACTTAAGGAGCCTTTCAGTTAAAATCTTATCTTTATTATATACATTTAATATTTTTGTGATGTATTGTAGTAAATTGAGGTATTCATTTTCACAGAATGCTACTAAATTACTGCCAAGTACTTTTATGATTATAGTGAGCCTGAAAAGTTAATTTGGAACATGTGAACATTTTTTTTTTATTGTCAATAATTAAAACACATTATTAAAGTTAAAATAAATAACTGCCTCTTATAATTTTATTTTAAATTGGAGTTATACATCCAAGGCCATACTCGGTGAGTGGATAATATCTTAAGTGTACGGAATTTACTGTCACAGGTTTGTAGTCGGTCACAGGCAGGTTTATTTACTGGGTAAATAACCGTCTATGAAGAGAATCTGCCATACCTCTCCCCTGTGATGGACTAATGAACCATACTATGTAGCAAATTCATTTAAAATCCTTATCCTTTAAAGAGGCAGTGATGAGCCACTTAACCTATGTTTGGTTGCACAGTGTCTGACAGATCTTTTTAAAAGTATGACCAATCAAGGGTTAAGCTAAAATATAATATAATAATACACGAAACTAGTCCCATTTATATCCCCCTCTTGTATATAGCCTTAGATGTTTAATATTTATAACTACAGCTAAAACATGCATAGATAGACAAGGCATATACATAATAGCTTTATAGCAACCCATTTTGATAACGAATGGACCTTGAAAATGTAGCTCAATATGAAAATATAATTTAATACAGCGTGATTAGTCCTATTTATGATAGCCTCATCTCCCAGAGCTTTTCTTCCCTTTTTTATTCTGACGACATTGTTCTCTTCTCCTTACACAGCTTCATCTCCAAAGAGATTTTCTTCCTCATTGCTTTTCTTACACTCCTTTCTTCTGATCTTTTGTCTTCTTTTTCCACAACGGTTATGTTTAATTATTCATTTATGATAACTCTTATCCAGCTCTGATTTCTTTACTTATAGTACATAGTACATATTTTTCCTTTTTTTCTTAGTCAAAAAAGCAAAGATACAGAACTGTTTTTCTATTAATGTTTAATCTACGATATTATTGAAGAGTTTATCAGTAAATTATTATTATTTTAAGTATCCAGTCAATACAAAAAAAATTAAATATATATATATCAGAGGGTGCCTTTTATTTTGGACTTTTTCGAAATGTTGTGCTTCCAAGGTCTCAAACTACTCTACCCAACTGAGTATTGGGTTGAAAAGCCCTAAAAGTTTCACTGCTTTAACTCAATATTTCCCCGTGCCTGTACGACAGTGAAGTTTCCCATTTAAAAAACACGGGATTATCGAAACTTATTTTTATTTTTCAGAAGAAATCTTAAGATTATAGCACCAACGTGAGTTGCTTGTGAATGACACATACTTTCAATGAAAAATTAAAAAATTAATTAATCAGAGAATATTTGAGAGGTTTTGTGATGCTTGGATTAGTATTGATGTAACAGTTTCATTCGTAGGAAATGATAATCCTACCTATATACGTTTTAAAAAAATTATAAAATGAAAAAAAAACTCAAAAAAGCGGGAAAACTCATTATTTTAACTGCATGCGCAAAATGGCCAACTAATTTATTTTTTTATTTTTCATTGAAAGTATGTGTCATTCACAAGCAACTCACGTTGGCCCTATAATCTTAAGATTTTTTTTTTATATCTTATGAAAATATTAAAAAAAAAGTTTTGATAATCCAGTGTTATTTAAAAGGAAACCTTCGTCATCGTCTTATAGGCACAGGTAAATAATGAGTTAGGGCATTACAACTATTAGGACTTTTTTTCCCACCCACTAGAGTAGTTTGAGACATTGGTATCATAACATTTCAAAAAAGTCTAAAATATGGGATAACCTTATATATCCTTAAATGGTTTATATAAGATATATCACACATTTTCATATAAAATATATAGATGGACAGTTTATCTACACAGTACACTACTCAATAGTATGACCATGAAAAATTATTACCCATTTAAAAAAAACTCAATGATTTAATAATATAGTAATATTTACCAAATACATTTTGTTTCTGTTGTTTTTAAAGGGTTCATGTTGTCTACAAAGTTTAGTAAATTAATATCAAGCTTTTGTCTTTTTGGCGCAGAACAACCATGAGATGTACTTAGTTTGCTATTATATACCTGGTTAAAAATAAATTCAATTACAAACTTTAATTATTATTGTTAATATAAAATATAATTAATTACCGCATTAAAAACTGTAATAGCTAATTTTGAAACATATTTTTGACAATTTTGAATGGAATAATTTTTTATTAGTTGAATTTCTTGATACACAAATTCATATATTTCAAGTAATACACGAGTCCAATTATTTGCATTACAGACGTATGAAGCTTTATGTCCAATACCCACAGATTTTGGGTGATGGATTTCAATGAATTTGGTTAGTAATTTGTACAAACATTTTTGAACCTGCATTGATTGCTTCTATAGTATGAAACTTTATGCTTCATATTGTAGAAGCATAAAGGTAAAAATACTTTTACATTTTAACACCAACCTTTTTAAGTCCACCGGTCTTATACAAATGCATTAAAGTGATAGCATTTTCTTCAGAAAACTGACATAATGATATGCGACATTCAACTCCCATCTTAATATTTGATTTAACAATAACAAAATATTTTATAATACTATAATACATAATAATCTATAACAGATTATTTACTATGGAATTTATTTTTTTGAGTAAATAGTTATTAAATTATATACTTTAAAGTACTGATGTATCATAAGTAAAGTCATAATTTGTTGGACAAAAAAATGTCTTGTAAGTATTCAATTAGTTAAAAACAATATACAAGATTGTGATTTTCGCATGTACATAAAAATGTGTGTATCTGATGGTTTTCGCTTGCAACAGGAGTAATAAATTATAAAGTTGAGATCATATTAAATAATTGTAGTCATTTTAATGAAGGAAATCTACTATGGTAAAATAGATTAAATGTATTATCAATAGTACCACAAATTAAAATTGAAATAATACTAACATAACATTCAAGTAATTTTTACAACATATTGGAAGTTCAATACATCCTGTAGGAAATCTGCTTTCAAACAAAATACCAATAATCAAAATCTGATCACTATACCCATGTATGGGCAAACAAAAATGTCCCTCTGAATGTCTTTGCTTAGGTACATTTTTTATGTACCTATATCCTATTTATTCAATACTAAAAATATTTACCGTTTTAAATGTTGACAATGTAAGACTAATAACATCTTCTCTGAAACTATAATCCTTGTTAATTTGAATACTATCTTGAATTGCTATTTTCAAGTACAAAAACAATCTAAAATACAAAATTTAATTAAAATTAAAAAAAAAAAAATGTATAAAACTAAAGATTTATTTTATTATTATTAAAACTGTATTCATATAACTAATATGAACCAAACAATTTAAAATTTTTAAAATATTTTATTTTGAACAAAAACCCATTATTTTTTTGTAGTCTCCTTTCCATTATAACAACACTTATCAGATAAAAATGAATTGGTTTAGAAGAAACCACTCAAATTTTCAGTTAAAAAAAAAATGTATAATATTGTAATAATAATAGTAGTGTTATTTATAATACAATTTTTTTTTTTTTGACCTCGATGTCAAAGGCTTATTTTTTACGACAACCCTATGGTCTTTAGTAAAACTTCATTTTGTGTTGATTTTAGTATATTACCAATCTCCTTTAAGTTGGGAGACATTTGGGTGGCATTGAGTATACTAGTTTATGGTGTGTGGATATCACTTCTGGCGAGTAGGTCCCTAGTGGGAGAAAAGGTGTAGTGTAATCGAACAACGATTTGGACAACGGCACTTGTTACTACAAGAAATATTACAAGAAATATTTGTCTGGGCTAGAAATCAAGCTGATGAGTGTATTACTAGCCTTTCTGAGTTCTCTCAAAGGCTAGTTTGATGTAAAACAATGTTGTCAATACCTCCGATGATGCTTCCAAAATGGCAAACTCATGCCATACCTGTGGTTGAAAGCCAGGTGAAATGAGTACTATGGGACGACAGAGGTGAGTGTCGGAGGGTGGCCAGCTAACACCCAGTCTGCAGTTAGATTCGTGATGGCGACTTGTCCGACTTGCTTTCGGTGAGAAAGGCGCCTTGAGAATCCGGGCCTCTCTGAGCCATGTAAGGGGAGAAATCTTATACATGGAGTACGGTGGAGTAGGGGTCAAATCTGCTTAGAAACTTCTGTACGCATCGTAGCCTGCTGTATGACCACTCTGCTACACCAGCTCCACATTTATATTATAATGCAAAAAAATAAACCTATAAATGCATTTTTATAATTTTGTTTATGATTTATTTTATAAATCCACTCCTAAAAAGCTCAAGTATACATCAAATTAGCTAATGTATCATACTACTATGTTTCAGTTTGGTAAAACAAAGTAGTGTCACTCGACACCCCCTATAATCAATCCCTTATATTTAGTGCATTAAAATAATTCTTTGGCTTATTGTATTGTTTATGTTTACAAGTTATAAAATATTTCTATTAAAAAAAAAACCATCATTAACAACAGCCAATATAATAATATAACAACTACAATTGATGCAGACCGTATTTACAGACAATGGTACAATTAAACGTCAAACATTAAATGTGACAACTAAGTATAACATAGTTAAATTTCTAATAGGTACTAACTTTTTTTTAGCAGTCAAAGTGATGTTAGAGTGATTGTGTCCTCTAAGTATAACATGATTCATAATTTTTATGGATATATTTGTAAATTTTTTTGTATAAATATCACATGCCAAATTAAATATTTCTATAAAAAATAAAGGTAAATTATAATCACATTTTTTTATCAAATAAGTTTCATATAACATATAAGTTACTCACCATTCCAATTCTCACCCAAAATTGGCCAATAATAACTTGGTGACAATACATTTTGTTCCAAGATTTTATAGTAAATTTCTCCAGTATATTTTTCATAAATAGTATTTCTAGATACATCCGTAATACAATTTAATAAGTCTCCACTCCGTAAAAATGGCCTTACTGTAATAGACATTAATAATTTCATATTAAAAGGACATTATACCCTTTAAAAATAATCGTAAAAAAGGGGTTTACGGTAAAGCGTGTAGGTCAAAGCGAATTGGTCATAGAATAAAAATGTTGGTACCATTAAAAAGAGGAGAACTTTAACTAGGTTCTCTCGTCGGTTTTTATAGAAAACTTTAATTTTATCTTAAATACAAGCCCTTAAAAAATATCAGAATTCAAATATAAATTGTGAATGTTGGGTTAATAATATCAAAAAAAGCAGACGAGAGAACCTAGATAAAGTTCTTTTTATTTTAAATATGCAAAAAAAATTGTCTACGATTGTTATTTAGTTGATAAGAAAGAATATGCTTAGCCAGTTTAAATGAAATTTCTTTTTTTAAATCGCTGTGTCAAGGATGCTGTGACATTTCGAAAAATAAATAAACTACCAAAAAAGAGTCAAGATTACTTAACTAATAATTAAACATCACAGTTTAGCCTTTATATTACGTTTTTACAAAAAAATTCCTATACCTAACTCCTTTATAAATAGGGGGTATAACGTCATCTAAAAATACATGTTTATATTATTAAATTGTTTAAAAATTAATATCTCTTAAATCAAATTAAAATTTTAAGTCAGGATTTAAAGGTCAGTATTTCATATTATAAAAGATGCGTAAATCTATACAGGGTGTTTCACAAAGATATGATAAATTAAATTACTTTTGGTCTAGTAAATATTTTTTTTAATTCATTTGTGCTATAAACAGCACGTTTTTTCAGGGTTCCGTTAACCGTTGTTTATTTGTTCAGTTCAAAATTATGTTCATGAACGTAAACTAGAAATAACGTTACAATTTTTTTTACCCCGAGAACGTTATTCCGAATAACATTTTTAATTTATTCGCTCCGAGAACGTCATAATTTGTTTTACCCCGAGAATGTTAAAACGAATTTTGCTAAGTTAGGTTAGGTTAGCAAATATAGTAACAAAAAACATTTTTCAGCCGAGTCTGCAACCACGAAAGAGCATTTTCATGTCTCGTTGAAGTACCAAATAAATTTAGAGTAGTGGTGGGATTATAGATAATATGACCTCCTAAATTATTAAATTAATGTTCTAGTTCTAGTTTGAAGGTTGTGAATACAACATATATAACCCCCAAAAAAATTATAACGTTTTTCGTTATAACGCTCCCGGAGCAAATAAATTAAAAACATTTTTCGTTACATCGTTTTCGGAGCAAATAAATTTAAAATGTTATTCGGTATAACGTTCTCGGGGTAAAAAAATTTTTAACGTTCACTAAACATATTATGTTATGTTTTGTGAACTTTATTTTGGTGAACGAAATAATTAAGTTTATAACGTTATGTGTATTTCGTTACATTACGGAACCCTGGTTTCTTTGTTACTCTTAACTGTTATACTTTTTTTTTTTTATTCAAGATAGCCATTTTATTAAGAATAATTTGCTGAGAATTTTGACTGGTCGATAACCAGTGTAGTAAACCCACTTATTGCACATGTGTCCCTATAAGGGCATGTCCTCCTTGAGTCTATGCATTGTTACTAAGACGTGACCGGTGGGTGTCCCCTTCAGTATAATTTAATTATACTTTTATTGTTTTAATTGCATTATTTTATTATATTCGAGTAGTGACGGCGTCGTTCAGGCAGTAGTCGATTACCAATCGATCATTGCACTACTCAGTTTTTATTATTATATTAACTGCAAATTTACTAAACATTTATTATATTGCTAACGTATTGGATTACTTATTGTAATACCAACCAATTACTCTACCATACTTTTCTTATAATTATTATATATATTACAATTAACTAAAAAGTGTTCAACTTCATTCAACAAAACTTACTCCTAGTTTTCCGTTACAAACGTTGGTCGTTTACGGTGTTTTGTACGCGGTCATCCGACCGGTGCACTACACCAGCTTTGGAAAATTACTTTTAAGTTATTAAAGGTTGTTAAAATTTAAGACGGGAGGTGGAGTGCAGTAGAGTAAGCGGGTAGTTATTTTTATCTGCGCGTATTACTCTACCGCAATCCACTTCCTGTCCCAAACTTTAAAGGAATCCATAATTGGTAGTCGACAAGTCTAAAGTTCCCAGCAAATTAATCTTAATAAAACGAGTGTCTTAAATAATAAAAAAAAAAAACTTAAAAAAGTAAAATAATTAAGAGCAATAGTCGTGTTATTTTTAGTGCAAACACCCACCTATAAATTAATTTAAAAAAAAAAATCTTAAAAATATTCACTAGAACAAGTTATTTTGTTTGTTATATATTTGTGAAACACCCTATATATTCTTAAAACTGTATAATGCCTAATTACTGGGATGAATAAGAAAAAAAACAAATTTATTAAATGTCGTCGCCCTTTTCCGAATTTGTCGAGTGAACAATTTAGCCGGAATAAACGAAAAATTAGAATTTCCCAACTCTGTCCATTACTCGATCATTTTCAAGATGTCGGACATAATATTATCTTGTCCCATAAGACATAGAATAAATACATAGTAATTTAATCTATGCATAAGAGCCCATGTAAAAATTGTATAGTTTCTTTTCTGTTTATTCTGTGGTAGTATCATCACAAAATAAATAAAAGCAGAAGGGTCATTTTTAAAGTAAACAAAAACGTAACGGCCATGTTGAATGGGCATACAATGACCGTACCCATACCTTTTCTTATCTATTTAGTACTATCAGTTATTTTATAATAATATTAAATTTATTTTTGTATTTTGTATTTGTATTATGTATTTTATGAAATATATTTGTTTAAATTAGTTGTAACTTAAATTTTTTTATTGCTAATACATATAAAGAGGGCGTCGCACCGGTGATTTTTAGTGGTAAAACATGTTTACGCCAACTGAAAATAACTCGCTTAATTTTGGTTTTAGAGTAAAAGCACCCACTATAAAATTAAAAAAGAACAATAGTCCGGAGGGCAAGACAGTGCGTTTTAAAAAAAAAATCAATTTTGAAAAGTTACAGTCACTTGAAAATGTTAAATAGTCGTTATTTCTAAACTATGTATTGAGCGATAAACTTGGAATAATGAAAAAACATTTTTAAATCGCTTGCAAGGATGCTGTGATAGTCCAAAAAATAAATTAACTACCAAAATAGAGTCCTAGTTATTGAATCAATAATTACACATCACAGTTTAACCTTTAAATTAAGATTTTCTAAAAAATTGTCTATACTTTACTTAAAAATGGGCGGTGCGACGCCCTCTTAAAGCAATTTTTCTAGTCATTAGATCAATTATTGTTTTGACTTTCGTATAAAAATTATTTTCTACATTTAGTTTTACGAAAATGGTCACACTGCGACGCTCTAAAACTATGGCCGTCGCGTTTTTATGTGATAAGTATCTTCCCCATGTGAATTTTTATTAGTGTCCGGGGCCGGTATCATTCCAATTTCCAATGAACATTTAATAAAAATTGATAATAATAATTACTATGATGTACTATGTAGTACTCTGGTGTCTGATATCTATAGAGAATAGATATTGTACGTCTTATACTTAGACAACTGGCAAGTATACCAAAAAAAAAAATTAATCATTATTAACTATTAAGTGAATCTTTGAATAGATATTAAATTATTGTAAGGCATAAATCTTATTTTTCATTTTGTAGATTTATGAAAGTTACATAAACTAAACTATGATTAGCATAAGGCATATTAGAGTTTTTAAAACAGTATACTGTAAGTTGTACACAACAAATCAATCCAACTGGGATATAATGGCAAGTATCTGTCTTCAACGAAAACCAATAATTACCAGATCATTGACAGATATTGATAGAGAATATCAAAAAATATTGCATGAAATTGAATTTGAAAGAAGCTTGAAATCAGGTCATGAGATGAGGCATGATAAAGATATTAAAAGAATGGAAAATTTAAAAAAAGGTAAAGTTAACGATTTGGATATTGATCAAGCAGCTAGCATATCGGCACAAGATTATGTAGATATGAATAAAGAAGAACTAACAACATTTAAATTTGCAAGTCGCATAACAGAAGCTGATAAACAAAATAATTGTAAATCTCTCAATAGAAAACTAGAAAACAATTTGATTTTGATTTGTAAACAAAAACTGGGTCATGACAGTTTTTGGTTATTACCTCAAGGTTTATTGAAAAAAGGTGAAACTTTAAGGCAATCAGCGGAAAGAGTTTTAAAAGAGTCTTGTGGCGACAATTTAAAAGCAAGATTTTATGGAAATGCACCCTGTGGGTTTTATAAGTTTAAATATCCAAAAGAGAAACGAGAACAATCTGGAGTTGAAGGAGCGAAGATATTTTTTTATAAAGCAAGATTACTGGAAGTCCAATTTGACAACAAATATTCCTGGGAAAATTATGAATGGGCAACAGAACAGGAAATTGTGAATAAATTTGTTCAGCCTTACATAAAAAGTGTAAAATTATTTTTATCAAATAATATTGTAACAGTATAAATTAATTAGAAATAAAGTAATTGTTAGAAATATAACTCAATTGTGTGTATACTTACTTTTATTAGCTTTGTTAATAACATTTTTCAATAAGCTAGAACAAGCATCCAAATTAGGTTGTTGAATTTTAATAGTAGTTTCTCCAGTTTTTGACTGCTTTTTATTTTCTTTTTCAACTTCCTAAATAATAAAAAAATATATATAATAAACATTGATGTAATTAGTAATTCATTTATTACAAGAAATATACTAACTACAATTAAACATCTATGGCAACCAAATAAAAGACTTTTCCATGTTGTTAAATTTCCATCAATATTATCTGAGCTTTGAGATTTTTGAATACTACTATTATTTAGAATATTAATGACGTCATCACAATCTAATAGATTTTGGAGTTCTTCTCTAGTAGTCTGTAAAGTAAATAACAGGTAAAATTATATCATAATTTACATTTTAGAACTACTTTTACTATTTATAAAAAATTCAAGAACAATAGGTGTTCTAATTATTAGAATCTGTTTACCACAATATATCGACAGAGAGACTGCAATAGCATAAGAGACTATTTTAATAACTGTTTGGTACTAAGGCATTGATGATATTTTTCTCCAACTATTGCTCTTACTATTTACTAAATTTGACGCTATCAAAAGATAGTAAAAATAAAATAATATTACTGAATAGCAGGTAAACTATATAAAGTAGAGATGGAAATTAAATTACTATTATAATAATTCAAAAAATTATAATTTTTAATTTGCATACAAAATTGTATAAAGGATAAGTCTAGTAAAGGTCTTTGAATGGCTATCCATTCAAAGATCTTATCCAGAACCTCTCAATTAGAAAAAAATTAGTATTCAAACACAAATACAACATTCAAATACATGCTAATAATAAAATTTAATATTATTTTGCATATAGCTTAACGGGTCTTGAAGGCCCAACACTGCCATCATAAGATGGTTTCTAGACGAATAGCTATCTGGGATGACTTGTCGCTAGAGAGGGGGATGTTGGCTCATTTTTACAGAACAATTTCTCTCCCAGCAATCGGAGCGCCCGAGACTGAGTGTCAAACCTGATACCTTAACTACTCGGTCAATTGTCGTCAAATTTAATATTTAAATTTGTAATATAAAAATGTCATAAATAATGAATATTAAAAAAAAAATTATTTTTTTTTTAGTTGTTTTACGTTTTCTAAATTTATTTGCAGCAAATATCTTTATTATGTAGCTCTTCAAAATTCATAAAATTGAGCAACTAAATTTACACTAAAACATCCTAAACTCAAAATCTTTTTATCTGCAATAGAATTGCTTAAACAATTGTTTGCTCTTATTTAAAATATTGGGAGCATTTTCAAATACACTTTTAGTGATGTGTCTAAGTATAGAACCATTATTGAAATCATTATCATTTCTCTTGAATTTTTTTAAATTTTGCTGGAGATTTATCTTTTTTATATTTTGTTTAATAAAAAATTGTTCAACAAAAATGCATTAGGTATTCACTTAATTTGTTTCTAGATTATTACAGTATTTACCAACTAATTTATTAGCTCTTTCTTATATTTCTTGTGAATGTAGTAATTTTAAGTCTGACAAAAACCTTAAAAAGTCATATAAGTTCATTGTAAACTTTTGACCAATTTGATAATTCCATTCTTTACATGTCAATTATGACAAATATATAAAAAAATTTCATAACTCATCCTTTTTTCCATCAAATTCAGTTTTTATATGATAAAAATTGATCATCTTATTGGACACCCCTAGCGACCCTACATAACTTTATTACAAATCTCGCCCTGATTTAACAATGCCATAATTTAATTCCTATAATTAAAATTGATCACGTTTGTAATAAACTGTAATGAAATACCTTAAATGCGTATTTCCACATATCTGTGACGGGTCCGGACCATTCGGGAACCCGGAGACAGAATTCTCTGGAACAATATTTTTTTCATCCCAGATTTCGAACGGACACCTGAACTGGAACCCCGGACTAGTGTGAATTTTGTATGTGTCACTTTTAATATTAATATGATAATAATTTTATCTTTTTCGACCGGACCTGTCATGGAAATGTGGAAATATACCTCAATTAAGTTTCTAAGTACTAATGGAAGTAAGGAAATTAAGAGGATGGAGGCCAGTAATTTATAGAAATTACTTTTATTAGAAATTATAGGAAATCACAATTGTGAAATTAGAAAATGAAAGGTCTAGGGGCAAAACTACTTTACAGCAATTTGTCTACAATTTTTTTTTATATTTTGATTTTGTGAATCATGTTATTTAGCATACTTCTTATAAACAAACAACTTGTACTACATAAATAAAATTAGTCAAGATGTTTAAGATAAGCTTTACATACATTTACATGTTTGAAACTTTCATATCAATGTTTCAAGTTGTGTGCTATAAAGTGGGTTTGTCCCTAAACCCTTCAAATGATCCAGTGACAATGCAACATAAGATGGACACGCATTTGACTTCAGGTCTCGGGAGCAGGCCAGTCATGATTCATCAATGCTCAATCTCTCCATTATTTATTTAACTAGGCATGTCTTATTTCCTAAAAAAAGGTTTAAAGGTTTGACCTCTTGCATGTAATGTGCTAGACAGGTAATAAATTAAATGGAAAAATAAAAACGGAAAACAGGTGTTATTTTTTCTAACCATTTCTTGCCAGATGGGACTTTTGAATAGGTTGCCAAATAACAATTGTATGTCTTAACTTTTTTTTTTAAAAATAATTTTCAGATTTTTCAGCAGCTGACTCTTGTCATACAGGAGCATTGCTAAAGTTTTATTAGTTAATTATTTATTATATTATATTATCAATAATGTAATATCAAAACTGTATTGAACAACAAAATAATTTTCTTAAGTTTTAAAGTTTTAAGTTTGTAAATCTTTGGAAGGAGGAGGAGGAGGAGGAGGAGTGGCCGAGTGGGTAAGGCGGCAGTGTGTTAGCGCTCACTGTCGCCGGTTTGACACTCGGTCACAGGCGCACCGTTTGCTGGGCGAGCAATCGTCCGGTAAAAAGGAACCGCCATCCCCCTCTCCGGCGACGGATTGACGACCCGTCCCGGAAGCGAATTCGTCAAGAAACCATTTCATGATGGCAGCGTTGGGCCTTCATGGCCCGTTAAGCTACATGATGATGATGAAATCTTTGGAGCTGATTTAGCCCCTTGGGACTCTCTGTTGAATGGGCCCCCAACCACCAGATAAAAAAAAAGCTTGCCTAAAGGACTAAACGAACCTAACCTACCGCTCCGGAAGCGACCTAGTGAGTCCAAACCTATCCTTGCGTCGCTTAAGTATAGGAAAACAATTATTTTCAAAAAATTCATATTTTCTGAGAAAATTAGTATTACATCAAATTGATTCACCCTGTATGTATTTATTTGTTTAACCACAATATTAAATTTTATTAGTTAATTTTTTTAAATTCAAGTTTTTTTCATCTATAAATACCAATTTCTATATTACGATCAGTAAACAGACTGGTTGCAGTTAAATATAATATATTATGCTATATTTTTAAACTAATAATGAAAACTTATCAATAAAAAAATATGCACAAGGTACCTTCCTTTCTGTAATTTTAGTCGAGTCCAACATTCGTAAACAATTACTTAAATCTTTATTCAGATCTTGTATACTTTTAGTATTCATTTTGTAATTATTTGTATACATAACATCTAATAACTATCGCAAAAAATGTCTATAACACACGTAATACATACACAATACACATTACACAATAGAACATAGAAATTAGACTAATAAAATATATGTAATATGTATACATTAAAATAAATACTTAAAAGTAATCATTCCTAAATCCTATCATATTTGTAAAAATTATTAATTGAAATTCACTAAAATACTAAAATGTGTGATACCGCTGATTACCGCCTATCGGATACGGTTCTAAAACCAAATTTAATTTTGGCGCTCAAATATAAACTCCTTAAGCTAAGTCGGAACTAACTTCAAACCAAATAACTATAATAATAATTAATAACCATAGACCTATACAAATTGGTCTTTGGTGTATTATAAGGTCTTTGAAAGCAGCTTTAAATTGTATTATAGCTTGATAAAAATTGAAAATAAAATATAATACTATTATATATCACTGTATAGATAAAGAAATCAGATTTAGGTTGAAATTTTAAATAAATTAAAACAAATTTAAATATTGTAGTACAAACAACATAATATAAATAATAATAATAACATAATACAAACATAACCTCTCGTATAGCCATTGATAGTGCATTTATTTACTTGGGAGTTGGGATACTTTATTCTTTTTAATTACTTTAGTATTTTATAAATTTTAAAATGGAAATAGATGAAAACAGAGGTAATTTATTATGTATTTGTAGTTATAAACGGTCTACAAATTATTTTAAATATTTTAACCTATAATTGACTACAATTAATTTTTAAATTTCAATTATTTAATTAGGCGGAGAAGAACCCCAGAAAAAAGTTGAATCCTTCGCTGAAAAAGCTGCAGAATGTGTTGATGAAAATGGTATTAAATATATTGAATATGAAGAAACTCCTGTAGACATCGAAGAAGATGCTGAGGTATTTTTCTTTACAAATTTCAGTAAAACATTTGTCCCTTACTCTTTAGTTATGAATTTTTCAAAAATATCCTTATTGTGATTGTTCAGTGGTAAAACACTATAAAGCTGTTACCATTTATTATTATGTATATTGAATTCTAATGTCTAGGATACATGCCTAGCCGTGACCATCTTTTTTTATGCCATACAAATTTTCTCAGTGGTAATTTACTAATAAAAAATAAATCGTTTAGATTCTTGCTTCATTCTTTCTATGTTATTTTATTACCTAATGTTACTGTCCTAATAATAGGGTTCCTTATAGTGATGTTTCCTTGTATTTTTATTTATATTCTCTACACTATTACACTACTTATAATCATTAAACTTCTTTGCTAATATTTAAACAATATTTTGCTATTGTTAAAAATGTTTTAATACATGTTGATTCATAATTTATAATAATATATTATTATTTTTTTGTTTAAGGAATTGGATTTAAATCACCAACAAATTGATAAAATTGAAAATTTTGAACGCATGCATAGTTTAAAATCATTATGTTTGCGCTGGAATCGAATTAAGATAATTGAAAACCTTCAAATGCTTGTTACACTTAATGAACTTGATTTATATGATAATCAGATTACAAAAATTGAAAATCTATCTTGTCTTACTAATTTGAAGTAATTTTTTCTTTTATATTTTATACATATACATTGACTAAATTGAGATTCTGTATCTTGATTTATATTTTTCATATTTAAATATAGAGTTTTAGATTTATCATTCAATCGTATAAGGGATATTGAAGGCCTTGAAGACTTAAACAATTTAGAAAAGTTGTACTTAACAAGTAACCGAATATCTAAAATCACCAATATAAATCATTTATATAATCTTCAAATGTTAGAGTTGGGTGATAACAAAATTAAGGTAATAAGCAATATTAAAAATTATTGATTATAGATTATTTTAAAGATTTTCTTAATTAATGACTTTTATTTTTAGACAATTGAAAACATTGATAAACTTACTGGTTTAAAAGAATTGTATTTTGGTAAAAACAAAATTGATAAAATACAAAACTTGAATTCTTTAAAAAATTTGAAAATTATAAGTTTGCAAAATAATAATTTGACTAAAATTGAAGAAATCGATCAGTTGGAAGCACTCGATGAATTATATTTGTCAGAAAATGGAATTACTGTTATCGAAAACCTAGAAAATAACAAAAGTCTTGGCACACTTGATTTGTCAATGAATAAGATTGTTACTATTGAAAACCTTTCTCATTTGGAAAATTTGAAAGAATTTTGGGTAAGGAGTGGTTTTATTTAATACCCTATGTCGTAGATCCAATTCAACTGATGAGGGATATAAATTAGTTTATAGACAAATTGTGAGAGGCACTGTCTTCAACACTTATTTTTTTGTAACCAATATTTATGTATATAAAAAAAGTACTTGTTGACTAATTGATATGACACATGATATTTTTTAGTAACATTCTTTTTTATTGGGAGGTTGTTGCACTTACATTTGAGTTTCATTTATGTGCAGGGATTTTATTATCAATTTTATGTCAACTGTGATGTCCTTTTAATGCAATCTGCATTATGTTTTACTAGTATTTATTTCCATGCACTACAATAAGTGTTATTATATAAATATAAACCTTTGAGCGCGTGCGGCCGGTATTTACCTTTAAAAAAACAAAACTCACCTAATTTAAATTATTGAAGTCAGCCTGGCAATACTGTCAAGTATTCTCTAGCTGAAAAAAAAACACTAATTGAAGTGCAAACATTTTCTCAATTATACAATGCGAGTATGAAAAGTCAAATACAGCCATGTAAACGTTAGTCTAACTTTCAAGCACCCAAGTGTTCAAAGGTTTTTACTCCAGCCTTATTACTTTATGGCGTTCATTATAATCCGCTCAGTCTTAAATTATGGTAAAATACCATACCCGGGGACCAATTTTTAATACCAACTATTTTAAATTGCATTCGACAATATTTTGTGGATGTGTTTCAAATAGAAAAACGTCTTGTCGTAAATTTATTGTTTTTTTTGGGGGAAGGTTATGATGATACGCAATAGTTCTTCAGGACTCGGGTGACACTCGAAATCTGAAATTAAGCTGTGTTTGTTGCTGTTTCACCCCAGATAGGGGTAATTGCTTAGAAGTTTTAGGGCCAGCCCATATCATGTTTCTACTTCATGTACCAATCCTACACAACCCAAAAACTCAAAATAAAAACTGATTGCTATAGTTTCAGATGTTACATACATTTTTTTTTTATAAATAACTTTGTAAGTGCATTATTAGTATTATTGGAAAATACCAAAAAATTAATTTTTTATGATTTACAGCTCAATGACAATCAAATAAACAATTGGAGTTGTATTGAAGTTTTGGGACAATTAAAAAAATTGGAGACTGTTTATTTAGAACATAACCCAATTAGTAAGGATAGCGCATACAGAAGAAAAATAAAGTTAATTATTCCATGGCTTATACAAATTGATGCTACATTAGCTAAATAAGCATACTGTCTGTTTTTAATAATGTATTATAATTTAGCGTAAACAAATAATAATAATAAAGTATAGTTATAAATTAATTTTTTTAATTGATAATATTAGTTAATTTTTAATTTATGAATTTTGTAATAAACAATAAAAAGGAGTTTTCTGTATTATGCAATTTATTACTATATAAATGCGTGTATAATTTATCAATTATAACTATTTTAAAATAATAAACATCATTATTATTATCAATTATTTATTTTAAGTTTTACAACAGAATCCTCATTTATTGGATCAATAACCTGGCCCATTTCTGTAATGACGGGTGGTGCCGTTAGCTTACGGAAAACAGTTTCAGGTACCCATGTTTGACCAACTGGCAATTTGATAGTTTCTTCATATTCTTCAACATCTCTAAAAGGATATGGTAATTCTGACACCTAAAATGTTTATTAGTTTTTGAATAACATTATTTATTATATAATATATTAATCTACATTATAATTTGTCCCATAAAAGAATGGTCCTGCATTGGAACTAAAACGCTTTACTCCAGTCTGCGCAGGTGCATATGAGAGTAATGCGTTACAACATTAATGCCTACATCATTACTCTACTGATGGAATAGTGCAAGGGGACATAGTTGACAGTTGTAATATCAAAGGATATATAGTTTATTAATGAACATATAATATGGCATTAATACATATAGCATTATGAATTTTCAACCACCTTGTAGTATTATTAAAAATGCCCTCAAGAAATTTGTTCATCATGCCATAAATATGATTTCAGAAGTTCCAAATTAAAAAAAATTTTTAAATCTGTAAAATATTAAAAAAGGTCAGTGAAGTATCGCTTTACCCCTCCTCGGAAACACTGACAACCCACCCATCCTGGAGAGCGAGGAGTTAATGCATTTAGAAACTACTTTCTTCGAAAGCTCTTTCGATGGCTCTTAATGGGCTAAAATGGTACTTAAACTCAAATAGAATAAACTTAGGAAAAACTACAAATTACAACTTATTAAATTTAACAAAAAAAGTTTGTTCAATAGACAAAAAAACTCGACTCATACGAAAAATAATATTGTTTAAAACAAAATTTACGACTAATTTTTATGAAACATATTATATCACAGTTAAACAATGTTTCCTATAAATGTTTAAATTTGACATACCATATGACATTTGATTGAATCATCAGATTTTTCATGAATTATTACTTTCTCTCTATGGAAATCCTTACGAGGTGGTTTGACAGGTGTTCTAAACATACCCATATTAGTCCTTCTTTTAAAATTTTTTTTTTTTTTTATATTTGGACCAGCCCAGCTTCCCCATCCAGGAAGTTCCGTTTCATTTTTTGGCTTAGATTCTTCTTCTAACTTTTTCTTTTCCTCTCTTTAAAAAAATAAATACATTTCATTAAATATATAATGTAAAATATATTTAAGTAAAATAACACAATACTTGAATTCATTAATTAAGTCATCATCAGCAAACGCTTCAGCAATTAATTTTTCTTGTTTTTCTCCATCGTCAATGCAATCTTCAATTTGAGCCAATTCTTTAGTATCCAAGTGAACAGGCGTCACTTTTAGAAACTCAGTAGGGTTAATATTTTCATTTTCCTTTTTTTTGTTTTCTATATTTATATTCAATTTTCCACTTTCTATATGGGTTGTACTTAATTCACTTGAATTTATTATATTTTCATTTAAAGGTTCATCTATTTTAGTTTTAGGTCGTTTACTATGCATCTTCAAATATTCTTCATCTTCTCTATAATTTTTACTTTTACCTTGAATATTTTCTTCATTAATTGGTTTCTTCTTTTCTAATCCAGTCACTTGAAGTTTTTTACTAACACTATTAAACTTTTTATCAATTTCATTTCTCAAGGCTTTTTCAACAGATTGAAGAACACTTTCAACATCTTTGTGTGTTTTTTGTTTTGTTTTTTTATATTCAGATGAAACGGTCCATGTTCCTGAAGGAGTATGAATCATTTCAATTTTATTACAAGATTTTTCAGGCATATGTATTTTATTATTAACTTCTGTTTGATAACAGGATAAATTATTGTTGTCTTTTAACTTTGTAACATCCTCTAAAGATTTATTGTTTTTTATCTTGACATCCTTAATTTTTAGAACTTCAACAAAACTTTCTTCTTCATTGAGGTTATCCAAATCTTCAATTGTGATTGTTTTTAGCTTACTTTTATTGCTAGTTTTACATTTTATATTTTTATTTGGCTTTGTAATTTTGTTTTTATTTGTACTTAATAATTTAGTAGGCGTTTCTTTATTAATTTCTGGTAACATTTCATTATCACTTTCACTTAATTCATAGTTTATTTGTTCATTTTTATCCAAACAATTTTTCTCATTATCTTGAACAAATTGTTTATATCCATCTATGAAATTGGTAAACTCTTTTCGTTCTGCAAGCCATGGATTGTTAGGATCAATTAATTTTTCAGAGAATTCAATACCATCTTCACTTGAATCACTACCACTATCTTCTTCATCCAAAGATGGCCCTGCTTTTTGTGTCAAATCTTTACTTTTACGTAACTGTTCTGCTAAAGCTATTCGACTCTAAAAAGTAAATAAATACATATTACACTTAAAAATTTAAATATTAACCATATAAATAGGGGTCTTTACTTTAATTAATCAAAGTCGTAACTTATGTTATCAATATTATACACATCTTTTTCTGCTTTACTTTATCCTATACAAATAGGGTAGGCCAGCCAAATACTCACTCCACATTTATCTATTCGTCACCATTTACTACTACCTTAGATTAAAAATACTATAGATAAACAATGCATATGGAATGGCTGGAAGCTCTTTTTGTAGTTAGTTTTTTTATCAATAAGGCTCAGAATAGATTTCAAACATATGCTTGCCTGAGAATCACGCGCGTTTTATTCTGTCTTTAGCTATGCCACACATTTTCACCATCCTTGCCACCATTGAGCGCTCCCAGTGTCCCAAATTCACAATAAAATATTTGTGTTGTGTGCATTTCATTTTATAACATGGGCATCGTTTATGTATAGTGTATTTAATCTATGCTACTACATACATTTCTTTGTCTTTATTTATAGTTTTTACTTTTTGAACTTATAATAAGATACAATTTTAATTTATTTTTTAATTACTTCTTTATCATATTTGGCTCGAATGACATGATTTCGTGCCCATTGCCCAGTTGATTTGTGCCTCAAGCTGGCACGTTCTTCAGCTCTGGTTTTTTCTATTTCATTAAGTTTTTCTAATGCAGCCACAGGATCTGTGTCTTGTAGTTTTTCAAATTCTTTTATTTGTTCTTTAGTTTTTTCTTTTCTCAACAACCTGTGATATTTTTTACTTTTGATTTTATTCTGTCTGTGTGCTTTAGCGTGCCTATAAGATTCTTGAGCTCTAAATTTTGCCATTGTTTTACGCTTTTCTAACAATTCTTTTAATGTTAATGGATATTTTTCTTTCTCTTTTTCTATCCAAGACATTTTCTTAAAAAAAAAAAAAAATTATGTAAAAATTACTGTTGTAGCTTGCATACATTGACTCTTAAATTACTTCTCAAGTTTTCAGTAATAACCAAAAATCCATGTTTTCTTTGTTTAAAAACTGATATTTAAAGTTTTCAAATATTAACACTGAAAGATACACTAAGTAAAAGCCAGTTCCTAAACAAAGACAACATGGATAAATTGATTATTTCGAAAAACTTCAGAAACAAAAAAATCACTTCTTATAAGTTTTTAAACATGAATAAATTATTCACTAGATCTTTTTGATGTTTTGAAGCTGTTTCACTAGACTGCAATAAATTTGTGATACTTTTCTGCAAATCTGTGGGCTCTACAGAATTTCTAGTGAAATCAATTGTGCGATTATCAAAAACTTGTACCTCGGAACTTCTCAAAGGAAACTTTAATTGATCAGCATCTTTATTTTTCGCTACTACAGCGGACCATCGACTTATATGTTTTTTAAAGTTCTCATACGCCACAGCCCTTTTTATCTAAAACAAATACAGTTGGTCAAAAAAAAAAAAATTACTAATTTCATACATCCTTATGCTACGACTGTTGAATAATAATTGACTGACACCCTTACAACAAACAACACTTATTTAAAAAAAAAACACAATTTAAAATTTAACATACTGGACTTTGCACCCAATTGTCCATGAAATTAAATACCTGTTTAAATCGCAATAAACCATAACCTATACAATCTATTTGAAAAAATGTCTACTAAACCATATTTACCTTTTAAAAAAAAATTGTGCATATTGGCATATATGTATACATGCCAGTAGGCCGACTATGATAATATTACAAAAAACAGAAATCAGTACTTGTGTAACATATTTTACTAATTTTATTTTTTAATTAATATGAACTGCTGTGTACAATTTATTATAATTAGTGTTGTGAAAAATAAATGTGTTTTAATATACTAAGTATGAAATTAAGTACCTAATTATTTATCACAATTTAATTGATATATTAATTATACTGATGATTAGATGGTTATTTGATGCATGTCATATTGGCCCTACTACTCAGAAGAGAGGTAAAACATTACAATTTTTTTTAAATTAAAATGTTACTTTATGTGACAGAAACCACAGAACATAATATAAACTATAATAATATAAATAAAATTTACTTTATCAGCATGAACTTTATCTAATGGCTTTTTTAATGCCTGTTTAGTAGATTTGGCTACTTGGATTTTTTGCCTGATTTGTGGTGCCTTTTTTTTCAATGCATCAGCCAAATCTTTGACATTTGTTGATTGCTGTCCACATGAAAGGTGGAATTCCGAAACTTGTAAACTGGGCTCGTTACGGACACTAGGTTGGATTCTAAAAAAAAAAAATTATTATTGTATAGTAGTTAGTAGGTATATGGAATGGATTGTAATTAAACTATTAGTAGTTAATAATGTTATATATTTACTTTCTGCTTGTTTTAGATGTAATTTTTTTTAATAAATTTCGATGTTTCTCTTCCGAAACATCATCGAAGTTTTCATCCATAAAAGGATCATCATTTTTGGTCTCAACAACCATCATGAATGATGAGAATTTAAATATTTATTTCTTCAAAATTAAAACACAAAATTGTCTAAATAAATCATTACAATCAGTCTTCAAGATTTACGAGACACGAGACAGTAATGAGTATATAGACACTACACAACGTGTTTACCATGATATATCCATAGATGAAATATCATGGATAATATACTTAGTTATATTATCAGGCCCCGGACACTGATAAAAATTAACACGGATAAGATATTATCGCACAAAAACGCGGCGGCCATTTTCTCAAGACCGCCACAATAATCTATACATATTATATTATTATTGTTTATAGTCTATAGGTGTAACATAATATAATAATACTAAATAGGTCATTACAAAATGGCCGCTACTTTTTTGCTTACATTAAAGTGACCCTTCTGGTTTCATCTATCCTGTGGTTATATCATGACTTAGACAAGACAGTTATATCGGTTACACCTCAAAGAGCCACTCGACACGGAGCCACTCGACAAACAACCACCGAAAATCGACACGGAGCCACTCGACAAGCAGCCACTCAAAGGGGTACCAACATATACAATATTTATAAAAAATGCACGATTATTATTCGTGTATGTTGTGCGGCTAGTATTGTTTATTTAAAGGGGAAAACTTGTACATTTCATAATTAATGCAATAAGGCTTGAACTATTTTTAATTCACTGTGTGACCTGTCTCCGGTTTTGAGTTTTTTTATTTAAGTTATAATCAAATGTTTCTATTATTGAAATTTATATAAAAAAAAAACTGAAAGTATATGAAACAATATTTACAATATTATATTATAGTGATAATTTACCAACAATAAATTGTCTCTTGAGTTTTAAAAAAAAAATGTTTTTCAAAACATACTTACACGTTTTATAATAAGTAAAGCAGAATGTTCATTGATCAAATTTCAATGAAATTATACTTTTTTTTTAAATTATTTAATACCGATATATTATACCTATCTATTTAAAACAATATATCGTGAATACCTCATACGAAACTATTAGATACCAGACACATTTACTTAAATACTTTACAACTTCCAATAGGCAATAACACAATAATAAATTATAGTTAAATATTATTTAATTTTGTATTATATATTTTCATATCTGTGTATTAGTTATCATGTTATATATATGCCAAAAATAACAATTCCGAAAATATTTAGAACCGAAACATATATTAACCAAAAATATATCGAAAAAATAGCCGAAAAATATTTAAGTCGAAAATAATATTTACGAAAAATATTTAGGTCGAAAATAATGTCATCGAACGTATTTTAGCTGACACTTATTATTTGAACAGAACCTTTATAAGTTATAAATTATAATAGTATAAAAAAACAGTGTTACGCGCGCCGTGTGACCGCGTTGTGTCTACTGTCTACGCTATTTTTATAACATCTGTGATAAGTTCCATTTGTTATTGAAATATACAGCTATTTTTTATTTTGTGGTTGACATTTTTTTTCCATATATACTACCAATGCTTAATTGTTAGTATTTGTTTATACTTAGCTACACAATAGTAAATTCAAACAGGGACAACCTATGGTAGACTGGCACCTTGCCGATGCTGAATAAAATGTTTATATATTATTAAGCCGGCAGTAGTTTTTTGGGGTCTAAAAAAACCGGTATGGTTCTTTTGGATCTAGATATGATGCACTCATCAGACTTATCACTAATGTCCAGCTAATATATAAAATAGATCACTCCAGTTTATGTGTAAACAAGGTCAGATACAAGAGGAAGGCTGGAGTTAATAGTTAATAGTTTATAATACAATCTATATTAAAATAAATATAAACCAAGTCAAACTATAACGAATTTACGAGTAGTAAATTCACATGGCTCAGGTGCTATAATATAATATACATAATATTATCATTGATTATCATTAATCAAAGATATTATGTATAAATGCACAAACAACAATAAAATTCAAGTATATTAAATTTATATTTATAAACACAGATTTCTTTATTTCACACTATTATAATATACAAGTTAAAAGTTAGCTATAACTTAAATTTAAGTGGCATGTGTACTGGCGTTGTCGATTGCATTATCTAGATGTTTTTATACATGTGCATAGAGTACACAAGGGTTTCACAAAATGATTGATACTTAGTGTGTGATATTATAATTAACGTGAAGTGGGTCTCATACGGTTATAGTTATTAACGAAACGTTAATATTACTAAGTTTACTATGGTCAAGTTTATACAAACTAACGGTTGGTTACCAACTGCGGCCATCCATCACTGATGTTAAATAATTATGAGATTCGAGCTATCAAAAAAAAAAATATAATGGTTCAACACGTTGGCGGTGGCCGGTACTTAACAAAAGACTGCAAGGAAATAGTTTTTACTAAAAAAATTGATGATGTTACTGTTTAATAAATTTTAATGTTATAATTATTAAAATTTATTTTATTATTGACCGCGATTTAATAAAAAAAAAATTGTTTGGCTTAAGTATTCTAACAGCCTTGACAAAAATGTATTTTCTAAAATGATTATGTACATGTTTATTTTTAAAAGTTATTATCAGCAGTAATAAACATATAATATTAATCATTTGTTGAATAAAAACTAATAGTGTACATATTATGAACACAACGGATTTCATACAAGTTATTTTAATATTAAAGTTAGAAACAATTGTACATTATTAAAGAAAAATACTAAATTAATATAATCAAGTTTATAAAAAATGTTTACTAAATTATTTACACTTGGCTTATAGTTTTTAAATTTTGAACATAGTTGGAAAAATAACAAAATATAGTTAGAACATTACAAATAATTATGGTATAAATCTACTTTACCGGGCACCCTTTTTTTCGATTATTTTTTTAAATCGACAGTACTTTTAATGTTGATTACGAATATGTAAAAAATTTGCGCCGCTCGCACTTAGTTTGGAAGTTACAGACTTTTAAAGTTCGCCGAAATCGACATACGTGCGCGCCCCGGCACTGCACATCTACCCGCGCCCGCTGGGTACTTCGTCCGTCGATCGCCGCTCAATTATCATCAGATTCCTCGTCTACCTGCCTCCCGCCCGTCGTGGTCCTTTTTTTTTTGCATCATAATTTCATCACGCTAATATTTGACTTAATTGGGATTTTGCTATAGCGAACAATGAACAATTTTTGGCTCGCCCGATGCACATTGTTGAGACTTGAGGATGACTTAGTAGTAAATATTAATGTTTTATCGCGCCCCGCTAATATTATAAAGTATTACGGGCTATTATAAAGCAATACATGTTAATCATTTTTTATAATTTGGTTATTCATTTATATTTTATGATTCTACATATATTAACACAAAATAAATATATAATGCTGTTTTTCTACAAACCCTGATGAAAGTTGTGAGGGACACACACACACATACATTAATTTATATATATATATATATATATATATAGATAATAAAAATAGAAATAATTAATCAGATAAAAAAATCCAATTTATATAGATGGCCTATAGCATAAGCCAAATGGGTGGAAAATATACACATTTGCCAATTAGCTAAAAATGTACTTTTTTTTTATTTTTATATCGGTATTTATCTAATTCTAACCCTCTGCTTCTGAGTTTTTAATAATTAGTTCTAAGTCAATAAAAAGTAAAAACCTTTATCAAATACTTTTTAGTTGTATATATAATATATATATGGATCGTTCATTCCGATACTCATGAAAATGCACACAAATTAAACAATGTTCAATAACTTCATTTGTTTTATATTTAAAATATATTTGTAATTTAATTGGAATACATGAAAGCAAGTTAAAATATTATTCAATTAATATCGTTGCAATATACATAATTTTTTTACCTATGTATTATATTAATAAATAAGTATCAATAATATAAAAATGTATAATTATTTATAATAATAGAGTAAAAGTATTTAGAAACAATAATTATTATTAATAGAATGAGTTAACAATAAATCCTGTTGAGTAAATTGAAATGTTTACAATGAACATAGTAACAATGTCTTCTATACAATAGGGGTTTTAATAAAAATATTATATTTTCTACAAAGTTACTGTTTTTATTTTTATTGATATACAATTTGGAAATTACATTTTTTGCTATTACTCCGTTATAATATGTGGTGTCGGCCGCACAACATACACAAATAATAATCGTACATTTTACATAAATATTGTACATGTTGGTATCTCTTCGGGTGGCTGTTTGTCGAGTGGCTCCGTGTCGATTTTCGGTGGCTGTTTGTCGAGTGGCTCCTTGTCGAGTGGCTCCGTGTCGTGCTCCCGTTATATCTTTTATTGATTATATCTTAAAGCATGACACGACCCTAGAAAATAAGGCAGTGGACGTAAAAAAAAGCCGTTTGTAGTTGCGGGGGGGATACTAATGTGAGGGGTACAGGTACCACGAGTTGCCAACTTTTGATTGGTTACTGAAGTCGTTGACCACATTTGATTGGCTACAGGCCAGTTGCCCAGTTGTCAAATCCCCGCAAACTGGCTTCCTCTCCGCGACAGAACGCCCCGTCACGGCTTTCCTATGTCTATGGTGACTTGTTGTTTCATGTATTTTACTTTTAGGTTAGTTCATTCAATGATAATGTAGGAATGACAATGCAGAAAGTAAACAAAAAAATTGGTTTCAATTATAAGTTTTTATTTCTTTAGAACAATTTTCGTTTAATATTTTTGTCTTGATCATTAAATTCTTATTGAGTTTATAAATTTAGCATTCATTAATCATTTGTTTATTATAATCGGTAAGTTAAATACCTAATTATTATTTGTTTGCATTAAAACTAGTTAAATATGTATTTAGTGTTCAAAAATATAAACCTTTATTTGATAGTTCTTTAAAATTGTAAAAGAAAGAAATGTTAATTAGTTTAGTTAAGCTGTAAACAATGAAGGTCAAAGTAAATTATAAATTTATTTAGAATTATCAAAATTTTAAATTGGTGGAACGCATTAACATTTAGTAATATTCAATTGAAATTATTCTCTGTTAATTATCCTTGTATGGAAAAAAAAAGAAACAAATATACTTTACCAGACACCCTTTTATTTTAATTTTCTTATTGCCATATAGTGTTTTTTATGCTGATTACGAATCTGAAGTCAGAATTAGGCGGACTCCGTTAGTTCAAAAGGTATAGCTAGTTGAAATATGCATATTTCTCCTATGTAACAGTATGCGGCGGCAGAGCCATGCGGCGTCGTTGGAAGGCGGCAATAACTGATAAGGACGGCAGGTTTCCAAGTGTTTTGGCACTCGCTCGGCGCCGTCGCATGACTTGAACTTAAAGAATTATTGTTACGTAATTAATAAGATCTATAAGTAATCTATTTTTTCCTTTGAGGTTTGGCACCCTTAGCCCCCATCTTAACAAGAGTCTCATAGAAATTCAATTTGGCTCCCGAAGCCGTGTTATGCACACCTGCTCTTATCGCTTCGTATACAGCTGACCATTGCAGCTCTCTGTGACTAAATTGGGAAGTAGGTGTCTGGCTCACATTATTCTCAAGTTCAAGTTGCTATAACTTTTATATTAAGATTTCTGTGGATTTCTAACTAAAGATTTGTAATCAGCATAAAAACAAAACAAAATAGCAAAAAAAGGATGCTAGGTAAAGTGCATATGTTCCAATTTTTGTTTTGAACTTTTGAACACCACATTTTGAACAAAATGTGGTGCCATTATTGTGGTAGCTTATACTTATAGTTACACAAATATTTTATTAGTGAATTGATTTTTTTATGTTCAATTATTTATAGAATATATTTAAGTTTTTAGATTAATTTCTAGTTAATTTTTTTGTGTTAATATATTTAAACTATTTATTATTGAATTTAATTTAATTATATCAATAAAAAACACCGTTATTATATTTTTTAAATTTATAAATTAGTGTAATAAATGTATTTAAATTTTGGATAAAAGTCGTTTGCCTGTTACTTTACACACACATTCAGATTTCAAAAATATTTCCAAGTCTGAAAACATTCAATAATAACTAGTCATTTAAATGTTACATTTGAATCACAACAAAAACTGTATTTTGTCCAGGGTAACAGTAATTTTTGTAATTTTTTTGTGTGACTAAACCTAGGACAAACATAAACTAATAAATATTTATATTTTAGTGTAACAATGTTAAATTTTTTAATGTGAAGGGATTTTGTTGTGATATCACTAATTTATATATTATATTTTACAAAGTTTCAAATGTGTGTCCAAGCTTTTGTATTACTAAGGAAATGTGTACTGTATTTTTTCTTACATTATTAAATACTAATTCACACTATTATATTATATCATACAGTTCAGTAAATTACGTGTAAATGAATAACTTAACGGTTAACCTTTTAAAAGTATATATATATATTATACTGTATTTTGTACAGCAACACTGGTATTTTACATTTAACAGTTAAACATACCACGTGTATAAAAAAATAACAAATAATACTAATGTCACACATAGAACTGCCTAGACAACTACACTAAGACTCAAATTATGATTAAATGACAGTTAACCTGGCATCCACAGAGCGACTAAGGTCATCAAGCAGCGTGTTTTAAATACTCAACCACCGCCGTTATTTGACACTATATTTTTACCTGAAAAAATTATCATGATTTGCTTCATAACTCCTAGCTAATTAATTTTACTACTCATTATTAAAATAAGTATTACATTATATTATTACAAAAGTATAATATGCACAATTTTTCTGATATTTTAACACATATTTGATATAAATCGGTTTAGTGGTTCATTAGAGAACTGTGTTGAAAAAAACAAAATTTACGTGTTTTAAATGGGCGAAGTCTGCTTCCAGATATTATGGAGCGTAATTTCCTTTTTTTATACTTAGCTCTCACCATAATCGTGGCACTAGATAACATAGTTTTTTATAACGTAGCAATTACTATGGCATATTATTTGAGAAATTGAATCTAACATTACGAATAATTGACATTCTGATAATATTAAATTTATATTTATAATTTATATTCTATAGTTTATTCATAATTTAGTGTTAACCATAATTTATATTTAATAACAGATTAATATTCAAGTTTTTCAAAGACATGACACTGTATAAACAAGGAGCCGAATCTAAAATATATTGCACTACGTATTTGAATCAAATGGCAATAATCAAGGAACGGTTTCAAAGAAAATACAGAAATGCTATTTTGGATCAATCAATACGAAAAGAGCGTACCAGAGCTGAAGCAAAAGCAATTTTGAGATGTAAGCAATGTGGCATTAACACTCCTGCTATATATAATTTGGATATAGACAATTGCAAAATAGTGATGGAAAATGTAAGTGGCCAAACTGTGAATGATTATTTGGCTGTTTTGAATCTAAATAAGGAAAATAATTTAAAGGAATTAACTAATTTATTAAATCAAATTGGAAATATAATTGGTAAAATGCATTTTTATAATGTCTTCCACGGAGACTTAACTACTTCCAATATTTTGTTAAAAGAAGATGGCACTTTAATCCTAATTGATTTTGGTCTAAGTCGGTTCAATCCTAGTAATGAAGATAAGGCTGTTGACTTATATGTTTTAGAAAGAGCATTCGTTAGTACACATTCTTATTATGCAGACTTATTTCCCGCCATCATAGATGGTTATACAGAAGCAAACAAATCTGGTTATCAAGCTGTCATTAATCAATTTCAGAATGTCAGAGCTCGTGGTCGTAAACGATTAATGGTTGGATAGTTGTTATCAAATTAAATTTATATTATTTTATTGTATTTTATAAAAAAGTGTTATTTTATATAAGATACAAATTATATTTGTAAAATGTTTTTGTGTACTAATTAAAATGATATTAGTTTAACCTTGCTTCTATTTATTAATTATAATTATACATTGACTCACAGCTCTAATATGCATTTATACAAATTTATCATTATGGGTTATAATGGTTTAAGTTCTTTAGAATGTATGTTTGATTTTTTTTTTAGACATTAAACAAATAAAGCATGCCCGACTATTGTGTAATTTTTATTTAATATTATTAAACACATTGGAGTATTCATTTTAAAAAAGCTTATTATAATTGTACATTTTTATAGGTAAAAAATGGATGTCGCAGAAGGTGTAACTCCAGTATACTTGAAATTGGCACAGATCAAATTCTGCCTCACTCTCCCACAATATAAGAATGATAAGGATCTTATTTCTTCCTTAAAAGCTGGTATTGTCTACAACAATATGGCTCCTTATTACAAAGAAGTATGCACTGATTTGGGATTGGATTTTGATCAAGCTCTCTATGATAACATGGCAGCAAATAATGCTAAGCGTATGGCTGAACTCGAGCAAGAAAAAAATCCAACTATGGTTGATGATGATGATCCAGTATCTGGAATATGGCAAGCTAAATTACAATATTTGTGTTCAATTGGCGATCGTGTTGAAGCTACAAAGTTAGCTGAGTCTAAACTGGAAGAAAAAAATGTACCCAAGTCTCAGCAAATAGACACTGTGTTTGCTCTATTTAGAGTTGCATATTTCCATGGATGTGATATCCCAGCTATGAAGAAAGCTATAGATAAAGCTACTGAGTTAATTGAAGGAGGATCTGGTGGTGATTGGAGTGCTAGAAATAAGTTAAAAGCATATGATGGTATTTGGAGTTTAGCAATTAGAGATTTTAACAGAGCAGCAAAGTTATTTGTTGACGTAGTGCCAACATTTGAATCCTACGAACTCGCTGACTTTAGTACAATAATCAAGTATACTGTTTATTCTTCAATGATAGCTTTCCCTAGATATGAATTGAAGAAAACACTTATGCACCACGGTGTGATGGCCCAAGCTTTAAATTCAGATTCTAAGGAATTAAAAGACTACTTTGTATCTTTATATGAAGGTCAATATTCAAAATTCCTTGTATACCTGGCACAAATTGAAAAAAATATGAAAGAAGATCCTCTATTGCATCCGCATTATAAGTATTACATTCAAGAAATGCGACTGTTAGCATACAAACAGATCTTGCAAGCATACAGATCGTTAAGTTTAGACTATATGGCTAAGTCGTTTGGTGTTACAAAAGAATTTGTGGAGAAAGAAGTAGCTAGATTTGCTGCCGCTGGACGCCTAACATGCAAAATTGATCATGTTGCTGGAGCTGTGGTTACTAGTAGTACATCAAAGTGCAGTTTACAACTAGGAGCACCAGAATCTAGGCTAGAAAGAGGCATTTTGTATCAAACTACAGTAAAAAAAGGAGATATATTATTAAACCGGCTTAAAAAACTAGCTCGCGTAATGGATTTTTAAGACAACTCCAAAATATTTTTTATAATATAATCTTGAAAAAAATACAGTTTTTAGAATATTTTATATAAATTGTGATTTTTCTAATTAATTGTGAATATATTGCTTCACGATTATTTGTATTATAACAAATTGTCATACAACTAACTATAACTCATCAGTTCTGTCTTAAAAGTCAAGTAAAAAAAATATATATATATACGTCATGTATGTGCTATTTAAAGTAAATTGCTATAATGTAAATACAGTTAAAATACACTTGTGTAAATAGTTTTCTTTTTTATACATTGTTATTTTTCAGTTTGAAGTTTAAACAATTAGTTATTAAAAAGAAAATCACGTAAAATATACCTATTGTAAATGTGGTTGTTATAGATACGGTACAGATAACAGATATTTTGCAAAACAAAAACAGTAATAATTGTTGGTATCGTAGATATTTAGATATATCTATTGGTAAAACTGAAAGCTTGTGTGAAAATGTTAAACCACGATTAAAGATAATATGGTTGCTCAACAGGCAAAGACTGATGTAGATGTAATTAAAGTGTAAATGATTCATAATTACCAGGCGATTCTTTTAACGCTCTACAATAGTTTACTCCTAAAATAATTGCAATTTTGAAGTGATTATTTTTGGAAAAAAATGATTTATGTTATAGTACAATATTGGACAACATTTTTATTTTTATCTTTTTAAGTATTTGCTAGAGCTCTATTAACGTACAAAACTCAAATAGCTATGTATATATTTAATTAGCTTTTTAAATTAAGAATCATTTACTAAAAAAATTGACTGGTCGATAACCAGCTTTGAATAATTATTTTTAAGTTATTAAAGTTTAAAATTTAGGACGGTAGGTAAAGTGCGGTAAAGAAATGCGCGTAGATAAAAATAAATCTACTCTCCACTCTTCCTCTCGTCCTAAATTTTAAGCTATACTAACTTAAAACTATTCATTCAAAACTGGTTATCGACTATTTAAAATGTTCAGCAAATTATTCTTAGTTTAAGAACTTTAAAAAAATTATACGTTAACATTTAAGTTTCAAAAGTTAATAAAGCTCTAGAAAATACTAAAAAAGAAAAAGTTTGAATATTGTGTCATATAGTGATATAGCATAAACAAAAATGTTTTCAATAAGTAACGCTACAAAAATACAATTATTTTAAGAGTAAAATAGTGTAGGGCGTTAAAAGAATAACTCGGTATTCATAGTATGGTATACATAACAATAAAATGTAAGTCAAAGTTACAACACTTTCCATTTATGTTTTTCTATCTTGCCTTGAGACTCTAAAAGTAGTTTTGCCTACACTGTGAGGTAGAGTGTATAAAAAATAGACAAATACAGCAAGTCATATTATGTATGTTAAAAAAATGAATGGAAATTGGTATCTAAATTGTATTATATAAATGCCACAGTCAAAAATTAAAATAATCATGTGTCTTTAGTCTTAAAAAATGGGGGAGTAAAATGATCTTTAATCGTGAGCAGAAGTAATTGACATTTTCTCTCATTATTAATGAAAATTAAATAAATCATAATATTATACATTATATATATAAAAGTCTAAAACAATATAGTAACTGTCATAATATAATTTAAAACATAAATACCTATTTTACATTTTGTAATTATCAAAATTTGAAATTTGCGGGCTAAGATGACCAAATGGTTTGGTAGCTGTAAAATTCAACTAACAGAGAGCGCCACAAAGCTGTCTGGACTTCAGTATCCATTTTAAGGGAATTGCATGCGGTTGGTTTTTAAGGAGTTTTGTATAGGCAATATTTTAGAAAAAAGTGGTTTTAATACATTTCGATCATGTCTATTAATTTACCGGTTAATTTGTATAAGCTTCATGGTATTATTTGTAATTTAAATTATTTTGTCTATGAGTAAAAACCATTTTAGTTAATATAACATACATTTTTTGTCCCATCGCACAGGCTGAACCAGTGATCCGATAATTAATCTGAAAACAGATTTGAATTCGTCATGAAGTTTACTTATTAATTGTTTGATACCTTATTCCTACTATGTATAAAACACGTTTGAATATTTCAAATTTTAAAATCAAATTTGGAAAGGGTTAAAATTAAAAATTGAAAAAAGTACCCTGACCGATCATAAGTAAACATTATGGCGAATTAAAATCTGTTTTATCTGATTATCGGATTACTAGTTCAGTCTGTGCAATGGAATAAAAATGATGTGTTTGACTGAAAAAACCGACCGCATGCAATCCTCTTAACCACGATTTATCGTAATTATAAAGATTATAATCGTGATTTTAACAATGTGCGGAATAATTAGCAGTCGGCTAACCATATTATAATATGATAAATGTTTAAGGGGTATTTACATTTATTAAGAGGACGCCACACCGCTCATTTTTAAGGAGTAAAGTATAGGCAATTTTTTACAAAATCTTAACTTAAAGCCTAAACGTTAAACTGCGATGTGTAATTATTAGTTAAGTAGTTAAGACTATTTTTTGGTAGTTAAATTATTTTTCGGAATATCACAGCATCCTTGACAGCGATTTAAAAAAAAAAAAACCAGTACAGTGGGGTCGGTGCATAGTGGGGACGGAACATAGTTGGGTCGGGGCATATTGGGGACGGGGAGGTCACAGGTTTACAGGAATTTTTAAATCTGAAAGTGATAAAATCACTTTCGAAAAAACGCTTCGATGCAAATCGGTAGTTAGTATTTTCAAGCCAGTACAGTCCAAACCAAGCACAGTACAAACCAACAAAGTTAGAAAGTTTTAAATGAAGGTTCTGTATTTACAAATGAGCATCAAAGCGTTAATTTGAAAGTGATTTTATCCGAGAGGACTAGTACAATAGAGTATTGGCATAATGTAATCAAAGCAATGAGGAAACGGAGAGGTCACAGGTCTACAAGAATTTTTATAAATAAAAGTGATAAAATTGAATAAAATCGCTTTTAAAAAAAAATTGAATTTGTGTAAACTTAAAGTCAAAAGTGGTACTCAAACACAAAACTTAATAGTACCTTTCTGCATAGATATACATCAATTTTTTTTAATGATTTGATCAATTTTTTTTAAAGATTTTAGGTGTTTTTGTTAAAATATACGAAATCTGCAAAAACACAGTTTCCCGGCAATTAAAAAAAAACTGTAGTGCCGAATTTTTTTCCCGTTTAATATGTTATGGGTACATATGAGTTCCAACTACTGGCAAATTTTCAACCCAAAAGTTTTAAAATTACCGCTAAAAACCCCGAAAAACAAAAAAACTTGTACCCCCCCCCTAGGGGGGTGGGAAATGAGTATAGTTTAAGTTTGACACAACTGACGTAAAAATTAAAAACGGCGGCGTTGCAGCTGCTTGAATTTGGTATTTCGATTTTACGCCGTACAGCGTACAGATCGGTCTAATTATCTAAAAAAAAATTCCAACATTTTCCTGTTAAAACACGTTCATACGCTCTGCGTGAACCTAAAATAAAAAAAAATTAAATTAAAAATGCAGGATCGTTTTTAACGAAAAATACTTATTTTTGTACATACAATATCCAAAAACCAGTATTTATTTCAATATGTTAAGCCAATAGATTAAGGAAAAAAATGCGCCAAACCACATGTCAATCGGATAAAAATTCATTAAGCTACCTTGCACGGCGTGCGAATTATTTCTTTTTTGAGAATTTCTTATCTGTAACAACTGTGAATACTGTCTTACTCGTTGGACCAACAAGAAAACCTTGAGAAAGATGTGAGTTATTGGCTAAGTTGGGATTTATGGCAGCTGATCAAAGTTTAAAATCGCTCCCCTGTAAAATCACTGAAATCAACTTACACACTTACTCACAGTTGTTACAGATATAGGCGCACAAATAGCGACTATTTGCAACTTAAAATGCGTTTTTCTCAAAAAAGAAATAACTCGCACGCCTCAACTTCATCCTATTTTTCACGTCCTCCTCTACCCTCCTCTTGGCTCTTTTTTGTACTACCGATTCTAAGTATTTGAACTTATCAACCTCACACAATTCATCATAACCCATCTGCATTACCTTTCTTATCCTATAACTTTCTCCAATTCAAATGCGATTGTTTCCGCTGTACTCCTACTAATCCTCAGTATTTTCTCTTCAAGCGCTTCTCTCCACTCTTCAAGTGTCTCACCCAATTCTTCCAAACTTTTCCCCACTAACACTACATCATCTGCAAACATTTTACACCATGGCACACCGACCTGTACATCTTTCTTAATCTCGTCCATTACTAAAGAGAACAAGTAAGGACTGAATGCTGAACCTTGATGCACATATATTCTTACACTAAAATCTTCCATTGCTCCACACACTCTTGTACTTACGCCTTCATAAATTTCCTCATAAATATTGAGAAAAATGCAAAATAAAAGTTGAATTTATTAGTTGTCCGTTTCACAAATCAAATTTTTGTAAAGACATCTTTGTAAGAGCATCATATACCTATTAGAAAATAAATCCATTTGCATCAAGTTCTGGATCTACTGCACGATAAAAATGATTCCCACGTAACTTAATAAAAAAAATGTTATTACCAAATAACAAAAAAAGGGATTTTCAAGTATAATTTCTTAAGTTTTAGCTTTTAAACTTAAAAAAATGTGATCGGATTTCAAGTAAGAATTGTTAAATGAAAAATTGTAATTTCCCATGTTCATTAAATGTAAAAATAAAATAATAAGAAAGGAATCTGATTTATTTAATTGATATATGTATGGGGCATTCTGAGTCAAACCACGTGGTCATCGGCCCGACCCCAAAATTGTCCGAAATTTGTTTTATGAACTTCTATAGGTCTACTATAAGACTTCAATTTTCTTTAAAGTTTTATCACTCATATTTACCCCAAAAATAGAGGTTTTTTATGTTATTTTTCACGAAAAATCAATTTCGACCCGTTTCAAAAGTCTGAAATTTTTATCATAAAATCAAAGGCTCAAACCAAATCGATTTTTCGTGAACAATAAAAAGCCTCTATTTTTGGGGTAAATATAAGTGATAAAAATTTCAAAATAATTAAGATCTTATATTAGACCAATAGAAGTTCAAAAAAATTCGGAAAATTTTGAGGTCGGACCTATGACCGCGTGGTTTGACTTAAAATGACCCATATATATATATATATATACATAATATGATGTTGTACTATATATAATATTCGTTGTGCAATATAGCTATGGAGAAAGCGGTTAGAGCGATGCAAGTTGACCAACCATGGCACTAGAGCGATCAGCCAGACAGATAGGTATACAAATTATGAGAAATTTGATGAGTTACAGTACCTTTAAGTGCTACTGAGTACAAAGAATGTCTGGTCGCGTAAGTTAAGGGCAAGAACCACTAAAGTTGAAAGGACGCTCTTTGCATTGTCCAAGATCTTCAAGTCAAATATAATAATAAGACGGTATACAACAATAATAAGGCGGGCCCACCCTTACGTATGAGTGTGACATGTAGACAATCATAAATGTTCCAGAGAGAAGATTGAGGACGTTTGGAAATAAAATACGGGGGAAGATATGTAGCCCAGTATTTGATGATAGGACGGCACAGTGGTGTAAATATTTCAATAAAGAGTTGCACAAGAAAAATGGGAATGGCAACAGTCAATAATTGCATAAAGAGCCAGAGAATACAATGGCTGGGCGTGTATGCGATGGGCGCATACTAGTTGCACCCGGAAAACTACGAATTGCATCCGATCCTTATCGTAACTAAAAAGGTCAATCTACAATAGTTGCCTCTCAGGCTTATATACGAGTTGCATCCGAAAAAATATTATTACTAATTGCAAAACTAAAGAAACAGATTTTCTAAAATTATGCCAATATTTTATTAAATTTTTCTAATAAAACTGATATTATCGTTATTACTACAGCTATCGTTTGGTACTATAAGTATAAAAGTTTAAAACTCCATCCTTCCCTCCTGCTCTAAACTTGAAACTTCAATAACTTTAAAAATTGTTATCCAAAACTGGTTATCGACCAGTCAAAATTCGAAGTACATTGTTTTCAATTTAAAAAGCTAATAAAATGTATGCGTTACTATTTAAGTTTTAAAAGTTGCTATCAAAAAACCTAAGTAGGGAGGGGGGAAAACAAACAAAATTGTGGAAAATTGAGATCATATTGTTTAAAAACATTATGGAAAAAAAAATTTAATTTATAATTTAACCCTATGAGTTATTGACTGGCCCATGATAAAAGAATCACCGTGTATACATAAACAATTTGATTGCATTAAAACAAAAAAATACCCAACTCTTTAATTACATTATAAATGTATTTTTTACGATATTGGGAACCACTGGTACTGAAAATAGACCTTTTAAAGTTACGGTAAGATTTGGGTTACTATTTAGGTGTGGTTGGGATGCAATTCGTGTGTAAAATTTGGTTCTACCTGGGCCACGGGATGCAACTAGTATGCACCGTAAGCGATGAAGTGAGGATGCCGCAGTTCGATGGACTGAATTCGTAAGGAAAAAGACCTGTTGAAATAATAATTAACATTTTATTTACTAGGAAGTATGTCGCAATATAAATATGTTGTTTATCTTTATAATAAAAATATTTAGTTAGTAAACAGGAAAATATTATTAAAAAAACAAGATTGTTTTTGTAAACACCGTGCAATTGTGCGCGCGTGTCACTTAGCTGTTTTGGCCTATATAGGGTTTGTTTGTAAATTGTAATAGCTCAGGGCTCATTCTATCTGTAACGTTTTTATGTGTATAACGTGAGTGTATTATTGTTACACTGATTTATTATATTCTATGTAATATTATTATCTATTATTGTAATTACTGTATGTGTTTGACAATAGTAGTGTGTTTAATTATTTAATTTATTCGAATACTATATCCACTGGCGTTCACTCAATATTTTATGCTAAACATATTAGTGTATAATATTTCATCAAGGCCACGAGGCCGTTCTCACTAGATGGGATAGACATCGCGACGTAAAAAAGGATGTGAGAAAATTTAGTATCGAATCGGAGACGTATAGTGCAAGATCGAGAGAAATGAAGGGATTTAGAGATGGCGGCAAAAACTCTTGGAGAGAAGTAGAATCCGGATAAAGAAGAAAACAAAAAAGTGTTTAAACACAAAAAAAAAATTGCATTGTGAAGCCAAAAGACTCTCTGCTCTATACCGAAATTTTCAATGAGTCAATAATACAATTACCATGGGTATACAGAGTGATTCAAAAAGAATGAACCGATTTCATGATCAAATATTTTGTGAGTAAATGTATGAATCAGAATGAGGAAGTGGCTGTTTGCAAGATTAGGTTTCTAAGTTTCAAATGGTTGCTACGTGACCGCGCTAGGTGCATCGATCTCATAGGGAAACCTTTTCTGTGCTGTATCCTGCAACAAGGTTTATGGCCCACTTTTCTTCGAGGGAAACTCTGTTATAGGGCAAACCATCGAGGATATGCTACGAAAGGGCTCTTCCCTTTACTGGAAGCTGATTCAAATTCGTTTTTCAACAAGATGGGCACCTCCCAACTGGAGCCTATCAGTTATCAGCATTTTTAAATGAAAAACTGCTTCAGCCCAGTAACAGAGTTTCCCTTGACCAAAAAACATCCATTATTGACACATTGCTCATTGGGGTGACATAACAATTTTAAATGGTTTACACGTTGATAATTATTTAGATTTTAGACTGTTATATTTTATATTTAACAGATGTTTTACATCTATCTAATTACATCTCCATTGGCATAACAATAATAAAGGAGATTTGTTTACCATTACGTTAACAATAATTGTATATTAATGAATACATAAATAATAATACAACTAATATTTGCATAAATAATAATCATATTTAAACACAATAATATTTTTGTATATATAATATTTATATATGTATATTTATTTATATATTTTATATATGTATTAAATATAATGCCTATTTATTATATTCGCCATAATATCATGACCGTTATAATATTATAATGTTATTATAAAGCTTAGCAACATCAATAACAACTACCTAAACGGTGTAAAAAGCTTAAAGACTACAAAAATGTATAATTTAATTAAATGAAAATATAACTATAATATAAATATTTATATGAATGATCTTATTAATAATGTATTTCATGTATAAATATTTAAAAATATTTGTCTTAAAATCTTTATGTATGTATATAATTTGTTTTAATGTATATTATTGTTGCACCTTTTTTAAATATAGTGCGTGTTATAGCCACTGAGCATTTTATTTTTTTAAGCTTCTACATAATTAAAATGTGTTCTAAATATTCGATCATCTAATATACTGATACTCAGTCTCTCTCGAACAATAAATGATTATTCACGCTACGACACTCTTTATCTAGTGGAGTCAATACATAGTCAGAGTTTACTAAAAATGTGACCTAAATTTAACATCATTGACAATATAGTGTCTAAACATATAACTTTATAACAAAAAAAAAGTAGCAAGAACATTCTTAATGCATAAAACAACTTTAATTTTAAAAAAATCCACTCTAATATTGAATTTTTTCTTTAGAAAAATGTCATATGTTCATTTTGTAAACAAATTCTGATTATAGCGTTTTTAAATATTCTATACGTATATCTAGATTATTTAAAAACGGTATAATTAGAAATGAGTTTTTTAAAAGTGATCTAATTTTTGTCAGATAAACAATTCGATTATCTTCGAAAATTGGCGGAGTCGTGATTTTGTGTTTTCACCCAACTAGTTAGTCTTACGGTCGTTTTAAGCATAAAATGAAAACATATACATGTCCCAAACTTATTATTTAACTTTTTAAGCAAAATTTTACGAATCCGCACAGTTTTCAATTGTTTTAAAACGTTTTAACTCATGTTCATATTGTCAAAATTTAGGAACACGGTCGTCATAAATATAAAAAAAATAAAAAATAGTCTTGCATTTTTTTTTGTGGATAACATAAAAGTAATGATTTTTTAGTTTGTTTAATACTGATATGTGGGCGGAAATCAGGTATAATGTATTTTTGGATATAGGTATTGAACATATTTGGCTAGATGATGATTATTAATTATACAACATGCAAAGATTAATGGACTAGTATCTAGGAGTAGTAGTAAGAGTAGTAATTATGTATAAATATATGAAGTTGTAATATAGAAGCTAATTACAATGACTAGTTTTTTAAATTAATAATATTATTAAAATGTTGAAAAATTACTGAAATATTGCACTTAAAAGCGCATATGTAACCCATTGTTGTTATTATTGTTTTAAAATGTGTGTGGTAATCAAACCGTATGCCTATTATGTTTGATTATTTCGGTCGGGTAATAATAATAGATCTATCTTTGTGTGTATGTGGTGTGTGTGTGTGTGTGTCTGTATAATATTTTTTGTCTGTACGTAGTCCTTATTTATTTGGGTGATGGTAGATTCTCGTTGACGGATATGGAAAGTCGTCGGACATTTGGCCGATCATAGTCCTCCATACTCATACCACGGGACAAGCTGCGCCTAGGACGTTCACCATCTGATGAGCTCCCTGAGAACGTGCGCTGTCTCTCGATGCCAGGCAACGTGACTGATGTAAGCAAGCCTTGTCCTTTGCAGAACAATAAAATGCTTTGGGCCATTTTGGCTGGCTGTTAAAACAAAAAAAAAAAAAAAAGAAGAAAAAAAGGTTCAGATCGAAGCACACATATCACGGAATCAAAAGTGTCTTTCTCTTGTAATTCTATAGGATTTATACAAGAGTACATGCCAGAAAAATGTTAATAATTATATACCTAGATATAGATAAAAAAAAAAGTAACGACAATTAAATATAACTATTTAAAGAATGCTGGACGTAAGATAGGACATGCCATCTATTGATCTCTGTGATCGTTATCCTCGACTAGTAGTTTAGTAAAGATGTTTCATGTTACTGTGAATGTTTGTATTTGATATAATAGAAAGTAACAGGAGAAGAGAGATACATTTAAATGTTTTATTTAATTTTGAGGTTGATAGATTTTGGTTAGAACGTTACGTTCGGCCAAATCAAGTGTCATTAGAATATAATAACACTCAATAAATAAATAGATATAAAAACAAATTAGTTAATAGGTAAACATAAAAATGAATAATATAAACCTTAGTAACACCAAATTGAAGCTAAAAAAAAATTAAATCTTACCTATGCCATACATTTTTGGCAACAAATAATAGTGCTGTGAACAACATTCACCAAAGTGGTCTAATATATTATGTTTTCACACATTGGTGAACGTATTAGTGCACGTTTATTAGATAATATTATAATCCAACATTTACCAAAATGGATGTCAGTAAATACCGGTGGTTATCAACTGTAGATATTCACCGTAATATACTCCTATTTATTGAACTAAGTATAGAAATTAGTTTATCTATTCTTATTGAGAACCTAAACAAATATGTTTATTAATATTTGAAGGATTAAGTAATAAACTATAGAGTATATGTCACGAAATACTAATGGTATGTGTATATATAATGAGAATACAAATTAGAATATTATTACACAGAAGAATATATTTTTGAATTTCGTTTATAATGGTTTTTTTTACTATTGAAAATGGCTATTCTACCATTAATCCTCAAAGGTTTTTTTGTTAACAAACTTGTATTGGATATACTTACAGCTTCTGCCAGAACGTCTCCCGCTCTCTCAATCTTCAATAAGGTAGCTTTATTCTTGTTCAAGTCGCGATGTAACTTTTCAACAACGTTAGCGTAAGATCCCAGCACTCCCGTTACCAGCAAAACGTCTTGTTTGTAGTCTTTAAGCATCAGATCCTTGCGGCTGTAAAATAATTATTGTTTACCGTTTTTGTAATGCGTGTGTGTAGGTATAGTAAAATATGATTTTTGTTTTATTCACTTTAGAAATGAGTTTACGTATTGTTTGAGATTCTTCGAATTAATAGTGCCTTGCAAACGTTTCACAAACTCGTTTATAACCAGCTCTTTGTCCGGATTTGTCTCGTTCATGAGTTGCTGTATGAAATCCCCAATAATTATTATTGATTAATACATTGTTCGAGTTGCGTACACACCTACCGAACCAGCGAGCCGAACCGTAGCAAGCGTATGCGATAAAACTAATGTGTACTTACGTGTCCAAATTTATGAAACACCAAGTAGTCCATCGCAGATTGGCTGACTTGCGCTTTTCCCTTCCAGTTAACGAACTAAAAAGTTTCAAAAAAGAATTTAAATAAAAACAATTTGGAAAAATTCGACGAGCGTTTGTCGTTTGCCGACGTACGCACTTTTGACTTGAAGTTTTCTTTGACGGAAACCGCTGATCCCGTGCAGTTGATGAGAATGAGTCCCAAAACGCGTGACGGATGTGCCAGCCCGAATCTCGCCACAACGTTGGCTCCAGCTCCTTCGCCCAGACCGATGACATACCGAATGTGCAAAGTGTCCAAAACGGCTACCAGATCTTCACCGAGTACTTGCAGAGATGGAAATTGAAAACTGTGGAAAACAATTTTTTTTTTTTTATATATTATTGTTATTAATATGATTACTTTGGACAAGTTTTTTTATGTATAAACGATAATTAGGAGAGCCGACAGAGTATGCACTTACGAGTCTGGAAGAGTATCTCCATTGTCTTCGTGACCGGGTACATCGATATGAATGAATATCGAGCGGTCCTTTATCTCGCTCATGCATGGTTGGTTTACGAAGTTCTCGAAGGATACATCTGAAAAATACTAACGATTTAAATACCTACACAGAAACAATATATTTTAATCTTTGCAAATTCTGGCCTTACGGTTGCATCCTAGGTCATGGACAGTGAGAAATATAGCCCTCTTGTCTTGCTGAGTGAGATCGCCCTGAAAATTAAAATAGTCAAGCAATCGACAAACTGCCAAAACAAACTAGTGTACATAATATACTAAATGATTGTCTGTTAGTTAAAATATATTAACGACTCAAACAACAAACTTGTTGGACAGCTTAACACGTCGTCATTTAAATTAAAAATAAAACAAAACAGTAAAACATATAATATTGGTAATTATGTTAATCAAAGCAGAATGTCATTTTCGAAAAAAAATGTTATCATATAATTACGGATAATTTATTTAGAGCAAACGCTCAAGAGGGCTCAAGTACAGTTAGGTAATACAATATTATTTTACAAAAAATATACTTTTATTATTACCTGGACATGAACGTACAAATTTCCACTCCGTTCCGTTTTGACTAGAAACCTCTATAAACATTAAAAAAAACACTCATTTTAGATATTTACATTTTAAATTCAAAGACAAATTAAATATAAACCATTATTTTGCCAAAGATTTGTACTAAAAATTCTATTGATGTGGTAACAGTAATTTATATTATATTTATAAAAAAACATATTTATCTTATTGTCATTAAATATCCCTCTTTTGTTATTTCATGATAACGTATTTTTTATCAAGTTTTTATCTTGTTATCAATTTCATTAGTTTCAATGGTATGTCATTTAATAGAACAAATGTTATCTTGAAATATCAGTTCAATTATATGTCACATTTTAGCTTTAAGAATCTTTTTTAAAATAATTGTAAACATTTTCAACAAGTTTTCAAATTTTAAATGTAAAATTTCCTAAGTTAATAAAATGCAAAAATATTAACTCGCGAGGCAATAATTAGAGTTACTCCAAATATTGTAGTTTCTATATTAAAAAATATTTTGTAAAAAAAAAAATCGTTTTTTTAACAAATAGATAAAATAGCTTTGAGTCACCTCTAAATATTATATACAATCAAGTACAAATTTTAATATTTTTGTCCTAAAAATAATGATTTTTTTAAATAAAATTATAAAAAGTTTTTTTGGTCGGTCTAATACGTGTATAAAAAAAACAAGGAAAAATTTAGATTTGAGTTGGAACTTAGAGGTCTAAAATTTTAGGTATTTATATTATATATTAGGTATATATATGTATATTAGGATGGCTCTTAAAAAGTAGATTTTCGAATTTTAACCTTGACGCCCTCTAAAAAGTTTCTATACACAATAAACTTAAGTTAAAACATTTTCATATAACTTTTATACCATGTGATCTCAATTTTTCAAATTTTTTTTTGGTTTTTACTCCTATTTAACTTATTCATAGCAACTTTTAAAACTTAAATGGTAACGCATACATTTCATTAACTTTTTAAAAATAGTGTATTAAAAATGTTGACTGGTTGATAACCAGTTTTGAACAATTATTGTTACAGTTAGAAGTGTTTAAAAGTTGGAATGTTAGGGGAAGTGTGCGCAGTTAAAAAAAATACTACACTCCCTCTTTCCTTTTGCCCTTAAGTTTCAAAAGTTGCTATGAATAAGTTGGGAGAGCGTAAAAACAAAATGTGACAAATTGTGATCACATTGTATAAAAATAACATAAAAAAATATATACATATATATAATTACTATATATTTTTTTTTTTTAAACGATTCAACATTTTTCTATTTTAAAAAAGTTTCATAATCTGATATATGACACTTGAAAATCTTTCTTTTGATAGTTTGAAATAAGTTTGTAATAATAGTTTTTTAGCAAGTTATCAGTTATATCAGTTGCAACTTGATAAAAACAATTTTGTCGTGAAATAATAAAAGAGTAATTTTGAAATGTCATATTTAATAAAATTGAAAAAAAATTGATTAGTTATTAAAAATTAGAAATTTGATGAATGTAAAATAAAAATTTTCCATGTTAATTGTAAATGTAAAAAAAAAGTTATGAAGGAAAACTTGAGAGTTGAGGTAGAAATCTGAAATTGTAGGGCTTTCTTATTTGAATAGACTACTAACAGTTTTGGAGGAGGGGGTGTAAGTAAAATATATTTTTTTATATACTGTTTAATATACATATAAAACAGATGTATTAAAGTAATTTATTTATCAATTTCGAAAACACTAGTAGGTAAATCGTGTTTGTAGTTTTCGTTAAGTTGGGCTAGGCGTTAGAAAAACAAGTCACAGAGTACGTTTTTCTTATCTGCTCATGAAGTTTACAGAATAGGTATTGCGACAAATGTAATTATTGATTACAGTTTTGTTCTTTTTTTTCTTCTCAGTAATCATATAATATAGTATTATAAGCAATAATTAATTTTTTTATTTACAAATTATAACAAAGCTAGTTTGATTTGGTAAAATTATATTGTATTCGTAACTATATTATAAAATGTATGTAAATAGTATTTTTATAACATAATAAACCACAAAGCCTTCAAAATGTATGTGTACGTTAATTAGTACATACATGACCAATGCAATGCAAAGTCTAAGGGGTTAAGTAACGCCCTCGATTAAGATGGAAATCCAATCATAAGGAATGTAGGGATCGCGGAATTAGATTGATGAGATTAACAATAAATAGAGTTTAATATTATGGTCTTAAAGACCCCGAATTCTACTAAGAATATTATTGCAACAAATATATTATAGCTATTGGCGATGGAGGCTGAAACGGGTGATCGTCTCTGTATTTTTATTTACATGTAAAATATAATATATTAGTAGCATAGCGCTCGTTGTTAGATGACTCCGCCCTGTTAGATGCATTCCATTAACAACTGAGGAGTAACAATGTCGCTAATAACACGACTACAGGCATGCCCCTATATTGCCTATTCAACGCGCCGTCCGATCATTCACAGAATGATAATTTATCAATTTACTGTAATGATAATTATAATAATTATACCAACCGGAATGACGGACGGGCATGCAATGCAAATAAGTATAAAATAACAATAATATAATATAGATTCAAATCAACAACACGCAACGTTGCGTAGCATCTCGTGCCAGATGTAGAGCTATAATATGCGCCGTATTTATTTATATATATATATATATATATATATGCGTTTCCCGCCATAGTACGTTCTCCTGGGTAAAAATAATCAATACCTTGAATGTGCGCCTTAGCAATAACGACCCCCGGGGAACACCCATCTACTTGCCCCCCCCCCACCCACATCAACAGAAACTCACGCCTACTCCGTTTGTTCGCCAGCCCAGTTTTCACCGTCTATGGCGCACATAAACTCACTCACTCACACACGCACACACACACACAAATATACATATATACACGCGGTATCATTTATTGATGCGTTCGGGTGTATTTATTGTAGCGGAGATTTATGACTTCCTCCAAGTTGTATGAAAATCTGGACGCGAGGAAGAGTTGCGTCGGTCGACCTATCGATTTGCCTTGTGAACTCCATTCGCTTTTTACTTTTTATACCAGCAGCCCGACCGTAGTGTTCATTCACAAACAAATTGATACGGTTAGGAAAGCGGGGGTCCGAGGAGAAATAAAATTAAAAAAACCAAATAACCGCCATTCCGTGTCGTGGTGACGGTGGTATCAGCGGACGGGGCGTATAAAATCCGCGATGGAGTGATAACCCGGGGGTAACATGAATCGTTATTTACCCAGTTACTATCGGAAACAGTTTATTATACTACGCATAACAATACAATATGGTCTCAGCTGCTTACTTGCGAGTCGCTCATGTTAGGTCAACGTTTGTCTTGCGCGTACGACTTCCCAATCGGTAAAAATCCGTGTTTACGTATTTTACGTAAACTGTGCCCGACGGCAGATTGGCGGCTTCGAGTGTTGTGCTCTGTATTTGGGGTATCGAGTAGCGCGGCGAGACCGAGTGTACGATTGGCGACGGTGGCGGCAGACGTTCGGACGACGGGTGCTTTACTGCGTTAATGTGGCTAGAGGGTGTACGACGGGATACGCGTATCCGACGGACTTAAGGGGCGCAGCAGTGTTACCAACCGGGGCTTGTCACAGTACGCCGCCGCCGGACGTTTATTACAAAAAAAAATATTATAGTAGTAGTAGTAACGAAAAAACAATCAAGTTCACCCCTCAATAGGTTTAAGTGTACGTACGATGTACATTTATTTACTTATTATTTAGCACCCGATAGCATAACATCCAAAAAATACACTATAAAAGAGGCGAGCAAAATTATAAATTAAATTATTAACTTCACACCTCATGTATTTTATACTTACTACAGCGATTATTACAAATATTATCTAACTGTAGTAGGAGCGAGAAATAATACAATTATGAAACTAAGCTATAAAGAACGTACAGATAGTAGTCACTGGATCAACTGAGTTTTTATATACAGTTTCCTACGAGCTTAGAAGCACTAGCCGTACATACAACGAAATTAATATTAGAATAATACTCAGGTTAGACCTATCAAGAACAAAATTTATTTGAGTGTATGTACCGTGCGTATATTGGACCTACTACGTATATTTTTTTTTCACACAACAAAATATAATATTCATTAAAACAAAGTTAAGTACAAAACAATATCATACGCAAATATACACCCCTCGTATATACGAAAGTGCCTCCCGACATAACATTTGTACGGCTTTAAATAATAGAAATAGATATAATTTTCGCTGTCTAAACAATTTAACCGTTTGCCATTCGGCCTAGACTCCTACTACACTTACATACATAAGTATGGTGAGTTTTTTTTAAAAGCAGTGGTCTAAAAAGAATAGTTTTATAGTAATTAAATTGGATAATAAGCATTCATTTTTTTTTTATGAGAATTATCTGCATAATGTAATTTACTTTGTACGTATCCTGTCTGCGATGCCCAGCTAAATCTACAGCACGCAGAGGTCTGACATTTTTAATAAATTGGACGGAAGCTGGTCCCATGCACATCGAGGCAGACATTGAGTTTTTTGCATTTTTTCGCAAATTATGACAGGTTATATAAGATTTTTCGTATATACACACACATAATTATTTAATATTCACTCGAAATTAATTTTTTTCACGGTTCGGTAATATTGCGGGTTTTAGCCAGATATAAAAATGGTTGACTTCTAGTTAAATAATATACATAGAGATGTGTATATTTTTCAAAGAAAACGGATTATATTGTAACCATGTATGTATATGTATACGAAGGTGAACTGACGACCCGTCCTTAAAGCGTATCATTAAGAAATCATCTCATGATTGAGCCTTTAAGTTGAGCTAAATTCATGTTTAGCTACATAATAACAATAATGTATAAACATGCTAATTCATTTTGCCCAAAATTGTGATTGGACTATTTATTAACTAACTAAGAGGTGAATGTACAGCAAATAAGTAATATATCATAGCTAATGTACCTAAAAAAAAACAAACATAACACAATGAAAATTACA